CTAACCTAACCCTAACCCTAACCCTAACCCTAACCTAACCCTAACCCTAACCCTAACCCTAACCCTAACCCTAACCCTAACCCTAACCCCTAGCGGTTGACCCTATAACGACTGGGGTTGACTGGGGTTTTCTAATTTGTACCCTCTACCCTAATGGGGGTCCTAATTTGTACCCTCTACCCTAATGGGGGTCCTAATTTGTACCCTCTACCCTAATGGGGGTCCTAATTTGTACCCTCTACCCTAATGGGGGTCCTAATTTGTACCCTCTACCCTAATGGGGGTCCTAATTTGTACTGTTCTCTCTTTTGGGACACCCTACGGGTTGGGTTGGGTCTCTCTTTAATCTTTTACCTCTTCTTTCCCTTTTCGTCTCTCTCCTTCTTCGGGCCACCCTACGGCTGCTACGCATCTTGCCTTGTCTTCTATCTCTGCTTACCCTATTCTACTCTTGCCTCCGCCGGCTTTTCCATACCACGGGCCCACCGCCCACCCCTCTACTTACCCCTACTTTTTCTCTCTCTCCTTCTTTGGGCCACCCTACGGGTTGGTCGGGTTTCTCTCATCTATCTTTCTGTCCTCTTTTCCTCTCTCTCTCTCCTTCTTCGGGCCACCCTACGGGTTGGTCGGGTTTCTCTTGTCTTTCCTTCCTCTTTTCTCTCTCTCCTTCTTTGGGCCACCCTACGGGTTATACGGGTTATACGGGTTTTTCTCATCTTTCTTTCCACTTTTCCTCTCTCTCTCCTTCTTCGGGCCACCCTACGGGTTGATCGGGTTTTGATCTTTCTTCTTTTCCTTTTCTCCCTCTCTCTCTCTCTCTCTCTCTCTCTCTCTCTCTCTCTCTCCCTTTGGGACACCTTACGGGTTGCACGGGTTTTTCGTCTTTTGTTTTTTCTTTTCCTTTTCTTCTTCTGCTTTTTTCTCCCCTGGGACACCACCCTACGGGTTGGCCGGGCATCTTGTCTTTTTCTTCCATCATTTCTCTTACGATACCTGCAGGGTTCGGTGCATTTGATCTTTTCTTCTATCATCATCATTTCTCTTGCGATACCTGCAGGGTTGGGTAGATTTGACCTTTTCTTCTCTTTTAATTATTCCTCTCTCTCAAGATACCTGCAGGGCCTGTCTCAGCCCCAATTCCAGATTAGATCACACAGTTTGCTGCTCTGGATCCATCCTTCCTCTATCCTCATTCCTACCTTGCTCTTCCTCCTTAACCATTCCACTATCAACGTGCCGGTATCACCATTCTCATCCTCTCCCAGCTCGCCCTCACCCATCATCCAATCCCATACCTCGTCCCTCGAACTGAACAACAACCCTAACGCTACCGATCTCAGTTCCTCTCGTACCCGATGATCGCCCCCGATCTCTCCCTTCTGTCCACACCACCCTTCGTTCCACAACTTCTTCCATTTGATGTACCTCCCCTCTGCCAAACTCATGTCTTTGCCGTCTCTTTTGTACTGCTCACACAGCATGCATGGTCTCCAGCATTTGTTGCAACCCGACGACCCTTCCATCTTCGTCCTGGCCAGTTTCCCATCCATCTCTTCCATTTTCTCTACCAGTCCTAACGTCTTGACCAGTGGACAAGTCCTCCATGACGTGTGCCTGCGCTCCGTCTTGCCCGATCGTGCTGTGCAAACCGTGCAACAACCTCTGTACATCGATAGCTTTGCTTCGAACCCTTCTCTGCTGCTGATATCCGAGCACATCGGACGTTTCGACACTCGGGGGATCTGTCTGCTGTGTTCCAGTTCTTCCACGGCTGTAGCTCGGGCTTCCGGGGTCTCTTGTCGTTCTCCCACTTCTGTTTCTGTTGCTGCTGCTGCTGGTGCTGTCGCTCTAGCCGTGGTGGCGGTTGTTGTTGTTGTTGTAGCTTCCATGGTCCCGGCATCGATCATGATAAAGTCGTCTTCATCCATGTCCAGATCCTCGAATGATGAAGTATCATCATCATCCTTGTCCTCCTTCTCCTGACTCTCATCACCACCGCCATCATCGAATTGCCTCATCCTCTCCCCACTCTTGTAAACCAAAAATTCCTTCACCACCCACATCGAATTGCTCATCATCTCTCCCCATATCCGCCTGTCTCTGGCCTGGCCGCACCACGCTGCGTAAGCCTTCCACCCCTCCTTCTCCTCTTCCACCACTCGATTCGGTTCGAAGCCGGCTTTTCGGATGATGTTCCTCCCGATCGGATCTCGAACTGCTGTCATCAACACCGGTACTGCTATGCCGGGCCACTGGCATTTTCGTTTGGCGTCTTCCCTGGTGTTGCACATCCTCTGGTTGATGCCGCACTTCCTGCAAGCCTTGCTCGCCTTTGCGTATTTGATCTGCTTCCGGAATGTGTCAACATCGACAATTGTCGTTTCGTCGGCCTCGTCTGTCACCGTCAGCTCTCGACTCTCGCACTCCCGGCCACCGTGCTCCAGATGTGAGTCTTTCTCTTCTGACTTCATCCAACACATCGGACAGCCGAGCTTCATCTCGTCTAGAGCCTCTTCGACCATCTCCTTTTCCAGCTCGGACTGCCTGACCAGCTCTGTACCTGCTGCCACCATTCCACCACCACACCTGTCGCACGGAGCTTTGGGGCGTGATGCTGGCGGCTGCCGCCATTACTACAGTTCGTCTCGCTCTCGGTCTCGCTGTTGTTGTTGTCGCTGCCGCTGCTGCTGCTGTCGTGACACTCCTGGATCGTTTCTGCCGCATCGAAGTACTTGCCTAGCACCAGCCTTCGACAACCCTCCGTCTTGATGTACTCCATCATCGCTGCTCCGTCCGGTCCGAGTGCCTCGTTGTAACGCTCCCGCGTCCCTTGCTCTTCTTCCTCCCACCCTTGCTCCAGCAGTACGATCGAGTCCACTCTCTCGTTGGGATCTCGACCCGCTCTGCCCGATGCTTGGGCGAACTCGATCAGTCCGTATGGCAGTCCCGAGTGGATGACCGCCTTGACGGCCTCGTAGTTGAGTCCGGTGCTGAGAGCTGTCGTCGACACGATGAAGCCGCCGTTCGCCTTCCACTGCTCTAGCGTTTCCCCGCCGTCGACGTGTCCGGCGTAGAAGAAGCCGCAGCCTAGCTTTTCCGCCATCTCCTCGCAGTCTTTCTTGCTTCGGCAGTAGACGACGGCCTTCTCTTTCCTGGTGCTCCGTAGCTCGTCGGCGACCTCTTCGCACACTCTGGCCGTCTCTTCGACCAGCTTGCCTTTGCCGATGTCCTGTCTGACGGTGTAAGTGATGTTCTCCCTCACCGTGCATGCTCGTATGAGCGACATCATTCCGATGCCGATACCTAGACTTCGTCGTAGCTCGACCTCCATGTACCTTGGGAGTGTGGCCGTCAGCATCACCATCGGTACTCCTAGTGACTTGAGCTTCTCCAGCTCCACGAGATGCGGTCTCCAGCTGTGCGAAGTCACCAGCAAGTGGCACTCGTCCACCACCACTCGTCTCAGTCGGCCCTGCTCCGCCATCTGCCGTGCGTACGACCAGAAGTGATCGTGCATCTTGTCCACGCTGACGACCACGAGAGCTGCTGGATCGACGGTGCTGTGACTCCATTCTTCACAGTCACCCACCGTCTTTTGTGCTTCTCGCACCGTCTCGTCGATGAGCTTGCGGAACGGTACCACCACGATGGTCACCCCGACGTCTTCTTCCAGACAAGCGGGTGCGGTGAAGAGTAGAGTCTTGCCTCCGGCTGTCGGCAGAACGACGGTGAGAACGTTGAACCCACCGTCCATGATTCTCCCGAGCGCTTCTCCTTGTGCTTTCGATCTGTATCTGATCGTCACCGCGTCGTCGTCCATTGGTTTCTTGAGTGCTTTGCGTATAGCCCTCTCCTTTCCTGTGCCGTCGGTCTTCTGTAGCGTTGCAGCCTCTCGCGCCTTCTTCGGCTTCGTTCGATGATCGGACTGTCGTCTACGTGCTGCTGCAGATGCTGTTGGTGGTTCCTGCCGCTGCACCTTGGAGAGTACCTGGATTCGTCGTGGTGGTTGTCATCATTATCGTCATCGTCGATGTAGATGACTTCGTTGCTGTCGTTCTTGTCGTTGGCATCATCGTTGTGTGAGTCGTGCCTGTTTCCCTCTGTCACCGGGGTCGGCATTCCGTTGTTGTTGTTGTTCGAGTAGATGCCCAAGCCAACGATGGGGGTCATGGGTTGCTGTCGTCCCTGCTGCAGCTCCTCTCCTCGAAGTCTTGTCAGTTCGAATTCTTGTGCCTTGAGCTTCATCCGCAAGTCTTCGATCTCCTTCTGCTGCCTTTCGGATTGTTGTAAGAACGGTGAGAGATCTACTGTCGTCGGAGTGGCGGCAACAGTAACAGCTCCTCCCTTTGCCGCGGGCAGTCTCTTGATCAATCTCTCTTTCTGCAATCCTTCAAAGTCGACGGTTTGCATCCCATCGTCTTTGTTGCTGCTGCTCTCGGCCTTTCTTTTCCTCTTCGGATCTCTGTGGTCGAGCTCGAAAAACCTGTGCCAGCTTTCGCTGAGATCGCCGAAGATGTCGATCGACTCTTGGTTGAGATACTTCAAGATGTCCGCTCTGACCGCGTATCTGCCGGCTCCGGTGCCGAAGCCGCCGGCTTTCTGTAGCTCGATCGCGTTGCCCTCCTCGAGATCGTCATCCATATCACCCGCCTGGCTTCTTCCGGATCTTCGGCCTCCTCTCGGTAGCCTTTGGCGAACCTCGGTCCGACGAATCTCCTGCCTAGAAAGACGGCGGCGTGTCTGTAGTTCTGGGTGTGTAGCTTGGCCTTCAGTCGTTTGGCCGTCTCTCGTTTCATCGTGTCGGTGAGCTTCTGCGTCTCCCACGGGCCGTGCGAGTCCGCCCAGATGTAGTCACTCCATCCTTGACCGTACTGTACCTGCACCGACAGCAACTCGGCGAACGCCCGCACGTGGGTGAGATAGATGACCGCGATCTGACCCAGTTTCCACGGCAAGAAGCGTGGCACCATCTTGGGCATGTCGAGCATTGCTTGTGACTTGTGGTAGCTCGTCACCGTCATCACTCTGCCGTCCAAGACGAAGACGTTGCGGTGGTTGGCCACTCCGTTGCGGAAGCGCAGACTGGTGATCTCGGTTCCTCTGGCGGGCTGGCCGCTCAAGACGTGCACGCAGAATATGAACAGCTCCCTGAACTTGTCCACCCTCCGGAGATAGTTGGCCACCAGTCTCGACTGCCACTGGTCACCTCTGCGCATCTTCTTCCCCTGGTTCGAGCCTAGCATCCTCTTCAACATCCAGTCGAGACCTTGTGCTTCGAGATCCTGGTTCGGGTCGGCACCGAAGTACCAGCCTCTCTTCTTCACCGTCATGTCGTCGGTGATGCTATCGAGATCTAACACGAAGCGATCTGCCTTGCGGCCTGCCCACATGAGATCCCCTCCACATGTAGTCTTCGCAATCGTCTAGAGCGGAGCGTGCCATGGACTTGAAGTTGTACACCGTGAACTCGATGCTGCCGAGAGCGACGCCGGCTCCGTCGTGAGTCCAGTGCAGCTTCCCCTGGGCGTGGAAGTTCTTTGCGATCTTCTTTCCGTACGCTAGCAAGCTCAACATCTCTCCCATCACGCTCATCGATCCGTCGGCTAGAAACTCTTTTCTCTGCTCGAGAAATGCCTCGAAGTCGGCCTCCCCTTGGTTTTCGCGGTCGAGTGATGGGAGCAGAGCTTCGGCGGTCACGATCCTGGACACGTACACCAGTCCGGCGATCATGTAAGAGTAGTCGTTGCCATCGCGTAGCCGAGCGTTGGTCTCGTCGATGCCCATCACGGCCATGAAATGGATTAGAGCGCTGTCGAAGCGGTCGTTCCACACCTTTTGNAACAACAACACCCGACTGAGCTCTACCATCGCTGGGATTTGATCGTCTTCTACGGATGATGTGTCTCCCTCGAGAACGATCAATCTCCACACCTCCTCTAATGCTCTTTCGAGTTGGTCGTTCCATGGGAAGAGCCTCCGAGCATCGTGCATGTGATCTTGTGCTTGCCGTCTGCCTTGATCGTGTTGTGGATCTGTGTCGGAATTGTCGTCGTCGTCGTCGTCGTCGTCGTCGTCGTCGTCGTCGTCGTCGTCGTCGTCGTCGTCGTCGTCGTCGTCGGTATCAGTGTTGGTGTTAGCATTGTACACACTGTTTACCTCATCAGTGTTGGCGTTAGCATTGTACACACTGTTTACCTCATCGCTGTCGCTTTCGGTATCGTCATTGTTGCTGCCATCGCCACTTGACTCGCTGTCCGTGGCTTCGTGACGAGTGCACCATACTCGTAGACAGTAACAAACCATTCGCTTCCAGTACCCGGTGTACCGTTCTTGACTCTCTGGATTCTGCAACCGGGATAGCGGTCTCACGTCTGGCTTGTGCATCTCTGCACTTCGAAGCCAACGACGCAAGCCTTCCGGCATCGAGCTCAGTCCTGAGACACCCCTCTCGACCATCTTCTCGATCACCGCTGCTACCTTGAGTAACGCTTCTTCATCCTTCTCGGGCAGCCGGCTGGTGTACGAGAGATGGGTTAGATTGCAGTTCTTGAGATGCTCTCTCCATCTTGTCTTGTTCCACCATCCGGTGTTCTCGCATTTCTCAACCCTGTCTGCTAGTATCTCCTGCTCTTTCTGCCATTGCTCTTTTAACTTCTGGAAGTCATCTTTGATGCCGTCGAACTGGATCTGCTTGGCTCGGGGAGTGATTCTCCGACACTTGCTCTTTCCCTATCGATCTGATCGGGTGTCTTGACGACAAACCACTTTTGTTTGCCTGAACTCTTGCAAAACGTCTGGATGTAGACATCTTTCCAGCACTGACGGTCTTCGTCAGTAGATTTCCAGCCGTGTGCATTACGACAGTGTTTGCCGATGTTGGTACGGTCGCTGGTGGTGAAGCCGCAGTGACTGGGGGAGTCTGTTGTTGTCGATGCATCCCCTCGTACGTCTTGTTCGCCGGCGGTGTTGTCCTGGTTGTGGATGCAGTAGTAGCCTGGGATTGGCTTACACAGATACTCAATTGCCGGCTGTCCTGGCTCGGGTAGACGGACTGTGGATGGGTCTGGCATGTTGCGTCCGCTGTGATGCTGTCTTAGTGCAGCCCTTGCCTTCTTCGACGTAGAAGTGTAAGAAGTATGGACCAAGCGCAGATGGCTGTCTAAGCCTCGCACTGCGTAGCCGTGTTCCTTGCAGATGAGAACTTCGTGCTCTGCTAGATAGACGTAGTTCGACATGGCTGCTGCGATTTCTTGCTGCTCTGTCTCCTCAATACTGCCTTCTTGACGCGTCATGACTCTAGCTGTGTCGTCCTCGCCGGCTGGCTCTAGAGCGTATTCGGTCAACCGATATGCTAGCTCCATGTCTTCTGGCTAAATGCAAGTCGAGATGGATAATTGTATACTTTCTCTCTTGCTGGATCGTTCATAAGAGAAGCTTAGTGTACGTATGGAACGATGAATAGTGGCAAGAAAAGATAGAGCAGAGAAACAGAACGGAGCGAGAGATTCGCCGACGCGTCTTACCCTTCTCGTAGTGTCTCTTATCAGAGAGCTGTCGCGGAATACACACGCAGAACCTTGCTTGTAGCATTGTGCGACCTGTGGGCTGATCATGCGATAACTATGCATCTTACTTGCTGATGGTTTGCGATATCTCATGAGAATGGTCTAGCGGGACACATGTCTGTCCAATGGGGTGCGGGGGCTAAGCCTGGGACGCCTCCACCCTTGTCAAATCTAATATATATGCTTCGCGTTTCCCCGCCACGCTCTTGCGTTTCTTCAGAATTCAGCTTAGCGTACTATCTTTCTCTTCCACTTTCTCTTTTCCCCCTCTTTTGTTATCTTACACCTTGCTTTTCTCTCTTGCGCGATTTTCCTGTCTTGCTCGGGCAGGGTGGATCTACATAAGTTTGGCAAAGAATCGAATAGTAGTTGTCACTGCAACTGTAACGATGGCGGGTGTGAAAATGTCCGCACACGTGTTCTCTATCGACTTGAACCAAATTCTGTCGGTGCTGTAGCGACCGCGGATCTCCAGAACGATGTCGCTTCTCCACAGCGCCTTGTCCGCGACGCTTCGCAAGTGCCGTCAGCGGTGCCTCTTGCACCTCGGCCCTCTGCACTTCCTAGCACGCAAGCGGTCGCCGGACCGAGCGCCCCTACGGCGTCTCAAGTGCAACGTCAACACCAATCCCTTCGAGCTAGAGCCGATGCTGGAGAGACCGAAGCTCGGCTCCAGATGATGTCGCCGGCCGATGTCGAATCGGAACTGCGCAACCAGAGACTCCCAGACAAGCCTGACGTCTCGATCTGGGACTATCTGAACAACCCCGGTCCCGATGTCTCACCTATACAAGCCGCGAGCGACCTGCTTGCTGCTGCAGCCGACCGAGCGGAGAGCGCTAGTGTCCAAGCTGCTTACATCTGGCGATGGGTGAAGATCAACAACCTGTGGGACACTCACCCAGACCCAAACCTTCGTAGTGAACAAGCTTTCATTAACAGTGTTGCTAATCACAAAGTGGTCAAAGTCATGGTCGTCGTTGGCACCTCTGCTCAATGGTCTAAAGAGAACCACCAGCAATCCATTGCTGAGATATGGGGCGACAACTGGCTTGATACTATTCCTGCTTCAATGAGACCTGCCGAGTCTGTCAAAGACCTATCTAAGAGAATGCTGAGTGAAGTGGCCATCACTAGTGCAAACGTGCCAGATCAGCAACAAGCTGTGATCGGTTGGCGTTGTGCTATTGAGAGACGTCTTGATCCTGCAAACCGTCCTCCTCGAACGCGAATCTTGAAGACTCGTAAGCTTATTCCAGAAGATGTCAAGTTCTTCAACAGTACCATGAATGCATCCGCCTCGAGCGTTCGGGAAGATGTGCTAGAGCTGATGCCTGTGGTCCCGACAACACCGCAACAGCAGCCGACTTCTGCTATCCGAACAAAAGACAGTTCCCGGAAGAGAAAGCGCATAGAAAACGATGATCTTACTATCGCCAATCCTGATTTGGAGCCAAGTGATGGTACAGATTGTCTGGATAATGGTCCTCAAGACGTAGCGGAAGCTACGAATACAGTACGCCGAGACGGCGAGTCTCGAATCAAGAGAATCCGTGGCCATCGGATCATTGAACCAGTCACTCCACCTTGCGAGTCTCCTGCTGCTGGCCTGTCGCAACTGTTAGATGAAATTCCCTTAAGCAGTTTTGATAACGAAGCGGTGACATCGGCTGATGGTTCTGATAATGCGACAACCTGTGATGGCCCTGAATTCGCTCGCATGTTTGCTAAATTTGCTGAGATCCACGCATATTTCGAGAAGCATGGCACCTCATCATCGAAACTTGTCCGTAACTGTTGTGACTCCTGTCGCGACTATACGCTTCGTGCCCTAGCATGTCTGAAAGCAGATCTTATACCTTCAGTGGCTGGTATTGAGCAAGTCAAAAACATATATTTGGTGACCGGGAAGTGGTTCCAGGCCGGACGCTCAATGGGACCACTCAAGAACCTACTCCTCACTTGCAAAAATCTAAACGCTTGCTGCGAGTGGTTCAAGATTCTTCTGACGAAGAAACTGAAGAGTTCACTATATAGATCACAAATTTGACCATATATCTTACTCCCAGATCTTTGGTGTTAATGTTGTTGGGGTGACCTTGCATGCCTACAAGAAGTCGGGTGGAGTTGCGGGCGCAATTCTTGGCAAACTTCGAAAGTCATACTTGCCATATTTTGGACAACGATACTCAACAAGTCGCAGCCAGAATCAGAAATCTAAATAGTGCAATTGCCTTTGTATCATATTAACTCATCTCTACCATAGTTTTACAAATATTGAGTCGTGTTCATACAACTTACAAGATCGGGGTTCTACTACGGGTTCAACTTCACTTCTACCCCGCCAAGCGCCGAAAGCATAACCCCGCGAAACCCTTTTTAGACGGGCTGTAGTGCAACCCATGGATTCTATTAGCTAGGTATGGTTCCTATCAGCTAGGCTTTCCGGCCTATCTTACTACTAGCTATAATTAGTAAAGGCCTCGAGGCGGTAGTTACGAATAGACTCGCCTACCTAGTAGAGAGATATAACCTTCTTCTAGATAACTATTTTAGAGCTAGGAAGAAGAGATTATATAAGTAAGCGATTAACGTTCTCGTAGAATACGTATATAAGGCCTAGAAAAATAGGAAGGTCGTATCTCTAGTAACCTTCGACGTCTAAGGGGCGTTTAACGGGGTTAACCCTAGAGTACTTAAAGTAAGGCTCGAATAGAGAGGAATACCCGATACTCTAAGTAGCTAGGTTAGAGACTTCTATAAAGAAAGGATAGCTATAGTCGCCCTCGAAGCGTTTAAAAGTAAAAGATAGCCGATCGCTTAAGCTAGCATTCTATAGGGGTTACCGCTATCCCCTATACTTTATATCTTCTATAACGCTAATCTTATTAGGTAACCTATCGATAAGATAAAGGGAGCCCTAGGGTTTATTAATAACTACTCTTTATAGGTCGTAGGAAATAACGTAGACGAAAATATCTAGACCCTCTAAACGATAGTTATTATAAAGACCGAGAGGTAGGCGAGAGAAAGTAGAGCGACGTTCGAACCGTTAAAGATAGGCCTTATCTACTTTACCTAAAGGGTAGAAGAGGGCTAGTAAAACGGACCGGACCTATAGTTCTAAGGCTAAGACATCGAACTAAGTAAGCATATTAAGCTATTAGGGGTTACCTTAGACTATAAGATAAAATTCTATTAATATATAGTAAGGATAACGGCTAAAGCTATAAAGTAGTACCTTACTATTAAATAACTATAAGGAGTTAGGCCTAAATAAGTTAGATAGCTATATAATGCGACGGTTACCCCGATTATAGACTACTACGCTTCTATATAGTACGGACCTAGAAAGTAGGGAATAACCTCGCTACTCTATAATATAGAAAAGGTATAGCGTATTAGAGCCTAGGTAATAATACTCTCGTTTAAGGCTATAGCCCTTATAGTAGCTTAAGCTAAAGCGGGCATTAAAACTATAGTCGACCGGCTATAAAGGAAGGTTACTAACTATTTAGTTAGGAGCCTTATAGTACTAAACATAAATCCTTTATTCGACTACCTAACTAGGCTATTTACCTAAGGTAAGAGCTTCCTATCTCCGCTAGCTATTACCGTATAGAAGTTTAGCCCGGATCTAGGCCTAACGGCCGAGAGCCTAATAGAGACCGTAGAGCTAGTACTTTAAGAACTATAGATAGAGGGCGTCCCGAGATACCTAGTTAAGGGACTAGAAGACGAGGTAGATATAGTTATTCGACGACTACGATTAAAAGTAGGTAGGGAAGAGAGATATATATTCTATACTAACGTAGTACGGAAGAGCGGCGAGAGTAGCATTATAGTAGTATAAGGGAACACTAGAAAGACTATTACCTAAAAGCGACTTCCTAGATAGGTAGTAGGCGACTCGACGGTTATAAAACTTATAGCTATCGAGGTAGCGCTAGTATATTAAACGAGGAGAAGGCTATACCCGATAAAGACGATTATTACGATAGATAGTAAGTAAGCTATCTAACATATTACGGAGGGGGTAAGCCTATACGGATAATACGTAGTACGATACATCCGTAAGTATATCGATACTCTTTAGGCCTAGGAAGGAGTAATAGTTACCTTATAGTAGGTACCGGTCTATAAGGGGTAGTACGGTAACGAGTAGGTAGATAAGAAGGCGTAAAAGGTACTAGAGGAGGGATAGAGAGAGGGGGAAGGCCCTACTACGTAACCCGTAGGTCCTACTAACCCCCTAGCCTCTTTAGATCTTTAGACATCTACGGACCCCCTAATACCTACTAACCCCCTAACGCCTCCGGACGTACGCGACCGTAGTATAGTAAAGTCGAGAATATACTAATAACGCTATATAGGAGTTATAAAGAAGATAGTCTTAAGGGTAGCTAAGAAGACACTTTAAAAGAAGCTAGACGAGACCTAGAAATAGGCTAGGAATATAAGGCCTTAAGACACGCTATATACTAGATTATATACGTAGAAGCTAGACGGAGCCCTTCTAGGCTTCTATATAGCGATAGTGTATAATGCATTGTCCGCGGAGGAGGCGTCGATACTCGCCTAATGCCGGATAGGGCACTCCCGACTAAAGAGTGACCTATGCCAGATGAAACTAGTGGACTTAGTAAGGTGCGAATGCGGAGCTACGCGAGAAAGTGTTAAGCACATTATATACGAATGCCCCCTCCTACGCGAAGATCGTTAAATTGCTATTAAGGTAGTAGGGCATAGGTAGAGGGACCTTTCTTACATACTCGGGGGCTAGAATCCCTAGGAAGACCCGAGAACTAGGCGACTAGTCGACGGGCCGAAGGAAAAATGGAAAGCGAACCTCCCAGCGGTAAAGGCGGTCCTCCATTTTCTTTATAAGTCCGGCAGGTTTACGTAGTAGACGAGAGCTGTCGAGTAAGGGGAAGCTAGAATAGAATAAGGACAGATAGGGACATAAAAGGTAAAACTAGTAGGAGACGGCTAATAGGTTTGCCGTAGAACTAAGTAGCCTGATTAATTAAATTAATCAATCAATCAATTAATCATTGTAGATAGGAATTAAGCAAGTGTCACAAGGCTAGGGACATATGTAGAACTAACTACAAAGGCTAGGGCAAGCGTGGCAAGGTCATAGCAAGACGAAAGCAACGGGGAGGATTATGGGACGTGTCTAAAGGCTAAAACATTGCAAGCAAGATGAATATCCGGGTCCGGAGACCATTTGGGAGCATTACCTCTACCTTCCTTACCATGGAAAATGATGTAGGCATGGTTTGCAGACACCTGAAGGATCTGGTCCGATAAGAAACGCTTGGGAATCGCCACTGGCTCGAGAACACATCGGTCAGTTGGGGTTGTGGCGTACGTTCGCGATGCGACAGCTTGAATGTTGGAGCGGAATCCTTGTTATGTATAATCCAACACAGGCACTCAGCATTCTACAAGTCCATCTGCTGTATCTTCTCAAAGACTTGCGCCACTGTGAAAGGCTTAGACAGAAAGCCATCCTGAAATGAGCTGTCAGCATGTTGGGTTACATAGCAAGGGAACGGGATGCTTACAGCTCCTGCCGAACAGGCGACTTCAATCTGCTCCGGTCGCGCGTTCGCAGAGGTGACGACGATGGGCAAGTGTTCTGTGAACTTACCGGTCGTCTCCCATTCTCGTATCTGCTTGGTGCAATCAATGCCATTGAGGACGGGCATCTCCCAATCCATCAAGATGACATCCAACCTTTTGCCTGGCCGATCCCCACCTCGCCAGTATCGAGTTGTTTTGAGATAATCAAGAGCCTCACCACCATGATTTGCGATATAGACTTGATGACCCTTCGCTCGAAGTTGCTTGCTCAGCACTTTCGCGTTGATCTTATTGTCCTCAACCAGCAGGATGTCGAGCGGTCTTGTGCGTTCTTGGAGATTCTGAAGTTCGACAGTGTCGGAGATCCTTCTCATGTTCCTTTCTTCTTCGTCCGTGGCTGAGGTCGTCTTGACTTTGATGTAAAATCCAAAAGTNGCCTTCGAGCGGTCAGCGCATGTATGTCTATATGATCTGGATCCTCGCGTACTTCCTTCGCCGCTCTTGCTTGCGAGACCAATGCGACCGCCTTGGAGTTCTGCAAGTTGCATTGAAATGTAGAGCCCCAAACCGGAGCCACCGTACTGGGTAGAAGTCAGCCATGTGCTTGTTTGAGTGTAACAATGGAGCTTACTGTTTCGCTTGTTTGCNGCGCTTGCTTGACTGAATCTGTTGAACAATCTTGACATTTCCTCTGAGGTGAGACCTTTGCCAGTATCTTGCACCTCAAAGGTCAAGAAGACATTGCTGTCGTCGCTCAACACTGGGTTCGGCGAATCCTTTGGATACCATTGTAGCTGCGACATGTGCCTTGGAGGCGTCATGCTGCTGGACCCAATGATGAGTTTGATGGATCGTTTGCTTCTGCCTCTTGTGAATTTCATCGCATTGCTGACCAGGTTAATTAAGATCTGTCGTATTCTCGAAGCGTCGCACAAGGCCCAGTTGATATTGTAGGATGGGTGGATATCCAGAGCAAGGTCGATATCAGCATTCGCGGCTTCAGCTTGAAACATGCGAACGACTTGCTTCCCCACCATCTCGGGTTGGCAAACAGCGGAAGACAGCGACAGAAGTGATGAGCTGAGCTTTGAGACTACAAGAATATCATCTGCAATCGTCTTCTGATGAGCACTGCAAAATGCGATGGTCTTTGCATTTTCTCGTATTGAGTCAAGGATTTCTCGAGAGACAATGCCTGTCCGTAAGACTTTTTCCTCCTCGATTAGGCGAAGAATGTCATCGGCACACTGCATTGTCGCACCCAGAGGGTTTCGCATCTGTTTTCAAGTCAATACTGTGTCATGTGCCAAGCCTCTTCGGCAGTGTTGACCTACTTCATGAGAAGTCATGTCCNNTGTGTCTATTAGCGATGGCTGGAAAGAAATAAAAGTCTGACATACAATGAATCGTTCAAGGTGTTTCTTTGATTCAAGAGCAGCGTCGGTCGAGTCCTTNTGCAATTGTAGAGCCCACATAGTGTGCCTGATATCAGCCAGCGACCCAATGACACCTTGTACCCTGTCATCTTCAACATCTGGAACAATGGAGTTCAATACCCAGTAGTGTTGTTCCATTGACGAACCGGGTGGTGTCCATTTTCGTTTCAGACGAACGCTGATGCTAATGTTGGTTCGCCGAGATTTGCATTCCTCAATCGCGTTTGTGATCTTTTCTTGGTCCTCTTCCAAAATAAATGCTTCAAGACCATAAGCGTGACCGCGACCTGTTTCAGAGGTATCATCGACAATCTCGTGATACTTGGGGTTGGCATAAGTGAGAATGCCAGCAGCTGACGAAGAATAAATGCCGACGTTAGTTATCTCTGCGACCTTCCGGATGAATTGTTCTCGCTGGGTAAGCCTTCTAGTGAGAGCCCTCTCTCGCTCTTGTGCTTGTTCAAAATTGATACTCGAAGAGACAACAGAAGTAGCGGTCCGCCAGAAGTCATTGACCAACTGCTTCAGGTCATCATCATAAGGTCTTCGGGGATTGAGACCCATGACGGTGAAGCCAGGAATGAGACCGTTGGTAAGTATAGGCATGACAACAAGCAGAGAAGATGGTTCGCGCCAACCTCGCCACTCAACGTCTTGTCGGAATTGGCGCAAGGTCTGGTTCGAAGTGTCAAGCACAATAGGATGACCAAGAGCTTTGCTGGATCTGAAAGCAGGTGCGAGGGGATGTGCTGAGTCATCGAGGTTGAGATTGCGCAAGGTCTGTTCGTGTACGTCGTTGATGCCCAGAGAACCCTCCAGTCTCAGAGTGCAATGGTCAGATCGTTCAGAGAGCACAAGATTAGCCGAGTATACCAGGAGCATGGGCACATCTCTTTCGAAGGATCGACAACCCTCGACAATGTGAGACCAGACATTTGTGTGGTGGAAATCGGGAACAGCAGCAATCTGGTTGGTCAAACGAGCGTAACGGTGCATGAGAACGTTGTTGGTGATCTCGTAGCCTGAATTGTATAGACCTTCAAAGCTCCCGTCACAGTCAAGGATGGGGGAGAAGACGCCGTCGTACCAAGCTTCCTCGAGGAAGCCGCTCTTNTTGTGTACTTCCATCTCGAATTCGGGCGTGTGGAAGGCGGTTTTCGTATCCTGTACTTGCTGCATCATGAGTTTGAGGAAGGGCCAAGTGGCAGGCAGGGCTTCTTCGGCAGTGGCACCCATCATGGCAGGATGGCGAGAGTGGGCCATGATGGAAAAGGCCTCGTTGTAGATTGCGATGCGACTGTTGCCCCAGTACAAGTTGGCGGGTCGAGGGTCGTGCAGCATCTTGAGCACCATGAGCTGCAGCACAGGAGGCCATGATCGTATGGGACCAAGCTCTGTCTTGTCCCAGCGCGTGTTGATCAAGAAGTGGTTGTGCTCGCTGGCGGGTATTTGTAAAGTCCAGTTTTGCGCATCTTGTTCCTTGCTCTTTCTGTTGACGTCTGGCGCTGGTATCGAGACCGACGGGGGATATGAGGGTGATGGAGTACGAGTCGTGTCGCTATCGCAGTCGGCAGCGGCGGGCTTCAGCTTCCATCGGCGGGCATCGAGGTCAAACTCAACGCCAGTCGTTCCTTCCCCCTTTCGCACTGTTTCCCGTCCGTTCGTCATTTGCGAATTGGGTTGGCGCATTGTTGTAGGCATGAGCGGTCGTTATGCAGAGGCTCGTTTTTGCTGTCGGCGACGAGTCCGAGTTAGTACCAGTAATGTGAATGCGAAGAAAGTCAAGGACGCGAGTGACGGCGGGCAGCTCTTGCGGCTTCAGGTCCGGCAGCGCGCTTGCAATCAGAAGAGCCGCACTGCTGTTCATCGCGATGCCCTGCGCTCATATCATTGTCAAAGACAAAATCGCCTTTCCAGCTTCTGATCACTTTCTCCCTGCCCTCATCAAGTCTTCCCGTCTAGACGGCCAAATGGCGTCCGCTACCAACATTGGCCAAAGCCGTTGTGCATTTCGAGTCGCCACCGCCCGCCCGCATTTCTGCTGCAGACATACATCACCATGATGTCGCTTGTGGAAGAATATTCAACCATCGATATTTGCCAACTTTGCGGTCTCGGTCTATCTTCCGTCTTGTGCCAAAGGTCGCGTGCACGCTCTATGTTGTCCCCACTGACTATTTTATGCATTTGAGCCAACTCTGCATGTCGCTTCGGCGTGGCTAACACCCTGTCGGAGACTGTTTTGAATGGTCACAATCATTCACAGACCACTCCACTCGGATTCGATACATTCATCTTAGCATTGAACAGTTTTGGTCGAATGTGAAAACATCAGATCATATGGAAGCATCTATGTATAGGCTTATTGCCAACCCGCCAGAGACCTGCTTACGAAAAACAAAGTCGCAAGAACTACAACAGCCGTGACTGCTTGACCAAATGCCGCAACAAAAACCATCAAGAAATTCAACATCTTGTGAGGGTTGTCGTGGTTTATCGTTCTGCGTCGAACATAGAGCTGCCAGGCTGCTAGCATCTGATACAAAAATCCACCAAAGATCCCTCCATCTTTGAATTGCGGCCTAGTCCTAGGTCGGTCAAGTAACAATCTGCGAAACCCAAGGCAGGAGGTCATGTAATTGGTCAAGAAGAAGAGACCATACCATGGGCCCACGATAAAGATCAAGGCAACCACACCACCTCGCACACCATCTCGCACGAATTCTGGTGTCCCGCGATAAAGCTTCGAAAGGAAACCCCGAATGTGTTGCATGGTTGTTTGTCCCTGGTGTCCGGTAGCTTGCCAATTGACCATGCCATCTTGCAGCAGTAGGAGTCCAAGTGTGATCAGATAATGCGACATCGAGCCCAGCCACGAGAATCGGTAGAGAGTTTGGGATGATAGAGAAGGATATTCATGCAGCAGATACACCAGCAGCAATGAGATACTGAACATGTGATAGGCAACATTTACAGCTCTTGATCTTGCGACCTCTGCAGTCCAAGTATCTGCTTCCTTTGACTTTTCTTCGTCTGGTTCAAGAGATTTAGACGAGCATTGAGTCGCTGCTGCTGTTTCTGGCAGGATCGAGAAGACACTGGTTCCCACAATACAGGCTGAAGTCGTTATATCTGTCAAGTTGTTGTCCGGCACAAGCGACAGGCATCTCATTGCCATCATGCACCAGGCAAGCCCAAGAGCCATCAGTCTGCCCCTCCTCCAGTCATGATACTTGATGTAGTGTATCAAGAACTCTGCCATGACAAGGGCCATCTGTACCAGACATACATTGAGTGAAGCCCGTTCAGTCTTTTCCAGTGCCCAGAGCTTAGGCGAGGTAATTGACATATGAGCCACGGGAATAGCATTAGAGATGAAGTACGAGATCCAGCTTGTGCCCTCTTGAGGCTTGGTATCAGCGACATCTCTGGGCAGCAGAACTTTCGCATCCTTNTTGCCGTGTGCTTTGGTGCCTGAGATCCGTCGAAGCAGAACCCATTCCCATCCGAATACCACAAACCCCACGTACGCCAAAGCTGTACTGATGGGTAGGAGAGGTGCGACATCCAGCCAATGCATATCGGTGGACAAAAACATTTAGGCAATAGAGAACATGTGTCCCACTATCAACGGTGTGGGGGACTGTTCTGTTAAGTATCCAACAAAGAAAGCTAAGTCGGATGTCGGCCCAAAGATCGGCTTCGAGTCAAGGCTGAAGGATTCTGACGTCAAAACTTGCTAGATTCCGCTTTAATCCTATTGCTAGATATACACACTTTTTATAGACCAGTCCAATCGCTCACAAACTTTTTTGATCCTTCATCGCTTTCACGCTCCTTCCTCCTTGCTCTGTGTCTAAGCCTGCCACTGCTTGACATGAGAGATCAAGTCAAGTCTCTTCTGGTAGATGCTCTGCAAGTTTGCGCGTCTCTGCTTATCTCCAATGTTGTGTCCAGTGATGAGGATGAGCGTGAAAAACGACTCAATGATGCTTGGAGGAACATTGCAGATGATCTGACCCAGCTCATTCCAGCGCATCAAGCTGGCCACAAGTAGCAAACCCAGGATAGAGACCAGACCGACGGCCACAGTGTACTCGTGCGAGCAGAAGTTGCCCATGGCAATGGAGAAGCGAACATCAGCTCGAGTCACCGATTGATTCTCACTCGCCTGCGAGCTCGGCGCACCAATGATGGCGACCAGGTCCGCATCATCAAGAATCTGCTGTTCGTAGTGCTTGTCTTCGTAGCGAGCACACACGCTGCTCAGATTCTTGAGTACGAAACCGTCGTTCATACCGATGAGACCTGCATATGTGCCAATCAACAACCACCAGTTCGCATCAAACTTCATGACAGGACCGAGAACGACCCAAACGACCATGATCAGGGTCAGCAAAGCAATGCCTAGCAATGTGCCAACCAGATCGGCGTAGAAATTGATGGCACGTTGGAGTTTACTGACGGCAGCGGCCTCGATGACAACAGCCTCGTTCTCGATAGTGTCTTTTGTGATGTCGCGAAGCACAAGCTCCAGCTCTGTGTCGACAGCCATGATTCTGGTGGTGCATTGATTCAGGTACTGTTCATGACGCTCGCGATCGTTAGCAAGCAGAGCGAGCATAAAAACCATGAGGGCAGAGGTAGAAGTGTTGATGTAGAAGAACCAGACGTCCGACCAGTGACAGTAGTGTCCGAAGGCAAGCCAAACGATGATGCAAATCACATATCCAATGACTGTCGCAGTGTGACCCATGAATTCAGAGACTGCATTGCAGATTCTGCTAATCATGTCCTCAGTAGGCAGGTCGGCACGCGTTCCAGGTGTGTCGAATTGAGGCGAGTTGACCTGCTGTAGTTTCTCCAGATGAGCTAATGTGCGAAGCATTCTCTTGTGGCTCAAGGTCCTGGACTGGAGATGACAAGCAACGACCAAGCCCTGCTCATGCGCATTCAGCTGCTGACGCACAAGAAAAGCATCAAAGACCATGTTGATGATGGCTTGCGCGTCTGAGATTCCAACCTGCCAGCCAGTGTTTTGCGAGAACCTGATGCCAGCCAATGCCCAACCCAGCAAAGCCGCAACAGTGCAGAACAGTACAGTGTTCGATCCGGAAGCTGCAACAACCTTGTCCAACCAGCGATCAAGTCTCTTGACCTTGACTGTGTTGATGCTCATGCTCTTGATGGTTGCGTCCGTCTCATCTTTCTGAGAAAGAGGAAGATGAGTTGGAGCAGCTTCACACACTGCGCCTCTGGCCCCGATAGAGCAGAAAAAAGTTGCCAAAGTGTTCATCATGGTGACTGAAGTTGAGTTCTGTTCGTGGCTTTCTGTTCACGTTGGAAGTTTTCTGTACCCAGCCGCAGCTGAATGTTAGCAAAACTCCATCTATACAAGTGGACATATGGAAGGCAACATACCTTTCCCAATTTGATGGCACTTATGGTGGCAGGCGTGCAATTGATGCGACGGCTCTGATCTGACGGGGTGCTGCGTGCGATGCCAGGGTTGCGATGATGACCATGCCTGAGTATAGAGGTATGTGGATTGGGAGTGGATGATAGTCCGTCAGTGTAAGGCAGAAAGTGATTGTAGCAGAAGTGCTTGTAGAATGACAGAGACGAGGGCTCCTGATCAGTATATGAGACTGTTGGAGAGATGTGAATAGCACCATGATGCAGCCGAAAAAACTTGTTGCAAGTTGTTGGCCTAGACTGAGTTGCCCAACGTGCGAACTGTTCGTGGCCTGTAAATACCGCAAGCCGAGCTGAGCCTATCGGTGAGTGATTTACACAATTCATGCGGGTGCTAAGGTGAGCCCTCGATCTCAAGCCTGTAACCTAGAAAGTTACGTTTCTGAAGATCTTGCCTTGAGTAGATTCGTTCAGCTTCACCAGCACTCTCAAGACTCAGCGTCAGTCAAGTCGTGAGAACATATTCTGTCCATGGGCCAATGTTGGATTCTCGGCAGTCGCAAAGCTTGTATACGATGCTTGTTCTGCGGGAGAGTATTTGGCTCTCATTCCCGGGTGGTGTCGCTGTCCCTGGTGTGAAGCTGTGACCTTCTCGCCAAGTGCGACATCCGGACATGCCAGTAAGGAACTCTCACAAATATTAGGTGCGCGTCACTGGTTGTGAACATGATAGCAGAGCTCCTGTCTGGCGTATACGAGATGTGTCTTAATCGGTTGTCAGCCAAAAGTATAATCCTCCTCCATGCCGCCCCAGGAAGTTTCGAGTGACATTCTAGCTCGGTTTGTGTTGCGGATGTCACAACGCGGCGCGTACCTCGGGGAGCCGTTGATTACGCGTCCAGCACATGGAACAACCACTTATGAACCACAACAACCCGTTGCATCCCTGAGAAAAGTGAGACGCCCTGAAGAACACATGGGTTGATCGAATGACTGTGATGCAAAGCTGCTTAGGCGGGAATTCTGATCTTGTCACACAGAAACGCGCCTCACTCCTTGATTCTCTCCTCAGATCAGACGCAAGGAATGGTAAGATGCCATTAGGTGGTGCCGACCTCGAGCGCGTAAATCAAAGGCTCCTGATGTTTTCTCAAGAGAAACTCCTGGACAAAGCGGAGGACGACATGGCGACAGATCACTTAGATCATCACTCGCAAGATGATTTTCACAGCGACATGGAGGCTCTCGCTGGTCGCTCAAAATTCCAACGATCGAGATTTTCTGCCTTGAGTTGCCGGCGACTGAGAAGGTCGATCGTCGCAAGTGCGACATTGTGCTTAACCATACTGTCAGCTTATACACCACAATGAGCATTCTGTATCCTCCTGCTGACGAGTTGTGCAGCATGTTGTTTTGGCTTCTGCCCTCGGCATCTACGCATGACGAGTTCGACATTGTTTTCAAGAACGGTCCTGCAAGCACGTTCTCAGCGTCACGATTCGAGAATCGACAATACTCGTTCTTGCACAATGTGCTTCCTGTGCCTTGTCATTCACACAACGACTACTGGCGACGCACTCCCTTATATGCCGCATTGGGTTCAGGTTGTATCAGTGTCGAAGCAGATGTGTGGCTTTTTGACGATGATCTGTTCGTTGGACACAGTATCAAGAGCCTGAACTCTGTGTCCACACTTAGGTCAATGTATCTCGACCCTCTGCATCGGATTTTGGAAGCGGCGAATGCAGAGTCGGCCATTGGAGGTGTGGCTACCGATGGTAAACAAGGCGTGTTTGCTACATATCCAACACAGACCCTCGTCCTGCTCGTTGACTTCAAGACGGAAGGCCCTGAGACATACTCGAAATTGCATGAACAGTTGCAAGGATTTCGCAATTCGGGATGGCTTACACACTGGAACGGCACAGATCGTGTAGAGCGGCCAATCACTATAGTCGTGTCTGGGAACGCGCCTTTTGATATCATCGCAAATGCTAATACTACGTATCGCGATGTCTTTTACGATGCTCCTCTGACATCTCTTGAAGCCGATGGCGATCCCACTACGACTTCCGCATCAGGTAACGCATCTGCGCAGACTTCGTCGCTTTCGACTCAAGACATGCTCAAATACAAGTACAACCCAAGCAATTCGTGGTACGCGTCCAGCAACCTCAAGACTGTCGAGCATGGCATTGCCTCTTGGTTTGCTGTTACACCTGACGAGATAGAGAAACTAGGACAGCATATGCGGCAGGCCGAGCTCAGGGGACTGAGATCTAGATACTGGGGTACACCAAGATGGCCACGCTCGCTGCGTGATCAGATCTGGCAAATACTGTTGCAGCAGGGTGCCAGTATTCTCAACGTGGACGATCTGCGTGCTGCGAGAAAGGGATCATGGGGTCGTTGGAGCTAGCTGACGACAAGACAACGCACTTCTAGTGTTCGTGTGTCATCACTTAACAATATTCTTTTCGATCATGTCTTGCACCACTGTCACTCTGCCTGGCTCGCGATATTGGCCTTACGCATGCATGACAACCATACGATACATCCAATCAGCCAGGTTTTCCTTATGGTACACCATGTTCAAGATGGTGTTGGCTGGTCACGTTGAGCAAGTTCTATCTATGTTTACTGAAGTTTCGATACTCGAATCAGCGCTCTACTGCGCATCTGTAAACAAGCGATGCGCACTTTCTGGGACATCAAATCCATCCAAATGACCATGAGCAGGAAATCACAGTAGACAACGGAATTGAAGAAACACTTTCCCGATGCAACTGATGCTGGAGAACCGAAAACCAGACGTCCATGGTCCAAACAGTAGAACCCGAACATCAATCTTGTGAGATCGATCATCAAAAAGACTGCTAAGTTGCAGAAAGCGATCATGCTACTGCACTGAGAAAGCTACAAGCTCGGCCGAGTGGCTTGTCTCTCAGCCGCCATCAGGTCGACAGTATCCGCGGTCTTCACGCTTTTGAGGAGATGAGGCAGAGCAAGACCGACAGCCTCGGTTGCCATTCCGAGTCCAGCTTGATATCCTGTTCCTCCAGCTCCGTAGTTGTGAACAACCATATGTCCAGTACGCCTCTCTTCCATCTCAATGCGTGCGCCACCTTCTCTGCCAGGCCGAAGCCCTGCGAAGGTCGCGAGTATCTCTGTCTCAGGCACATTCAATGATGGTTCGAGAGTCGAAGTTCTTTGCCAAATGGACTCGACCTCGTGGGCAAATGTATCTCCAGTACTGTAGAGCGAATCAGTCCCATACTCTAGCCATTGACCCTCTCTTACCACTCACCTGTTGTTCTTCTGCATGAAGCCACCAAGGATGACATTACCGTTCGAAAATGGTCGCGGGATTATGTAGGTCTCATAGTCCTTTCCATGTCGCATGACATTCGCTTCAATTTGTGGTGCGCGTGTGAGCAAGATTTGTCCCCTGACAGGGTAACACTTGGAGTCTTGGACACCTGGCAAGTGGCGAGCGGCATTGCCTATGCAGTTGAACACAACCTTGGTCTGGTTGCTAAGGAAGGCGTGGTTCAGATGCTCAATCTTGCGACGGAAGAATCGAACACCGAAACTCTCGAGCTTCTTTCTCAGATACTGTATGTGGCGAGGTGCATTGATGGTGACCGTCGTGAATGAGACGCCAAAAGCGGTACCTGGGATGAGCTGATCGCGACGCAAGACAGCAAACTTGTATTGACGTTAGCAAAGGGGGTTCTCCGAGTTTCGAGAGGCACGTACATCCTCAAGGTAGTCCGCAAGAGAGGTCAGCTTCTGCTCTGGCGGCTTCTCATCCCAGTATTCATATGATGGTGTTTTTCTGATGGCAGCTTCAGGTCCTTCTGTCGCAGCAAGTTTCATGAGGCGTTTGTAGCCAGCCTTGTCCCAGATCAGGGCGTTCTTATCGCTCCCTGAAATTGCAGAGAAGTTTGCTCCAGCNCCTGTGAGCAAGTTAGTGATGATGCTCAAGACATTTACAGAGCGCGTATATTACCAGGGAGAGGTGTAATCGACGGAGGTGTCTCCAGGCAAATGTTGTGCAACGACGGTGGTATGATGGCCGTAACCATTCTCGGCAAGAATGAGAGCTACATCGAGTCCTATAACTCCCGCCCTGAACCGAATGTCAGTCCAAACGCACAAGTGACCCAGTGTCTGCTTTTGACAACGCACCCAAGAACCACGATCGAGTCCTGCATGTTGCTTTCCTCAATCATCGCTGACAAGCTAAGTGATGCAGAAAATGGTAATCAGAGTCGATGTTGCAGAATATCTGCAGGAACACAAAGACCATGGATCAGATCGATCAGAAGAAGTAGTAGCTCAAGGTACAGCAGATCTATGCGAGCTGATATTCGGCATCGGTCCCTTACGCCGCATCCCGCATCGGTGACTGGTCTCAGAGTTTCCCCGAACCTCCGATCTGTCTGAGTCATCGGGCAGACCTCGAGGAACATGACCCATGATCGCAGGCCATGTCAGCGCGGGGCATAAGGTGGAGTTGGAGAGTGGCCGTCTCGACGCCTATCAGCTTCCGGCGTACTGATAGGGATCGTGTCTTGGCAGTCCTATCAGATCCGCTTTGTCCGGGCGACACCTCCCCGAGCATGACAAGCAAGCCTGATTAACCAAAAGGCCAGTTTGATCGCAGTCACTGGGAACTCAATCATTCGTCTTCTGACTGCGGGCACGTTCGATTGATCAAGCAACAGCTAATCAACCAAGTTCCTTCTCAAAAAGAAAAGAATGACAAGATTCCCACCATCTACAGTGCCCAGAGCCACAGGTATTACTCATCAGATTCCGAAACAATGGCTTGACAAACTTGACCCGGAGTGGGTTGAGATGTGGAATGCTCACGGTGGGCGTCATCGTCAAGCTGAGGAAGTTGGTATCGAGGAAGTTCGCATAGATCCAGCAGCGTACAGCTTCACATACCCCACATGGACAGGCGAGTGCAAATTCTCTTTTGCAGCAGACCTGTTTGCTGAAGTGCAGCAGGACCCAAAGTCCATCAGGAGAATGAGTTTGACATACCGGTGACCAAACCTGATGGCCAGATCAAGATCCGACTGTACACTCCAGAAGGCACTGGACCTTTCCCTGTACATCTAAACTATCATGGAGGTAATTATATGCTATTCAAACCTGAAAGTAGTCTTGCTAAGATACAATCAGGAGGATGGATCCTTGGTGACCTGCACAGCGAGGCTGCCTGGTGCCGCAGCGTGTGTAACAAGGTCGGTATAGTGGTTGTAGACGTTGATTATCGGTTGGCACCCGAGTTCGTATTTCCAGCGGCGATCTACGATTCTTGGGACGCTATGCGATGGGTAAGTGCGTCTTGCGTTGCCTCACCATAATCTGACCGTTTCCAGGTCCTCACTCATGGAGAGGAGCTGAATGTCGATACGAATCGCATATCCATCGGCGGTCTTTCAGCAGGAGGCCACATGTCTGCCGTTCTTTCTCACATGGCGCGCGATGCCGGGCTCGAATTGAAGCTGGCGTTGATGATAGTCCCATCGACTGATTTCAGATGGTTGATAGCAGCCGAACCCGTTCGTTCGGACGTGGCCAAAAGGTATCCGAGTACAGCGCTATACAAAGACGCGCCATGGGGAGGTCTAAAAAGAGAACAATGGTTTTTGGACTATTGGATCCCGAAAGGTCAGTAGCGGAACGCTCCACTTGAAGGCCGGCGAACTAATGGGGAGCAGCGATCAGAGATAACGCATGTGTGGACTGGATGGCCTCACCCATGTTAGCGGAGGATTTCGAAAACCTCCCACCTACACATATAATCACAGCCGAGTTTGATATCTGTCGAGATGAGGCGCATCGGTATGCAGAGCTGTTGACTCAGAGCGGCAACAAGGTGACGCAAAAGTGTTACACAGGCATGCCTCATGCTTTCGGCCACTATACAGATCCGCAGAAGGGACTGAGTAAGGGTCGAGAATACATAGATGATACTTGTGAGGTGCTCAGACGCGCACACGATCTTTGAAAGACGCGTGCGTTTGGCGATCAGAACGCGATTGGGTGTGTCGAGATCTGGTAACAGCCGTGTATAAAAAACCTTTGAACCACTTCTCCTACTATCTGCTATCAACGATATTGGCTGCTGGGTAAGACAGCCTCGAGCGAATCTTCGAGTGGTGTGTAAGCGATGTGTTGTGACTTGTGATGGCGAGCGCATGTTTTGACTTTGCCAAGACTGCCGGCCGGTATTGCGACGAGCTAAAAAATCGCGGGACAGTCCTCTCCGAGTCGTCTTCAAACTTGTCGATCTCAGGCTATTTCGATGCGGAAATATATGAGCAAGTCACAGCGAGCATGCGACAGCTGTAGAGCACGGAAGAGTGCATGCCGGATAGAGTCCGCGCCCCCATGTCGACTCTGTCATCTGTCCGGCCGAGAATGCACTTTCGAAAAGTCCCCTCGGACGACACGTAACGCTCGAACAGCAGTGTCGCATGTGTCGCCAGACGAGGTCATCGATTTGTCATTAGGACCAGCCGCGCCGAACATGACCAGCAGACAAACTGATACATCCAGCCTCAACAACGCACAGTTCGAGACACAAGAACCGGAGTTGCTGGTCCATGATTTTGAGCTCAACGATATCCAGAATCTGAACGGGCTGGCTCCTGGAGCTCTCTTGCCTGGTGAACTGAACGATGCTCAAGGTGACTTTTGGCTGGATCAAGCTATGATGGATATCGACATGCAGGCTTACAATTACATCAATACTTCTCCGGACGCGGCGGTCCTGCCTCAAGGCGCGCTTCAATCGCCTATTGCCACGCAACAGGAGATGTTCAGGATAGTATGCGGCCTCACGGGAGATATGGACCCTTATGTTATGCAGCGATACAATTTCGGTCCCGACAACAACTTTGTCTTCAAGAGACTTACTGTACAGTCAATGTCGCAGGGTATTCATCCAGTGCAACTGCTTGCATACAACCAGTCTGAAGAGTCAGCCAAGTCAGACGATGAGACCACTCGCGAGCTGTTAGAAGGGCTTGTAAGCCCAGATGTGGGCACAAGGCTCATCCCCCTGTATGGAATGCGTGTGCTTTGACAGACGTCGTTAAACTTGGCTAACGACTGCAGATACTACAAATATGTGTACCCTCTGGTTCCTGTAATTCCGGTCACAGATACCCCAGAACCAAAGCAATCAGACGCATTTCTTCTGGCTGCTATCTATCTGACCACACTCCGCTTTGCGGATTTCGACGACTATCTTTCTGTCCAGATAGCGTATGATCTGCCAGATGCAGAAAGGTTGTGGCATCTTGCTTTGACCACAATACAACAGAGATTACATAGACCAGATTTCGCCATGCTACAAACAGTGATATTGCTTCTTGTCGCACCGTCGCCAAAACCTCTGATGCCGGACTATTCCACGAAATGGTCACTTGGTGGTACTATGGTCACTGTTGCTCAGACATTGGGATTACAATTTGATCCAAGCCTCTGGCCGATCTCAACGGCTGAGATAGATCTTCGAAAGCGTTTGTCTTGGACTGTCGAAATGATTGATGTCTGGCATTCCGCAGCGCTGGGTCGAACTTGCTTGATTCGGGAAGATGACTGGTTGTGTCCTGGACCAACAGTCACTGATTTTTTGGAATCTGAAAGCCAGACCACGATGCCAAAGCATGTGATGCACATGTATAAGCTTACTATGATTATGCGCCAAGTGCTGACTACGCTCTAGTGAGTGTGTCCAACTGATGATCTTGCATCAATGCTAACTCGAACAGTTCTCTGAGGGCAGTGCAAGATCTAGCAACAGACTACGACGCCACGTTACGCAAGGTACAGGTGTTGATGGAAGAGCTGAACCAATGGTCAAGTCTAGCGCTTGAAATTGAAGCTGAAGCAAGATCGCAAGACATCAACCTCTCGGGCCCTTTGATGCTTGGGGGTCACTACGTCAAAGTGCTCCTGTTTCGCGCCATACTGAGACCATTCCAAACTGTATCCAGAGTGAGTTCAATGGCCGCGCGCGAAGCTGAAGCGTATCGGCTCTCCAGGGCTGGGGCGAAAGCATGCGTCACGAGCTTTGTGGCGTTTACAACTGACCTGAAAAGTGGATGGGTTCACGGATTCTGGCCATTCTGTAAGTCTTGTCTCCTCTAGCTCCGACGAAAGATCAAGAAGGTTGCTGATGATAAATTCCAGGGTGCACATTAGCTTGGTCAACTCTTTGCAATCTTGCACTTTTGCTCTATGTCACTGCAAACAGTGCCGAGGAGGCCCAAGAATGCCAGCTACTTCTTGATCGTGCTCGAAAAGCCGTCCGACTGCAGTCTAAATCGCTTGACGTCCTGCGCTTCTCGCTTCTTCGAATTGACAGTATATTCTGGAAGGGGCTTGACAACGTTTTGACTACAAGATTGCAACAGTCACGGCAGATTTGAGAGTGGGGCCTTAGAGAGCAGAACATTGCGCTATCGCTTCATTAGCAATTCGTCGTGTTACTGCTACTGGATGATGACCATCGGCCTATTGCCCACTGTCATCCTTACTTTCGCAATCCTTCTTCATCAACCATCAGCTTGCCTCCGTGCTCGGCAACACTCGCCACCTCAAGCTCCACATTGGCTGCCTCTTGGCCTGTGATGATCGGCACATCGTCGAAAGAGTTTCGGAAGCAAAGATATAGCCCCAAGCCACCGAGGAAGCCTACTATGCCAAGAGAAGCATACATCCAGACAAGATAAGGATCTTGAGACACGGGTGCAAGGGCGATGCATATCGCAGCTGCGATGCCGATTGTAAGCCAGAAGAGGGCTGACACTAAGGAGCGCAGACTNTCACATTGTCAGCTTGTGCCATGCAAGTACGAACTCGATATCTTCACGAACCTTGTTGGCGCTTTGGTGTAAGCCAGCTCCAATCCAGTGATGATCACAAAGGCTTCGGAGAAAGCCACAAAAACGTATGCTGGAGCTTGGATCCAGACATGGATACTATTGGGAGGCGAGATGTAGATGTAGTGTTGAAGCACTGCAGCATACACCATCGAAAAAGAAGCCATCCAGAACCCAGCAGTCATCTTCAAGACGGGACTGAAGTTGATCTTGTACTTGCGAAGCAACGGATATACCACAACTTGTGGGAGAGTCAGTTTACTCAATGCATCCCTTCGGTTGATCCTTGAGACTTACAGNTCAAGCAGAGGAATGAAGATGATCAGGGCAATTGGGTCAAGGTTCTGCAAGAGATCGTTTGGGGTACCGTGCAGCGCCATCGCCCCAGCTTGCGAGATAAGGTTGTTCCAGATCTGGATCCAGCACACAAAATATAGCGGAAGGAACAAGAAGAACTATTCGCACGTCAGTTGAAATGCAATCATGATCGCGTACAGATGGACAGCTCCAACCTTGCAAGCGGTAATACCAGACTGCACATCCTTCACGGACTTGTCTGTGTAATTGGCCGACTGAGCGAAGCGATACTGCTGNATTGTCCCTTGAGCTTGCAGGGTACTCGGCTTTGCTTTCTCAAATCCTCCTTCTTTGGCTGCGATGGTCACGATCCGGACGGCATCAATTACAGCTGATCCGTGCGGCGGCGTTTTGACGAATAATTTGCTGCTTAGGATGAACACCACCGCGCAAACCACAATGACANNCTGTCGCAATTAGCGAAGGCCATTCCCAACAACCTAGGATAGGACGACGTACACCAGAGGAATCAGGTAAGCAGCCCAGAAAGAGACGTGTGCTTCAACATTCACCGTGATCAACGGCGAGAGCGCGCCAACGTTGACAGCCCAATAGAACNNCTGGCTCAAGTCAGCTCGATGGCTTTCTGTCGATTATATCGCAACGAACCAGTTGAACATTCGCTCGACTGTCAGCCCAGGGTCAACAACTACACGTTCGCCTGACTTGAGCGTCTTGACGTAAGCTGTTTCTGGTCGGTATTGCTCAGCGCACATGGGGGTGACATTGGCCTTGATGCTTCCAGTGCCCATGCCGATCACGACCATGGCAGCGATGAGACCGCCGAATCCTGCACCTGACTCGATGCCTGCTGGTGTGGAGGTCGCGACCAGGATGACAAGCCCGACAATGTACACTCCGCATGCTACTGCGATGGTCTTGAATCGACCAAGGTATTGGTCGGCAATGATGGCACCAATCACCGTGGAAGCGTAAGCCCAGAACTTGAAGAAGTTGCCCAATGCGGTTGCCACGGCCTGGCCTTTACCTAGCGCACCCGGAAGATCTGATCCGGGCTGATGCGGGTTNCCTGAGCTTATCAATATATATTTCAGTGCGTGCCCAAGCTGAATTACTCACTTGATGTAGTTCTGAATTGGTGCACTCAAGCCAAAGTATGTGAATCTTTCGCCTAGCTCAACAATGAGAATGAGAAGGACGACCCAGGGAATGCGATCGGGCACGCGGCGCAAAGTGCTCTCCTGAGCGTCGGTCGGATAGTCTTCCTGGTTTGTCGAGTCGTGGTCGTCCAACTCTCGAGTCGCCATGCTATGAGTCATGTTTCTTTGACAAGAAGCAGAATGAACTCGTTTGGGAATGCAGTGTATCTGGTAGGGAAGTGTATGGCGTGATTATCGTCAAGTCGATCATGCCATGTGTCCCCATCTATAGATGATATACGTTTTGCAAGTCATTGATATGCCCACACAGAAGGTATGCTATCTACGCCGCAACCCCGCGTTACGTTGTCTTATCTTGTTTAGGTTTGGTCTGTGGATACCGATCTCGCCCGATCTGTCGGAATGAATGCCGCCAATCATATGTCAGTCTTCGAGAGAAACTTCGAACGTTTTGACAAAGGCCGGCTTTGTGGGGTGAGTCCCTTGTGTAAGTTGTCACCTTGTATCTGACAATTGACGGGTCCACGGTGTCATGCGATACCAGCGCACTGTCTCCAGAACAGACGAAGCCAGGGTGCTCAATCTGTATCGATTGACAGCGCATCACACAGTATGCCCAATAGTAAAGCCTACTAGCCTAGGCATGTTCAGGGCTTCAGTGATCTGTCCGAAGCCGTGTCGTGGTAAAGAGAAACTAACTGCCGCTTGACCGCGCATCTCGAACCGCTTCTCAAGCGGACGCAAGCTTTCCCTCAGCGTCTGTGATCTCAGATCTACTCAAAAGTCGTAGAATCGCAGAGATGCATCGCTGTCCAAACTGACCAGCGTCCTGGAGTCCTCCAGCCAGTAACAGCCTCTTGCACTCCGCGCTAGACCAGGACCCCGAGGTCTCTCAAGCCTCCATTCAACATTACTATCCTGATCCCACACTTCGATAGTGCCACTACTCATCCTAGCCACCAACATTCTTCCTTCCTCGACCCACATGAGCTCGACGAAGTGGGCATACAATCGCATCAGTGGATTCTCGAGTCTCACACAGAAAGATGTGGAGGTAACATTCTCAAATGGTCTCCAGATCCATATATCTGTCTCGCTCGCAATGGCGATCTCATTCCTGGAAGACCAGGCTGCCACGATGGCTTCAGATCTACGAGCAAGGTCCTCAGTTCTGTATCGTGCAACCTGCTCCCCAGTCTGGGTCGATTATACGGCCATGTAGGCAGTCTGACCGACAGTCTGCCTTTCTTTGTTGACCTGCTTCGCCATACCGTAGAGCAAAATATGTTTGGAGTTGGGGGACCATATGTTCNNATAGCGTTGTCCTCTCGGGGCACTGATAACTTGTTCACACTCGCCTGATTTTGTGTCAAAGATGCGAAGAGTCCCAGGTCCTGCTACGGCGGCGATGCTTTTGCCGTCTGGGCTAAACCCTGTCCAGTTGATGGCGTCGCCTTGATTGTCCAGAATGTACTTCTGTCTACCGTGAGCAAGATCATAGACAATGACCTTTGTGTTTTGTCTTGGCCGAGAAGAATCTTCTTGGAGAGGGTTGTCGGCGCGAACATACAGCAACAGTTCACCATCGGAGCTGATAGAATTCGTTTAATAGCCTGTGGCACCGTCCAATTGTAGCAAGTCCTTGGCTTCCAGAATCGCTTGCAGCCTGTCCAGAACTTTCTTGTACTGCGCGCGGGTGGTATCTAGCAATGAAGACGCGGCGGCAGATCCACCCAGGCCGTTCAATTGAGATGTGACAGGGTCCATAGATAACTCCAGTACCTCGTCAATGTTCAACAGCTGTGGTTGAACCACTCTTCGTCCATCAGGGCCCAGTTCCAAGAAGATGAGGGCCTTGTCGCTATCTGATCGGTCAGATTCGGAGCTTGAGATCATGAGCGTGTATCCGCCTGTCTCTGTGAGCAAAGGGCTGAAATCCAGGCCACGAACCGGCATTGTCAAGCCTCGAGACACCATACGACACTCTTTTGTTGCAACATCGTACAGGTTGACCACAAGGCCATTCGACGCTGCGATGAATTTCTTGTCCGGTGTGGGAGCCGACGTGGCCAGACGGCAAGTAGGATCGTCAGTATGAGGAAGTTCTATCCTGTGGTCTTCATCGCCCCAGTATCGATGAGCTGGACTCAGTCCAGTGTCTGCCCAAGATGAGGGTGTACCGTTGACATCGAAGTCTTTCTCGACCTCATATGCAAATTCGACGAGAGATCGCTCCCAGTCCATCCAAGACATGCTGATAGTCGGCAATTCGGTTGTCTTTATCTTGTGAGTAAGTTCTATATACAATAGNGAGCAGTATTTGGTGGGTAGCAGAGGTGTAATTTGAGCGGGGCAATCCAGGCAGAGGCAGCAGCGTCAGCGAAGTTGCTTTTGTTGACATCGAAGTGTTGATGGCAACGATCAGTCAGGTTGCGAACAGCAGTTTCTCTGCAAAGCTTAATGAAAACTCACGTCTCGGTGCGAGTTTGTTACTATCCAAAGTCCTACGAGCCCTTCAAGATGCCATCAGCTCGAGTCACTGATATCAAGAAGAGGTTCTTTCTGCAGCCCGAGCTCACACATGCGAGAGATTGGCAGTATGGTCTACAGCCCTGCGACCCCACTCATCTCTCGTGCGTAACAATCCCAAAGGACTCCTTGTACGTCAGGCACATCCGCGTAGATAAGACTGATAGCTCTGTCAAGACCGAATACAGCATTGATCATCTTTCCGGAAATCCGAGAGCCGCAGATCACATAACCTTATGATTCAGTTGGTCGGTTTCGTTCAATCCGTCGAATAAGAAGAGCTCGCATAACAAACGAGTAGACAAGTGGAGCCGACCCCTCAAGATATGACAGAGGGTGATCGTGGTCATCGTCTCTGAATACGCTTGACAACCCGACATCTCCGCGTATCTAAGGGCTTGTTGATGCTTTTTCCTGTGCGGATCGCTTTGCGATACGTCTATCAGTTCGAGAGGTGCAACATTAGCCTGCTCTCGTAAAATTTGGGAGCGCATCACGAGACTGGTCCAAGCAAAGCATACCGCTCAAGGGTTATCATGGACGCTCGGCAAGAACCGATCAAGAAAGACAGGGAGACTCGAATGCCATCTGTCCGAGGTACAGACTATGGCAGTACAGGGTATAAGTAGCAGGTCTTCCGTCACGTAAATGACTGACCAGAACAATTGCATACACTTCTCTTAAGCCTCTGTTTACCTCTCCTTGTCCAAGCACATCGTAGCTCTCGCCATCAACATGAAGACCTTTGTCAGCATTCTCGCCATCGTTACCATCGCCACCGCTGCTGCAACTCCCAATCTCAAGCGCCGCACCGGCATCATCGAGATGCGTGCCGTCTCGGACCTCTGCGGCCCTCTAGACACTCCCATGTGCTGTGCCACTGATGTTCTTGGAGTTGCCGACCTGACGTGCTCACCTGGTACACCTCATTACCTTGTCTTTCTTGTACTGAGATGCTGATGTGTGAATCNNGAAGTTCCGACTAGTGTCACAACCAGTGACGACTTTGAGTCTTACTGCGCTGCAGAGGGCAAGTCTGCTGAGTGCTGTGTCACTTCACTGGTAAGTCGATTGCCGTATGAAGCTTCAATCTTCGATATTGATTCTTCTTCACAGCTTGGCGATCTTGGTCTTGTATGCTCGGCTGCTGCTTGAGTTTCTGCAATCCAACACAATGGAAAGAGGCTGTAGTGTCAGCTAGAATATGCATTAGGAACGGTATCCACGATCAACATTATCTCAGATTGACATCATACTGGAATTGTGATTCGTTCCTGTTCACAGAGTTGCTCAAGATGCAAAATAGAAAAGATCGTTCAAGGTCAGTCAAGTTGAATTTTTCAAAGAATCTTATGCATCCTGATCAAAGGCTCGGTTCTTGAACAAACGGAGTGCGACATCCGAAGTGATGATTTGGAATGCTATCAGCCATTGAAGGCAACAGCCACCAACGTTGCCAACATCACTCCGCTTGTAAGCACCGCCCGATAGTTGCTGCCTGATTTTGAGCACATATATCTACCTATTCGAAATTCAATCTCTACCTTGATCATCAGCATAAGTTGCAATGGCATCTGACTTGAGCAGCCGTGGGGATACACAATCGCTGTCTTACTCTTTCAAGGTCCCTTCACGTCACACAGCAACAGTACAAGTCACTGCACAACCAAATAAACATCCAACAAACGTAGGCAGTAACCTGATTCTGCCTGAACAACCTCTCGAGGCTTTCGTCGACTTTCCAGTCTGCAGAGCCAAAGTCAGAGCGCCCGAGGAATCTGGCTATGCAGCAATGTACGGATGGATCCAGATGGTCCGCGAAGCTCCATTAGATTCCACGTCCCCAACCAAGAGATCTGATCTATGGGAGCTAGACACAATCCCAATCCTATCCGACGCCGATAATCCTTTTGTTTGGTTCGGACCTGAGCCGCAGCTGTTCGACGGTCCGTATAGAGCCAACAGGACCGATATAGACTGGACCGCTTGGAGCTTCTTGACATACATCGATGATTGTGTCATGACGAAGTGTGTATGTCCGATTCTGGTCTTCGAATGGGGTTTCCAGATCGAAGATGGAAATGTCACCATCAAGGCTTTGAGGCGTGTTGATGTACATGAAGCTTGGGAGCAGCAGCGAGAGATGCTGGAACAGAAGTTTGGGAGCTGGTCTTTCAAACCAGCGGACGAGGATTTGGAGGTTAACGAGATGCGCGGCCAAGCAGCTTGAGCAGAGTTGTCTGAGCTGGAGACATGGCTTGAGATACCCATCTTGACATTGATGTCCGACGATTGACAGTCGACACTTGGGTACGGATCTTCTGAACATAGTACGTTCTGGTGTTGTATCTGATTAGCCAGATGCACTGAGCAATGGTGGTTGTGCTAGCCCTGAACACAAGAGCTGGATCCGACAAATTATGCCGCCTAGCGGAGAATCAGGTGGCTTTGTGCTTGTCTTCCGTCGCAGGTGCTCTCGGAGCAACAGGAATCGTTTCGAATTCATAATACATCGATGTTGCCAGACTATGTTTGGCCTAGACAACATATAACTATACAACACTCATATAACCCACACCTCTTCGCCCACTCAACGAGGTCTCGTAACCTCTAGCTAGCAGCATAAGGAGATTTGCAGCTGAAGGAGGTAGTAACACTACCACCTGCAAATGCACTGATCAAAGCCTCAATGGCAGCATAGCAACCAAGACCACAAACAACCAATGCACCCAAGAAGTAAATGATGTTGAGCGAAGTGATGAAGAAAGTCTTTCTGTATCCACGCATCCATCTCTTGATGCCGCCATCGACGCGGTGGTACTTTCCTGTTGCGACGTCAAAGGTCTCTTCGGGTAGCATGGCAGCCTGCTTGACCATGAAGCCGATGCGAAGCAGAGCTGGGAAGGTGTAGGTGAAGTTTCCGATACAGATGGCACCGACGAGGGAACTGAAGTCTCCGAGGAGAGGAACTGCACCAGCGACTACAAAGGCGAGAGCCCAGTATACAGGCACAAGGACCATCCAGATGTACTTGCCCGCTGTTGCAGTGAGAGGTGGGAAANNTCTGTTGTAGTCGATCAGCAATGAGTATCATGTCGCAGGGGACGGCGAAGACTTACGGAACAGTTCCATCAGAACGTTGCTGTAAATGACTTTGATTCCGATGTTGCCGTACAACGCAGCAGCGATGAGACCGCCTNNAGAGAGTGTTAGTCGAACCGCATCGAATCTGTTGGTTGAAACACGGTGCTTACCAATGATCGACAAAATGTTACCAGCGGTCTGGAGACCATAAGATCCAACACTCTGGATAGCAGTGTTGTACGTGTATTGACCCTGGTAAGCGTACTGGAAAAGACCGAAGAACATGTATGCGATATAGATAAAGATATCTGCGGCAAGCATACCCTTCCAGAAGTCCCAAGGATTGCGCATTTCAGCGAGAAGATTGAAGAACAACATAGCACCACCGTAGGCATAGATAATCTGATCAATACCCTGGAAACTGCCCAGGAAACCAGTACCACCAGATTGAAAGCCGTAAGGAGGCGTGCCGCCGAAAGTCTTGATCGGGATGTGGCTCTCAATTGTACCGTCAGGGAAGTTTGTGTTACCATATGCAGTGCCCTTTCCACCGAAAGTACTGAGCATGACTGCATAGTTGGGTGGCGAAGTGGCACTGGCACCAATGGCCAAGAAGGAGCAGATGACGGTAGTCCAAACTGACAGATTGGCGAGCCAACCAAAGCGCTGCAGAGTACGGATCTGACCAAGAACGACTCCAAGGATTGCGAGGATCAACAAACAGATGATGAAGCAAAGACCATTGCCATTCTTGCCATTCTCTCCAATTGAGATCTCAGAAATAGCACCACCATTGTTAAGAATCAAGACAGCCACCAGGAGGAACATTTGCAGAGTCTGAAGGATGTTGACGGTGTGTCTCATGGGTGCACCAAAGACACGGTAGAAGGCTTGTCCAAAGTCGCGGATAGGGTAGCGATCCGAGTCCAGCTTCAAGAAGGTCAAGTAGACATACCAACCAGAAAGAGCGGCAAGTCCACCGAACACGGTATAGAGAGCAACACCAGGACCAAAGCCAGTGTTTGCAAAGGCCCANACTGCGATCTTGTTAGTTATAACTGGAACATGTCTGTATACTCTCAAGATATACACTTACGGCGCACCAGTGGGACCAAGAATGTCAGTGGTGATCAGGAAGAAGATGGAGGTCCATGTCGCTGTCCTCGTAGCACGAGATGCACGCCTCCAATCCAGATCAGTGACCTCAGCGGCGTTTGTGTAGGCTAATGGCCGTCCGTCCTTGGTGTTGTCCTCTTCGAATGTTTGCTGGTGTCCAGTAGAGAAGCGACTTTTTATCATGCCCTTGAATGTGAATGGCTTCTTCTCGATGGTCTTCTCGTACTCCCTTTCTTCCGCTCGAGTAATGGCGGCATAATGGAGGTATTCCTCGAACAGAACATTGGGATCGTTGTGAACCAAAGCTGCTTCGATGCTGAAACCGACTGCAGTATCAGCGGTAGCCTCGTGGCCATGCTCGAGAGCGAAGAGGGCAGGGTTCTTCTCCTCCTCACGAGGGTCGCCACCACCTAATGTGAGATTGGCAAGGTTTTGAGAGCCCATTCTGTGGGTTGCGACTGAGTAGAAAAACGCTGACAACGGACTTTCTCGATCTCAAGACCAAGGGCAGCAGTGTCTGGGACGAGCGATATTTAACATTGTTTCTGGGAGGGTGATAAAGATACGAGGGGGCTTGTCGTCACCCGGGCCACCCATCCGTCAAAGGCTAACCCAAAGAGGAAGGAGAGCACACCTCGTGTCTGTACGGGCCGTCCACCAAGACCTGAGCCAAGCCGGGAATAACCTCGATCCTGAGCTTAGCAATGCTTGGTATCTGTGAACTTGTGGGGGGATATTCTCAGTTGTTCGACTTGTGATTATTCCTTGCTTTTAGAGCTGCGCAAGGGGAAGTGTTTTGTTGTCGATTCATGATGCAGGATATTCACATTGCTCCATGACATGCAGCCGTGCGGTAGGGTCCGACAAGCTCAGGTTCTCGCCAAACTGAGCCGTTCGAGAAGGAACGAGGACGCGATGCGGAGTGATACGCGTCATCCGAGGGATCCCGGTACCCGTGAGCGAATTCCGCCAGCCAATTGCGATATGCGATTTCTGGTATCTGTACATGTGAACGTTAAAGCAGGTCAATTGACTCTCGTGTCTTGATAAGGATTGATTGACTTTGGCGACAAGCGAGATTCCAAAGTGACTTTGACCAGGGTACTACTCTCAGCAAGGATCCTGGAATTTTCGGTCAGTCCTGTTAGACACTCTAGGTCAAAGCATATGACAGTTTCCCATCACTGCACTAGGTTTAACACTTGCCTTTGAGATTTCAAATAAACACTGGAAGGAGAAGGTGGTGTAAGTTCTCCTCGCTACCAAACGTGAAAGACTCGCACGAACTGGAAGCTTGTTTACACCGTCCCCGCACTCCTTCACTGGCTCTCGCACGTAACGACTAAATGTGACCCATCCATACGTCAATTGTATTCGGGCAGATAGGAAGTTGGAATTCTTCGAAACAAAAGTACAGTAATGTGCCATCCGCGGCAAACTCGGAATCGAAGAATACCACCTTCTGTTTCATAAGCTCATCGCCTCACCGTCATTGAATCCTTCAGACTACAATCGAGGAAGGGGCGACAGCAGCGAGCAGTTCTCTTGTCGTCTGAATGACCACAGTTTTCCTGATTCTGTGCGCGACATAATCTGGCCTGAGCGATTATCAAACATACAGAATTTATCTGGCGGCCAAAGTCAATCTCTTCCACGACTCAATGATCTCCTGCTCTTTCGCCGCAGCTTTCTCTGGATCCTCTCTCAACTGCTGCAATTCAGCAAAACCCTGCCACCCCCTTCTGGCACGAATTTGCTTATCCAGATCATTCCCCTTAGCCTCCATGATCAAGTCCAGTATGGCTTCCCTAGCTTGTTTATGATCCGACTGTTCGCGCTCATCCTTATTCTGTTTCAGGAAAGGCAAGAGGATAGGCTCGGCTTTATCTGCCCGACTGGTGTCCTTGCAACCGGTGCGTAAGCATCTCTCTAGGCCTTTGAGTCCATAGCCAGGGATGCCGAGCGCCGCAGCGGAACTCTTGCACACCAACGAACCCAGACCGATTCCCAGACCTTTGACCACTCCAAGAGTTTCGGCGCCAGCGCCATGTCCATTGGCTTTCTTGTAGCCGCGAATCGGCTGAGTGACGAGACCAGTGACAGCGTCGTAAAAGCCGAAGCAGAGTTCTTGACCGCCGACTCGCAGACCTGATTGGAAACCAGTAATCTCTCCGCGTATCCGAACCGTGTCGTCGAAGTAACAAGGCAAATTGTGGAAACCATTCGTGATGTTGTACAACAAATCAACAGGCAGTCGTAGGGTGTCCATGGTAAGCGATGCGCCGAACTTGCCAATGGCTTTCACAACACCTGGGCGACGCTCGCTCTCGCCTTCTTCGTCAAAGCGAACCTTGGTTTTGCTACTATCTGGCGAAGAAAGATCCTTTCCGAGCTGGTGGAAGCAGTTCTTGTAGGCGATTGCTGACGTGCCCAATGCGCCTGCGACTCCTATCAAGGGATTCTGAGCACCCTTCTCGACATACCACCGCTTCTTCTGGAACAGCTTGAGCTTGCGGTAACTGATGATGCCACGATCTAGCAACACGGCAACGGCAAGTGCGGATAAGCGTATATTCGTCCGGCGAACACGCCACACACCAACCAAGTCGGGACAAAGGAAGCAATTCAGGTCTTGCATTTGTTCCGTTCCATTGAAGATCTTTGCTGCTGTTTGAGTGCCTGTCTCGTTATTGATGAGATTGCTGAGCTCTTTGGCTCGGGCTTTGATGTCCGGTTGAAGTGCATAGCGGATCTGGTCTGCTAGCTTTTCTGCGTTGAGATTCTTATATGGAATTGGTTGCGGCCCTGCGCCGGCTCGATTGATCATGTCGCCCCAGAACGGCTGATCTCCGAAGAAGGGCACNTGAAGTCAAGTCAGCTTGTAGGCTTTTCTAAGGGGTCGAAAGTACTTACCGACTACAGTAGGCAAACCAAGAGCGATGCCTATCGCTGTTGTTCCTGCTCCACCGTGATGCACGACAGCGGAGCAATGTGGGAACAACCAGTCATGAGGTACGTTTCCGACCAAGAAAACATTATCAGGCACGTCGTTACCACCGATGTTCCCCCAACCTCTTGAAACAAGAGCTCTCACNTTTGTATCATGTTAGTATTGCACAAACGTCAGATTCCCTTGTTCAAGATACATACCTCCAACCTGTTCCACTGCGTCCAAGATCATTCGTGTCATCTTCGCGGGATCGTCTCCAACAATGGAACCGAAGCCAATATAGATTGGAGGTGGTCCGCTCTCGAGAAATCTCTGGAGGTCTGCATCCGGCTTGAACGATGACTGTGACTCGAGGAATAGGAAACCGCTGATGTCGATGTGAGATCCCCAGTCTTTGGGCTTTGGTATTAGTGCCGGAGACCAAGTGTAAAGAAAAGGCACTTTGAGCTGTGGCATCAGTTTGTAGCCCCAAGCGGCATGGATGGGATCTAGCGCAAGTGTGTTCTCGCGGAAGTCGTTGATCAGGTCGATGAGTCCTTCCGTTGTTAACAACTCCATACTATAAAAAGAAAGAAAATTCGCCAGTCTTTGATCCTCTTTGGAACCCTTTAGTGTCGCTAGAGGGTGAGAAAAAGCGGTAGTTGGACTCCAAGGCATGGTAAAGGTCATATGTAGCGGGCAATGGAGCTTTTCGGCGATATGGATGTTTGCGTAAGCAGGGGGGTTGCTGATTATCGCGTCTGCAATGAAGGGTTGAGGCACATCTATAGCCGTGTGGGCATCGATGGCGCTGAGCTTTGGTAGGACAATTGGATCAATCCCGTTGCCTGCCTCGGTGCATGCATGCCAGCACCCGGTAAGCATTTCAGCAATCTCAGCGCGTCGAGCTCCAATGTCACCTGCCTTCATGGATTCAAGGCTCGGTAACACGCTTGGATTCTTGACCATGTATGCCATCAATTTTTCTGGATCTCCACCGATCGAGAAGAACTCCAGTCCGTTGCTCTGAACAAAATCCTTGAAATTCGGATGTGTACAGATTCTGACACGATGATTGTATGGAGAGGCTTGGAGAACCTTGCCGAGAGCTACGTATGGTTGTACATCTCCCCTGGATCCTACGATCAGAATCGCCACGTTCATTCGTGGCGTACCGCTGAAGGAGTCCACCAGAGGTTTGAAGTCATCCTTGTGTGTGCGTAGATGGATGTTTGAGCATTTTGGGGGCTTTCGCGCGTGATCTTTCTCACTGTCCGAAGCTTGCTTCTGCGTCTTCTGAAGGATGGATTTGTGCCAGGGTTTTGCTTGAATCTTGTCGACAATGATATCGAATCGCCCATCGACCTCTGATTTGGATGTGCTGCGTTTCAGACTTTGATGCTTGCTAGGCTTGAAGCAGGACGTCATGTTGGGGTTTTGTCGTTACGAGAGCGAGTGGGATTGTATGCGAACAGAAGCTTGGGATGGCCAGCTGAGCGCTGGAAGACCTGGGTCTTAATTCACCGAGGGATGCGACTAGCAGATCCCAGCTTGAAAAAGAAGTATGAACCGTTGGTGATCTTGTCTGAACGAAAAGTATGAATTGCTGATCGAAGTAGCCCGGAAGCTTGTTCTGGAACGACGCGATTCCAAGCGATAGTGGGTAGATCTGTGTTGAAGGACTTGGAAGTAATTTGAGCAATTCAGCGCCGAGTTGGGAAGGTATTCCGTGGTGGTATCAATGATAGCGTTGTAGACTTGGCTATCTGATCAATGGGAACGTTACGACGGAGGGTCCAAAGTAGATAAGTGGTGAACCAGCGGAGTCGGGCACCGTTGTGGTCGGGGTCACGGAGCTGCAGGGTTCCGCCTACCTTGGGAAAGTTCACCGCTCAGCCCTGAACTTTGTTATTGGGAAATTGCCTATTGGGGAACTTTATAGTTGAATTCCCCAACGTCGTGAGGTGCGGGCAGCAAAAGCAAGCGAGCCTTGGGCGTCGGGGCCCGGAACCAGCGACTGACCGCTCGTATCGGTCAAGAACAGTTAAGTTATTGGCCACCACGCAACCAGAGAATGAATTATCTTTCTTGCTCATCATCTTCCTGTACTACACGACTTACCACTACCGCTCGATTCCTCGAGCAACTGTTGAATGCCCAAGTGAAAAAATCGTGGCAATGGAGCGGTCACCGACAAATCTGGATGACAATGCTGCTCAAAGCACTGTCGGCCGGTTGCGCAGTGTTTCTGTGACTGCAGCGACAAAAGTTATCAATCTCAATCCCCAACTGGGCATGTGGAAGGCAACTGGAACTGCAATCGCTCATGCGCCGAACCTCACAGACCTTCGAAAACCCGCGACGGGAGGCGACAACATCATCTTCGACGAGAATGGACATAGTGCTCGAGCCGCAAACGCTACCGAGCTCGAGAAGCAGTATGTCGCATCAATGCAGCAAGAGCGGGTTGATCGAGTATCCCTAGACAAGAGCACGGAGTCCAGAGAAGTCGAACAACGGACTCTACCACACGTCGACCCCGAGACAAAAGTACCATGGACGACAGCCCTCAAACATGGTCTGCAAGCGGCCGGAAAGTTCATACTTACGCCGACGGGCTTCCTCATCACTGTGTATGGACTCAATGTCGTAGCTTGGGGCGCCATGCTATTCTTCTTACTATTGAAAGCCGCGCCAGCCATGAATCACCCAGACGATGGCGACGCAGACTCCTCGCCGAGAAAGATATGGATTGAGATAGACTCTCAAATCCTGAACGCGCTGTTCTGTCTCACAGCTTTCGGTCTTGCGCCATGGCGATTTAGAGACCTATATTGGTGTGCTTGCTGGCGAGCTGGTTGGGGTCCAGAAAATGGACGTAGCGCACTCAGAAAACTCGCAAAACGAAACAACGACTGGTTCCGCATGGGTGCCCGGCCTGGGGAGGAGCACCTTGAGGATGAAAGAATCACATTCAGTGGAAAACATGCGCCCCCAACGAAGCCCTGGAAGCTAGACTTGGTCGTTTGGCTCATAGTCTTCAACACTCTGTTCCAAGTTGGCATGGCGTTCTTCATGTGGCACTGGAATCGCATTGACAGACCCTCCTGGGGGACTGGATTATTTATCGGTCTTGGTTGTGGCTCAAGCATGTTCGCTGGTATCATATCGTGGTGGGAAGGAAGAAAAATCAAGTTAATTGAGGGTCCAAAGATGATGGCGACTGAGGAGAAGCAAACCGACGTGTAGGCTGGTCAAACAGTTGATACTGGTCATACTCCAGTCACCAAACCCTCGATCTTGATGCGCTGAACAGATTCTCGAGTTGTGATATGACATGCAGCGACGGTACTGCAAATGATGTTCTCGAGAAGGCTCACCACAATCACCATGTCCAGTCTTCTGGTGCACGTAAATCTCATCCTGCCAGATCCATCGCTCGCTCAGTGATGTGTTGCACTCCATGCGGCCCAGGCAACCCGGACTGCCTTGAATCCAGCCACACTGAAGCATCTGGACACTTGCACAATGCAACGGTCGGGAACCGTGGTGTGGGATCGATCGTATTGAACGTTGAAGCGCTAACGTTCCCTCATAATCCCTTATCGTATGTGTCGACCTTCAAACACGATATCGGAATATAGACGAATATGTAACAGTCGCACAAGATGGGCAGATCGCTAAAGGCCAGACTTCAGCCATCCGATGGCCAGATCATGCAGACCTGACACACGCGGTAGCGTTTCCTCATCATCTCTACACGGAGGGCTCGGCTCTTTTGACTCCAAACCTCTTGCTGAGCACAACCCACTGAGCGAGGGTCCAAGACAGTCTGAAGCTCGACTCATCACGGTTCTCGAAAGCATTTGGTACAATGCCCTTGACCTTGTCCCATTGCACGAAGCCCAACTGATCGATGTTCTCTCGCGTGATCAATCGCTTCATCAGTTTGTGCAAAGGCCCGTCAATAGGCCATGCTGGCGGTGCCGAGTATACGTGTTTCTTGCGCTCATAGATCTCTTTTGTGATGAACGGCTTGCAAGCTTCGCGAAGAATCCACTTCTCTGTCGCTCGTTGCTCGGTTGGATCCCATCGAATCTTCAAGCTAGGCGGTATTTGATTGACGTACTCAGTCAAGGGATGGTCCAAGAAGGGTGGTCTCGCCTCAAGGCTATGCGCCATCTCTGCACGATCACCCAAAGAAGTGAGGATTGCATTGGCAAGGAAGCCTTTCGTCCAGATGTACTCCGCCGTATGGAGGGGATGCCACTTTTCGGCTATCAGACCCTTGACGCGACCATCTACATTGTTTGCAATGCTCTCCTTAGGATCATACTCGCCCAACTCGGCGGTCCAGTCATTGAAAACACTGGGGAATTTTGCGCCGATAGACTCGAGAGTGCTGATGTTGTTGAGTTGCATGCTCGCGGGACTGGTCAGTTTGGATTTGTTGCCGTCCTCTGCTGCGTTCTTGATCTTGGANAGAAATGACTTGACTGATGTTTGGGGTCTTTCCAGATCGCAGCGNCGTTCGGCGTCGGTAAGGTTGTATTCTGGCCAAGTGTGATCAAACTCGGCGAAGTAATCAGAGAGAAAGGCTGGATAGCCTCCAAAGTGTTCATCAGCACCCTCGCCGGTCAAGACAACCTTGACTCCGTGCTCGCGTGGAGCTTTGGACAGAACAAACTTGCCGATGTAATTGAGATCGGGCATTGTATGTTCATTGTGCCAAGTGGCTTCTTCAAAATTGTCGGCCAAGACCTGCTCTGACATGTGCGTCTTGTGGAAGTTGACGCCCAAGAACTGGGCTGTCCTTCTAGCAATTTCTGCATTTCTTGTCAGCGGACGTCCAAGGTATGTGGTATGTTATGTCGTAGATGATAGAAACACACCAGACTCATCAAAACCGCTGTCCTCATCAAATCCGACGGTGTAGCAATGAATGTTGGCCATGCCTTCGTTGCTTCCGAGCTTCACACCTTCTGTCTTGACCAAGTGTGTCACCATCCCAGCGATGACGGACGAGTCGATGCCACCACTGAGGAAAACTCCGACCGGTACATCTGCCCGTAGTCTGACACGCACAGCATCCAGTAATCGTTCTCGCACGCCATTGATAAGTTCTTCCTCGCTTCTGTGCTCGACAACATACNNTGTATACGTCAGAAAAGCGTTGATGTCAAGATCGACTTCACCAACCTTGTCGGGATATTCTACATCCCAATAGTTTATGTGCTCGACGTATCCCGTTGCGTCGCATGTGAAGTAGGACCCAGGTNNTTTATCTGCCAATCCCACCATGAGTAAGTGACGATATAGCGAAGCAAATCTCCTCACCTTGTGTATCTTGTCGAGCTGCGTTCGCTGACCAAACAACCACCTACGGTCAAGGACACTTCTCACGTCCCACTTGGGTTCNCAGCCGAACGGACGGAAAGCCTTCATCTCTGCCGCAACATGCAGGTTGCCATCGATTTGGGTGAAGAACAGTGGCTTGATTCCATAGCGATCACGTGCAGCGATGAAGAATTTGGTTCTTGAATCGTACAAACAGAGCGCGAATTCGCCGCGCAAGTGTCTCAGAAAAGATGTTCCATAGACTCGATAGAGAGCAATCACAATCTCGCAGTCACTCTTGCCTTTGAATGTGGAGCTAGCTTCTTTGACAAGTCTCTGACGGATGGTATCGGCATCGTAAAGCTCTCCGTTGACGACTGCGTGTATGTGATCGTCCGAGGAGTGGAAGGGTTGCTCTCCGTCTGGGCTCAAGTCGTTGATAGCGAGTCGAACATGACCGAGAGCTAAAGCTCACTGTCAGTCAAGCAGCACTTTAATGTGCATCCGATATAACTCTAACGTACCGACTCTGCCATCCTTACTTGTCCATGTGTCGCAAGCATCAGGACCTCGATGCTTGATCGTTTCGAGACTCTGATCAAGTTTCGAGGTCAACGGCTGTGATGTATCGACATGATTCCCGTTGCTGGTGATGCTCAAATCCAAAGGCTTGGCCGAGAGCGAAACGACAGCGGAGATACCACACATCTTAGACGAACTTCCGAGAACTGGGAGGGCCCAGGTAATGTGTTCCACATTAGTGGAGGACGTGCTACCTCTTTATGCAGTGTTGCTTTGTTCTGGCGCCATGACAGTCAAAGCTCGGATCGGCGAAGACTCATCCGGAGTCATGACTCTGGAAGAGCAGAAGCGTCGACGTCGTGGTATCGTTGTAGGTAAAAGCGCGCTCAACGAAATTGGTTGATGCGACAAGTTTGTGGGTTAGAACCGAGTACAGTGGAGACCAAATGCTGTGACGTTGCGACCTGAACAGTGTGCGCTGACCAAAAACAGTTAGCGACTCCAAGAAAGGCCCGAGCAGGCCTCACATCGACAGAGATCTCGTTCTACTTGAGCAGTGAGCACCGAAATATGCATCGATTTGGCAGATCATCACAAGATCTGGATTTTCGCGCATCATGCATGGCAATCGTGGTTCTTGAGCTTGTTGAGTTCAGTGCACCATTAGACATGCATTCGATACGCTCTCGAAGTGCTTCTTCCGCAGGCAGTGATGGTCCTCGCCCTCTCTATGTTGTTCTTCGTCCCAACAAATGATGACTCGATAATAGGATAAAGATGTGTCTCTTGCCTTGTTCAAAGTTCAGAGCCAACTTTGAACTACCACAATGTCATCGCAACACGTTGTTTTTACCTTTGCTGGCCAGGGATATCCTCCAGTCGAAGCAGCTCGTGATCTGTACCGAACATCGCCGGTCTTCCGAAACGCGATAGAGGACGTACAGAATACGATTGACAATCTTCTGCAGGAGCAAGCGATTCAGAGCGGCCATCACATACCCTTGACGGAGTACCTGGAGGAAGATGAGATTCGTCCGCCATATGCGACTTCCTTCGATCGACCTTTGAAGACGGAGGAGCATTCGCTTCCTCCATCAGAGACAGTGGTCATCCTGGCGGCGCAATATGCCTTGGGCAAAATGCTTCAGTCGTGGGGCATTATACCTCGCAGCGTCATGGCCTACTCACTCGGCGAGCTTGTGGCCGGCACATTCACTGGTTCTTATACCTTACCTGCAGTGTTGAAGCTACTTGCACGCCGGGAATCTTTGTTTGCCGATCGTTCTTTGATACCGCAGAAAGGTGCCCTAGCGCTGGTTCATACCGATGGCGATAGTGTCAAGGAAGTTCTTGCCAAAGAAGGTCTGCTAGGGACAGTAGACATCGCTGGCTTTTCCAACCCAGTCACGACCTGTCTCGCAGGCAACGCAGAGCCCATGGAGATTGCTCTCGAGAAGTTCGATGCGGCCGAGATCGGCGTCAGGCGCGTCAAGCTGGAAGTTGGAATGGTGAGTCGGACTGCGTTTGCTAGTCTCGAAAGGTATATCCGCATGTGCTGATTCTTGCTTAATAGCNACTCTCAGCACGTCCAAGCTTTGGCAGATCACGTTCGCTCAAGTCCCACAATCTTTCCCCTGGCGGACTCGAAGGATTGTAAAGTTGTCCCTGGAATTGATCATTGGTCCTCGCTAGGGTTCCAGATACCGACTGGCTCTCCGCTCAATGCGAACCATTATGCTACAATCTTGCGTCGACCATTGCGTTACAAAGAATGCATCGAGGGGATATACCAAAAGCATATGAAAGAACGACCTGAGCAGGAGTTGGCGTTCATCGACATGGGCATGGGGCCAGGCCAGCTGTACAAATCCATCATGTTCACGTTGAAAGACACTCCAGGCTGGCAACAAGGAAAGGTCAGGGCGATTGCCAGCATTGATCCAGTCGAGGCAGGCGATGCGAAATCCAAGCTTGGTTGGGCAGCGTCACAGCTGGAAACCAATCTTCGGAAGGCGAATGTGATGATGCAAGTTCGGCAGCCAACACAAGGTAAGGAAGGTTGAATTCCGTCCATGTCAGGCATACACTGACCAGTAGCTGTAGGCCTGGGCGGCGAACGCCAACAACGAAGAGGTATTCATACAAGCACAAGTCGGCCATTGCAGCGCCTAGCATGCAACCATTGTAGCACGTCCAGGTTGTCTCGCTTGAACATTCAGTGGTGGGCGCGCAGAGCCTTGAGAGTTTGAACAGCGGCTTTGGTGAGGTGAGAGACGTTCAATGAAGTAGTCGATGAATTGAAGAGTGACGACGCACATTTGCAGCCATGGCCAGAAGCGTAACGACCAGCGTCTTGTTGAAACCGCTTGTCGCCGTACGTGCTTAGCTCGACTGTCGATGGTTGTTGAACATCCGATTCTATATAGTCCGTCTCTTGCATTTTGTTGATATTGGCGTAAAGGGGGGCGTAGGACGTGGTGCGCGCGGGTGTGTGGTCGTCGTGCGTCGTTGTGCTCATGAGTTGGTGAGGTCGGCAGGCGCTCAGTAATGGCCGTGGGAGATTGGCCGACAGATGCATTCTTGGAGATGGTGCGATGATGGATGCATGTTGCGAGCTATCACTCGAACTCTTTGTGAGTTGCTCGGAGATCGTCTTTGGAAAGAACGAACCTTCCAGGATTTTGCACCTGGGAAAAAGCTCACGTACGACCCGTGATGACGACGAGTACGCGCTTCCAGTGACCAGTATACCTACACAATGGGCCACTCTTCTCTGTTTCCTCTCGTTGTCCATGAGTACTCGCGTAAGCAAACATGCAAATACTATCTTCGAGGGAGACAGGATAATTCGAATTGCTTGTCTTCTGCCACTGACACGCAACGTCGCGACTCTACGGCCGAGTGAACGACTTGGCGCTGCGCCAATACGGATGAGCGACGCGTTGATTGCTGCAACTGGGGTAGCCGAGAATTATTTCGAGCGAAGGATCAAGGAGCCATGTTGATCGGTGAATTGTCTACGCGACACCCGTCGCTGCTCGTATTCTCTCCTTCCTTGACTCCCATCTATAACAGCCTGACACCGCTATGGAGAGTCCAGGCAAGAACACAGCAAGATGGCGCCACCTCGCCAATGGTTACAACAAATATTGGTACTCTAAAGCCGCCCTTCGATGGCTTTCTCTCACCACTGCAGTTGTCGCTCTGATCACATTTGGTGGATCTTGGCACGATTATTCACACTACAATACTGATCCCTACCCCTATGTCCGCTCACTGGCCCCCTATGGTTTCACCATAGCTGCTGTATGTNCGTCAAGGCACCTTGTCCATGAGAAATCGTGACTGACCATCCGATAGCTTCTGTTCTCGATAATAGTCGATGTCCCCGCTATGATTTTACATTTCAGGATTCGAAAAGGCCAANATCTCAACCCTGGATTCGTGCTGGCTGGAGATACCCTGGTTTACCCCATCCTGGCAATCGCTCTGGCTTTCACTGTCGTCGGGGTTTCTAGCTCTGGTGTCTGTCCCGGAAGTGTGTCATGTCCAATGGTGGTTGTTTGGGGTCTCATGGTAGGGATCGCAGCTCTACATATCTTTCTCTTTNTCATGGATATCTGGGAAACCCATGTCTACAGAGCTATGCGTAGGGAACAGAAGACGGCTGGTAAGGCTGATTCTCGGGAATCGAAACGACGATCGCATGATTCCAAGAGCGAATCTAACCCAACACCTCCCACTCCGGAAGGACCGATCAGAATTGAGCTGCCAGATGGAAGAATTTTCGAACTACCTGGAGGATGCAAGGTAGNNAACTTCCCGCCGAATCACGCACAGAATTGCCGGCACAACTTCCTGGTGTCTTCCTTGCAGAGCTTGAGGCTCCGAATCCGCCAGTGAGAGTTAACGAAAAGTCAGAGCAAGGTCCAATCACAGCTGCACGCTCAGTCGTTGACAATCTGCTTGCGATACACACGAGAAATGCGACTTGAGAACACTGCCATGCGGAAGAACAAACAGATTCGTAAAGCCATCAGACTGCCCAAAGGCCACATCGCTTAGGCATAGGGATTCAAAACTCTCGGAAGCTCGTTTTCGGCGCAATCTATTCAGAATATGGTGGTGGAAGTTCCCTGACAGACTCACCGAACCGTGTGGTCCCAACGTACGGACGCTCATCGTTCGGCTCATGCAGTCCCCATTTGTGGATCTTACACGTTCCGAAGTTGCCTTGCTTCGTCAAAGGTTCTCGCAAAGCGTACTTTGCAATCGCTTTAACCATTGGCGCAGTTCCGCTGATCTCATCATGCAGGCTGATAACGCCTTGCTCGCCGTCCACCATGGCGTGCTGGATGCGCCAGTGCCAGGACACGGGCCTGGGCCCTGTATTTATGTCCGAGGGTGATTGACAGACACGACGGAGAGAACTTCGCGCTTCAGGCTTATCCCATTTGTATCGCCAAACAGCCTGGATGCTGATTTGTGGACTATCAGCGGCCACTGGGTCTTCTGACTCTATAGCACCCGAGGCGTTCTCGTTGCCAAACTCTACCCTGCCACCATAATATGCTCGATTTGCGCATGCTTGCAAGTTGGTGAGCATACCGTCATAGTTGACGAACACGTTATCAAACGTGATTCTGTATCTTGTCAGTTAAGCTGCGACCTGGGAGCGTGGTACAAAATTTGGAGCCACAAACCTGCCATGACCAAGCGCCATAATGCTTTCCATTTGGTTGATCGCTTGCTTTACCAATTCATTCTCATCAGTTTTTCCATCTTCAGCGGTGGTAACAAAGGCTTTTTCCGCGACATGTAACCGCCTTATTTGTATCATTTCCAGATCGGCGAAGCCTGCCATCTCGGCATGGAAATCGAAGTCGACTATATCTCGTGTCGCATGCGATCCGGGCACAAGCACATCATGTCTTCCGGTGAACCGCATGGCTGATTGTTTCTGGAGATTGATCTGGTCGTTGACCCAGTCTGCGATGCGATTGTCTGTCATTGCTGCGCACGAAATAATGGACCAATTGACAAAAAGCAGTATTTGTGGAATTTTCATGATTTCTGAAAGTTTTGTTACAAGGAAGTGTACTGCAGACAGGGCAATTGTCGTTGCTGCCTTGCCGCTTGGCCGAAGGATTCGGTCGCAGATCCCTGCGCAGACATGATGTAATGCTGATTTGCATCGATGATATTCCTTGATTAGGTGTTTTGCTGGCTGTCAACTCCTACAACCCCATCCAGCAAACGGCAAGCGCTGCTATGAGAGCACTGAGAGTCGTCGCCCGGACTCCAACAGCGTCGTTCTTTTCGCCAACCCTTGCAAAAGTCATGCACTTCCCATCCGGCTTATCATACACAGGAATCACACTGAAACTTGCAATACTATATGGCATTGTACCACACGATCCCTGGTCGTCCGACCAACAATTGAATCCATANCCTACACGGTAATGTCAGTAGAATACTCAGATTTGCGACTCAGGCAGACCTGCTTACCAAGGACGCCAAACCCCTTCAGCATCTCTTTCGTCACAATTGATCCCTGGATAGAGGCTCACTTCTCTCGACCCATCATATCCTGGAAGATTCTTCTTCTGCCCATCTTGTTCTGGGCTAATCAGACGATACAACACCGACGAGTAATTGGCTGATGGATCCCAACTCTCCTTGTTCACCAACGACCAGTTTGTGATTACGGGTTCCAGATCCTCTAGTTTTGCGGCGGGTGGAGCAGAGCCGCTCCACTCTATGGCACCGTTACTGATGTTACCGCCGAACAGCTCGGCGAAGTTGAAACATTGGGCACCCTGGGGTTTGGCTTTTGAGTTGATGCCGAAGGTCATGGAGAGGACAGAGCTGGAATCATTGTAGCTGCATGTGTTTTCTTGGGTATCTTTGAAGAAGCGCAGAGTGAGGTTTGTGCTGTACTGGATCAGTTATTGTCATTCAAAGCTTTGTAGATATGCTGACTCGATTTCTGCGTGCACGATCAGTGGCAGCACCACGAAGAGCAAATGTCTTGTGAAGAATGGAATAGCCATGTTGCCTGCTGTATACTGCTTACTCGATGAAGTGACTGCCTCAGCAAGGATTCCCCAGGGTCAAGTGTCTATATATATCTAGGCATCATGGCTGCCAAGACCAACCACTCGACAGCTTTCAGCTGGTCAGGCGAGCAGCATTTACGAAGGATTAATGCCTAAAGAGGGAGTCCAAGCCGCTATAACAACTGCTATGCATGGAAGCGATGCAGAAAGAGCCTGTATCATACACCCCATGGGGTGATTAGGGCTTGGTAGTGGCTTGGCTGTCATTTCTTGCATCTGTTCACCGATTGCTGTGCATTTAGCCGGATCCTTGAAATAATCCTTCGGGAATGTCTTGGTCGTGGGAATGTGATCTCACTAATCGCAAGGCTCAGTCGAATATAGTACATGGGGTGGCCAGGTAGGTATTCTACCATTCGATTGTTTGACAAAAAAGGGCAGAACAGACCACATGTAACAGGACTTGTGAGAGAAAGTGTCTAGCGGTTCATATCGGATACCTTGCAGAGACAGATTAATTATCATGCAAATTACGATAGCGATGGCCAGCCAGACCAGTCTCGCGACCTGAGAGTTTTTGCGACTGCCATAAGCCTCGAGGCGATTACACACGATGACTGCTGGTCTGATTTCTACGCCTTCAGGGTTGACCACTGTTTCCGAACAGGGTGTCCACAGCGGCAAGTCCATCCCTCACTGGACATATAAAAGCGCCATATATGCCAAAGAGTGTGCTAGGGCTAGCCTTTCGAGTAAATCTCTCTTGATGGTACGTACCGCTAGATCGGTAAAAGCCCATGCGGTTGGATGGAGTTGTAAAGTGTTGAGATGAGTCGTGGACGTAGATCTACATGCCAGGGTACGAGTAGGCTTCGCGAATTTGCTTGATCGTCAAAGGTGTCAGTGCACTCTGCAAAAATGGAATGCAGGACATGTGAATTCAACGGCCGGCTTCTGCGTGCCGTTCGAGCGCGCGCCAGAATTTTCTACGCTGTGTATGCATCTGATGCATGCTAGAACACTCTGAAACTTCGAGCTGGTCCTCCACGTGCCGACCAATCTTTTGGAACACGAATGCCGGCATGTGACTCTTGCTTATCACACAGTTGCAGTATCGTATCAATCGTGACCAGATCTCTTGCGAAGATCAAACCTGGGGCCCCGAGCTCTGACGACGACTTTTCAGCCAACAATTTCCATGAATCCGTCGATCTTCATTAGCACGGTCTCGTATCGACTCCCGAGGCAGCTATGAGATGGAGTTGAGGCTCGGATTGTTCTCAGCTCAGCTTCCGGCGACAACAAGCTAACTGTCTTGCGTTTCAGCATGGTCCACCACGACGTCAAGTGGGTTGTCGGTCTTGCGCGATGAGACGCCACAGGTACCACGACCCAAGTTTTCAAAGTTTGAACAAGCAACTCAAAAGCCTATTCTGCGACGTCTTGCCGCATGTCCCTGGAAGCACTACTCATGGACGATCTTTTCGTATGCACATATTACTCTAAGCCCTGCCCGGTCCCATGGACCCGCCGCAGCAGTTGTGTTCTTGCAGTCTTGCGTCAAGCCTATTGAAGTGTTTCCGTCAGAATCCCAACGACTCAAGGTCACCTGCAATTATCCTGCCTGCCGGGCAGCATCTGTCGATATGTCGAGTGCGACTCCTACTCTGGAAGGCCTAGGAAGAATCCCACAGGAGCTCTATATCGTTGGCTTGACTCTCTTGATTGTCACGTGGACTGCCGTATTCGCAAGGGCCTATGTTCGTGGCTTTATGCTACGATCTGTCGGCTGGGATGACTGGACCCTAATACCAGCCCAGATCTGCTATACTGTGCAATGCGCCTATTTGATCTCAATGGCCCGTATGGAGATGGACTCTGCCAAATACAACAACATAAGGGGCATCTCGACTCTAGTTACTGTAAGTAACCTACAACTCACGGATTGGGTCATAGCTTGCTAAGATAGAGATTACAGANACTTGGTTGTCTATTCTGGAATCTATGCTCTGACCTGTGTCCTTCTCAAGGTCTCACTTGGCCTGTTCTTCCTTCGCATCATCACGGAAAAGTGGCAGCGTTACATCATCTATGCTGGTATCACAATCAATACCCTCTACGGCATCACTTACTTTGGACTGTGCACTTTTGGATGCGGCGATCCATCGAAGTACCTCCTTCGCATCACCTTGAATCAATGCATCTCGATCAAAAACGTTGTTATCCCCGCTTCGTATATCTTTACTGGACTCAACGCCGCCATGGACTGGACAATGGCTCTTCTTCCCATTAGCACCATCTGGTACCTCAACATGCCGACGTTGACAAAGTTCTATGCTTACCTGCTTATGCTCCTGGGAGCTGCCGGCAGCATCGTTTCGTTGATCCGATTTGCCTTCGTCGACAGCCTCGAACCGGATGTCATGTTCTTCAAAAACACCGGCAAGCTGGCCATCTACTCTCACATCGAGCCTGGTCTAGGCATAGTGGCCGTGTGTTGCGCGACACTCAGACCGTTGTTCAGACAATGTATCGAGGGAGCCAAGTCCGTATCCAGCACACAGAAGAGTCATGGACCGAGCGGCAAGAGGACTAGCGTCACCGAAAACTCGGACATGCAGCTGACGAGCTTGCGAAAGAATCGTCGGGCGAAAGAGGGCTTTGTCACCTTTGATGAAAGTGAAGGCTTGCAATCGCAGTGGTCAAATGAGCATGAGATTGGAGTCAAGACTGATTTCAGTGTCGAGACTCGACTAACGAGAGCTGGCAGTCATGGTGTGGAACAAGGGAGAGCACTATCGTTTCCTGAACCGCCTGACACCCCCGAGCAGAGCATACATGCTCGGTACTTCTAGAATACAATCCGATAATAGAATTTCGACCGAGGTCCAGGCCGGATCACATTCTTCAAGCCGCAAACGAAGCGATTTTCGATTTTCGATTCCAATATGTTCCTGGCCAGTGGCCGAGTCACGCACCTGAAAGCTGGAAGGAACTATCTCGTCAATACTTGCAAGAGACTCAAAGCCTCAAGACTTGAACAACCGAGAGCGAGAGCCCTTGCCATTACACTAAGATGGCGCAAGCTGCGGCTCCCGTAGCCTCCAACGGTTATGAAGTATGATGACTCGTTCACCAGATATACTCCACTCTACGAGTCATATATCCATGCCGGGCTCCTTCTCTTCGATGATATCTACGCCTAGCTTGTCGCATTCTTCATGCAGTCTTGAGCCCGGCGTATGCAAATGTGTTTGGATTCTCTACGGAGTCAGGTCGTTCAAAAGACACTCCACAGCTGCAATCGAGAGACTGTACATCGACGTAGATGTGTCTGAAAAGGATATACAGGTTGTGTCACGCAGACATATCTCCAAAGCTTTGGTCTCTGCTCCAAGCCTGGATCTATTTGAGTCGTTTACACACCGAAAGAATCAACACCACGATTGCTTTGCCAGCGATTGTCTCGATGTTGCTAGTTGATGGAGACAGATGTCAACGTATAGTTTCATGTAGGCAACATGAGCGTCCCTCGTTCACTCCTTCCTAGCGAACACATGCTGAGTCATGCAGATCGAACCTTGGCGCTGCGAAGCATTATAATCTTTGTTTACAGAGCTGCCGGCGCGTTCTTTCTTTATCATCACAGTTGACCGGCACAGCAAGATTGTTCTATATATCGAAAGCACAATTCCAGAAAGGCACAAAGACCACTTGGTTACGCAATTTTCACTTCTCGATCACATCGTCGACGCTTGGAAGATGCTCGGGACTGATCAAAACACTGGCCATGGTGCATTTGCAGAGAGAATGAGAAACTTTATCGCACCGAATCCTTCGACTCGAAATCCACGCATCAGTAAAGATTCTAGCCATGCGGATCTTATCGAGGCTGGTTACCAAGCCGATGGACACAAGACCTGGGGCTATGTGATCTACCGCACAACGTACGAAAGCGACGCAGACTGGATCGAGTTCATGCATCGTCTACGCTGGTGGACGACCGACAGTATGGAATTCTACAATGGTCAGGATGTGTTAGATCGTATGGCATGGACTGTCTTCGATGACCGCGAGCGCTTTGATAGCGCTGATGTAGCGATAATCCGTGCTCACTTTTGCGATTGGGCAGAGCTGGTGGTGCAAACTGAGCAACAGTCTGACGAGGCTGGCAATGCTCCTACTTCCATGGGCCGCTCGCCGCGCTACAGGTATTGTATACAAGTAGATGCCGATGCGCTCAAGTCCGCCGTGCACGAAGCCCCTGCGCCGCCTGGTTTTGATGAGGACAGACTCGGCTGGGTGAAAGTCATCAACAAGAACTGGGTCCCAAGGAGCGACGATCGACCAGATCCCAACGAGTATGAGCCGATTGATGGTATCACAGAAAAACACCTTGTCTGGGTCAAGTGCNCCTTTCCATCCGTGATGACCGAGTACTATATGCTGTTTCGGGATCTCATCGGATACATGGTTGCGTATCGACGACCACCGGCCGTGATCGGTTGGCCTTGGAAATGAGGCTGTTACGGATCAATTCCTTCACTTTGTCTACATGCACACGTACTGCTATAATGTCTTGTAACGCAATACGAAGAGTTGGGCTGATGTTGGTAGGAAGATTCTACCCACCTGACAATGCACGCTGTATTGCAACCTAACAAGAGTAGGACGTCCTAAGGAGAGCAAAAAGACATGGGGTGTCTCCTTTCACTGTCACAATATAGTGTCGTGCAACCAGAACCAGCAGAATCGTACTTGATCATAGATTGCCTTCCATGCCTCGACACCGACAAAAGGATAACTACTAATGACATGCGAAAGACAGAGTCTACAAGAACAAATCAGCATATCGAACAATGCTAACATATCAATGACGAGGCCGAACGTTGATAGAACCATAGACGCAGATCTAACTACGTATCTCATTTTCGTCGCAGGTCAAAATTAAACATGATCAACAATTCTCGACGGAATAATGCATTTGCGCTTGCCTAACACTTATGCAGGGTCGTTGTACACAGCTGTTGTCAACAAGCGCTCGACGTCATCGATCAAGCTCACAAAAATCAAGCTTCACTGCGCCACAAAGAGTCAGGGACACAAGCTCTTATCAAGCCTTGGTCGTAAGGGCTTGATCTTGCCATCTTGAACTCGCCTGTCCATCTTCCATCTCCAATCTGGCACTGGTAGCGTAGCAATGTCGACCACAACAGTTGAATTAGCGACGGTGACATCGACCGACGTCGAGCTGCAAGAGCTTCAGGGCCGTCTTGTTGACACGCCCGACATCACCACGCTTGGCCAACTCCTCAATCGCAAGACACGCCAAACACGTACCTTCCATAAAACACAAAACGAACACATTGCTCGACTGGTCGATGTTGCACGGGATCCGACCGCAACTCGACTAGCTGATGAACGGCCAGACAGATCAGCTCTCCACGTCAAGGCCGCTATCTACTTCTCAATCTATGGCACCATTCTCGTTGCGGGACTCCAGATTTACGCTGCAGTCTCGACTCTTTCTTTGTCGCTTTTTGTCACGATGGCCGAGAGTTGCTGCGAGGCCATTAGCAACATCGGTCTCAATTATCTCCATCGAAGGTCCAAAAAGCTAGGCGGGTCTGTGCGATGGCCAGCAGGTGCAGAAAGGCTGAGCAATGCTGGTAACATCTGTTTCGCGTTCGCCCTCATGGCTGTCTCTCTGGTCCTTGTGGTCGAGTCCATCCGCGCCCTGGCTAGTGATGGTCATGAATTGAGCAAGTTTCACGTAGAGGCCATCATCGCGGCTGCCATTGGTTTTGGAATCAAGCTCTTTCTCGCTGTCTACTGCTTCATCTTCCGCAAGCACAGCAGTCAGCTGGAGATGCTTTGGGAAGATAATCGCAATGACTGCTTCGAATATGGATTTGCCATCTTTACCTCTGCGGCCGGGGCCAAATTGAAGTGGTGGGTAGATCCAGCAGGCGCTATGCTCATCGCTTGTGTAATCATCGCAACCTGGATCGCAACGGTGCGCTCGGAGTTCTTGCAGCTCTGCGGTCTCGGGGCGCCAGCAAACGTAGTTCAGGAACTCATCTTCATCACGCTCCGTCACTCTGACCTGATCCTGAAGGTGGACTCAGCCAATGCATATCATTGGGGCGAAAATCTCTTTGTCGAAGTCGATATCGTGATGTCGCCAGATTGCAGCCTCCGCCAAGCCCACGATGTCTCACAAGCACTTCAAGACAAACTTGAGACGGTCGAGGGAGTTGCTCGAGCTTTTGTCCATGTTGATTACGGTATGTACCTTACCACCATCATCATCATCATCATCATCATCATCGTCAAAGTCAAGGCTGACATTGATACTCATCTCTAGNAAACTTCACATTCACCCGAGCATCGCAAGACACGTTGAGTTGCCCAGGCTACAATTCAATATATTTTAGTGTGGACAGGCCGCCATTATGATGGAGTTTGACGGCTCGTCCTACGTGGTTCTTTTCGCAGTTCAGTTGACGTTGCGTTTACCCATTCGCGATCAAGTATCGCAAGACTGCGTTGCGCTACATGACTTGTGAGTCTCTGGTCGTCGGAGAGCAATCTTACGAGACTTGGCTGCTCTTTCAAGTGCGGTCAAAATTTGATCAAGTCATGTTCCAACAATCTGACTCAATACTCATTGCTTAGAAGATCCTCGTGTTGGCCTCCACCTTAGGCCAAGGACTATCGCGGAAGGAAGCCGCACAAATGAAGGGTCTCAAGACCAAGAAGCGGGGTGAATATCTGGGGTAGAGCGGGGAACATAGACTTCCCTGAGCCCGTAGCAGAGATGGACAGTGAGAAGTCCTCGTAGTACGGAATGGATCCGCCGGCCTTGTAACAGCTATAAAGCCAGACGGATGCATCCCGGGGGCGGATAGGCTAGACCTGCAGGCCCTGCTTGAAGAAGAAAGCAATATCTATACAAACCATGACAGACTCCCAATACGATTACATTGTGTGCGGCGGAGGCACATCCGGCTGTGTGGTTGCAGCCCGTCTTGCCGAAGATCCCTCTCTTCGTATCCTCCTGGTCGAAGCTGGTGCGCACAATGAGCATCTCGAGAACGTTCACATGGTCGGTGGATGGTCAAAGAACTTCGATACTCCTCAGGATTGGAACATTGTCACGGAGCCGACACCAGGAATTGACAATCGACAAGTCAAAGTCAGTAGAGGCAGGTTTCTTGGTGGCAGCAGTGGTGTCAACGGTACGCTCTGTATCCGAGGAACAGAACAGGACTATGATGATTGGGGATTGGAAGGGTGGAGTGGAAAGGAAATGTTTGAGGCCATGAGAAAGGTGACCATCTACATTCGAGGCGATGAGGTGGTGCTGACAAGGACGGTAGNNTCTGAGACGTTCCACAACAAAGACTGGTTCGAAGCCAGCGAAGGTGCGCACGGTACCGATGGACCACTACACATCGAGCCTCATGACTTGGCAGCAATCTCGAAAAAGCTGCTTGACTCATTTGAGAGTCATGGTATGCCTCTTCACCCCGACATGTTCACCACTGGAGAGACAGCTCAGGGTTGTGGACATGCTCCTCGTACTGTGTACCAAGGACTGAGAACTACTGGTGCCGACTTTGTTACGAGGGACCAACAAAAGGCCAACATTGAAATACTGGTCAACACAGTTGTGGACAAGATCGGATTCCAGGATGTCAACGGACAGATGACGGCTCGCAGTGTCGATTTGATGGGGCCAGACGGCACACGAAAGACAGTGCAGGCAAAATCTGAGATCATCATATCTGGCGGGGCATACTGTACTCCTCCAATACTTCTTCGCTCTGGTATCGGGCCACGCACAGACCTAGAGAGAATGGGCATCGAGTGCTTAGTGGATGCACCTGGGGTCGGACAAAATTTGCTTGACCACCTCATCGTCTTTGTGTTCTACGAAACCGAACAAGCTGGATTGACAACCGACCACCATGTCTACCACGGAAACAGCCTCCAGACGACATATGCTCAGTGGCAGAAAGAGAAGACAGGTTTCCTCTCCACATTCCCATTTGGAGCTTTCGCTTTTGCTCGACTTGACGAAAGACTGAAGGACGACTTAACTTGGCAAGAAGCGATGAAGGGGGCCGAGCCAGGCAGAGATGCCATGGGTCTGACCAAGAATCAACCCAACGTCGAGTATTTCACTACAGAGTGTTATGNNGGTAAGACTATCGAGCTGCATGGGAACATGAGAACTTTGGCTGACCAGATATACAGAGGCCCGAAGCAGTATGCGGATTTTCCGATCGACAACAAGCACGCCTTCGCCATGATCACAGAACTATTCAGCCCAAGATCGAAAGGAACGGTTGTGTTGAAATCGAAGGATCCCCTGGATAACCCTATTGTGGACCACAACTATCTTTCACACCCACTAGATCTGCTAGTTCTGACAGAGGGTGTACGTATGGGCAACGAAGTGGTTATGCTGGGCAAAGGCACAAAGGACATTGTGAGGGGGTCCTGGCCAGGTAAGGACTGAAGGTTTCTCTTGTCTTCGAGATGAGCTAATCATGCCGACANNGCAAATCTCACTCATCATGCATTTACGGAACGCGAAGAGTGGATACCTTATGTCAAGCAACATGCGACGACATGTTATCATGCAGCAGGAACAGCAAAGATGGGCAAGGCATCAGACAGAATGGCTGTGCTAGACGAGAAGCTCCAGGTACGTGGCGTCAAGGGACTAAGAGTCGCAGACTGCTCCGTTATGCCGACTTTGCATGGCGGCCATACTCAAATGCCAGCATACGGCATTGGTGAGCAGTGTGCCAAATTCATTAGACAAGATGCCAGGGCAACATCGAACGAGCTGGAGAGGATGGACAGTGCCATGCAGGTGGAGAAACAGGATCTGAAGTGAAAGTAAAGTGAGAATAGAAATAGAAGAAGTTCTCAACAATGTACAAACGATGGATTGTGTCCTCGACTTTATCATCTCTCGATAGACACTGGAAAGATGAATATATCGTGTGTCACAGGGCCTAGCACTACATAACTACTCAAGTGGCTAACCCAAACCTGTCAGATGTTTACCTGTCTAACCAAAAAGACATATAATGTGCAGTGAGACGCATACAACGTTGTGACTCGCAGTTGAGCTGGTTATGTACATTCGGAACTGGGCATTCTGACCCCTTCGGTTTTGTATCTGCTCTCCCCGTTCTGGGCAACTTCATGGAGACCCCGAGATTGGATGAGCCTCTCAGACAAGCCTCGCTCCAGACTTCGCGAATCATGCTGGCCTCTGGATCTTCATTGCAAGCCCAAGTCCTTGTAGAAAGCCTCAGCGCTGGGCTCTCTTCCCAAGAAGTCCACCAATGTAGTCATCTCATCAACGCTAGCACCCTTCTCCAGCATTGTGCGCCTGTATCTCCTGCCTTGAGCTGCATTCATCGGATCATCCTTGAATACAGAATAGAACATATCCGCAGCATAGACCCTCGAACTGTGAGCTTGTCAGCTAAACGCCCATCCACTACTAACGCAACAGCACAACAAGACTGAAAAAGGGAACAAGAACACTTACTACAGATATCCATAGAACCCTGCATCGTAGACACGAATCACAGCGTTGAAACTCGAGTAACCCAGTCCTTTATAGCCATCGCCAGTATCGAGGAAAGAAACTTGTCCTTGGAGTTTGTTCCACTGTTCTCCAATATCCATATTTTGTATCTCTTGTAAAGAAGAGGGCTGATGCACAATCATATCAAGNTAACTGCGATGCAAAAGACGAGACTGAAAAAGACTCCCATTGACGTTCTTCGCCTGGACAAGCTTCTCGATCGTGCTGAGAGGGATATATTTCTCCAGTTGTGCTTTTACATCTGCATTCTCTTGATTCCAGGTAGTGAGATATTCGGGAGAAAGGTACGTGTAGTGGTTGCTAAGTGATCGTAACAATTCTGGAACCCAGTACCAGAATTCCAACATTTGGGATGGCGCTTCGCAGAAATCGTCTACAGTGGCTGTGCCGTGGAAGACAGAATACCTTGTTCGGGCGACAAGGTCATGTATACCATGGCCCAGCTCGTGGAAGAAGAGCAGGACTTGATCATGAGTGAGGAGTGAGGTTTTTGTAGCGGTGGGTTTTGACAGATTGCAGATGAGTGCTGTGGCTGGGTAGTGACGTGTGCCATCTTCCTGCTCGAAGCCCNNTGCAAATATGTCAACGAACGATGAGCGCCGGGGAGATGGGCAAAGACAGTGACTTACGCATTGCAGATTCATGTTACACATGCCTCCATATTTTCCTTCTCGTGGATAGAGGTCGAGATAGAGGTACCCAAGGAAGGAGTCGCCTTCTTGCTCATCATCCCATACGGCATACATTTGGACGTCTTCATGCCAAACGAGGTTTTCACCTTTGCCTGTTGGTGAAAGAGTGTCTCTGTCCTCACCAACGACCTCTTCGAACACTAGACCGAAGAGATGAGAGAAGATGCTCAAAACGCCTGCGACCGTTGTCGCCAAAGGAAAGTATTCTGCAATCTCTTGTCGGTCGATCAAGGATTGCTCCTCAAGCATCATACGATTGTAAAATGGTTGATCCCAGAGATACATCTTTCCATCAGACACTTCGCCGCGCGCTTCAAGGAATTTGCTCTTGAGCTTCTTCAACTCATCGACTTCGACTTTGACTCCAGCAGAGAGTCGTGAATGCAAATCGTCGAGGAAACTCATGACAGCATCTGGAGTTTTGGCCATCTTGTCCTCAATCCTGAAAGCAGCATGGTTGGCGTATCCGAGAAGTTGAGCAGATTCTTGTCTCAGAGCCATTATCTCCTTGAATATCGGAACATTCTTAGGACACCTGTTGTCGTACGCGGTATAGTAAACACGACGAGTCTCACTGTTTGTCGCGTATTTTAAGGCTGTGGACACATGTGGGAAGCCAAAGGTCAGCAGCACTTTCCCGTCGTCCTCACCAGTACCCTGTTCAAGAGATGATACCAAGTCGTTGGAAAGACCATCCAGTTCCTCGACATCAAACCAAACCCCTTTGTTTCCTTCTCTCAAGTTCTTCTCAAAGTCGCTCGCCAATTGATGAAGCTGTTTCTGGATATCCTTGAAGCGTTCGCGTTTCTCGAGCGTTGCGCCAAGTCCGTTCCGGAGGAAAGATCTATGGTATCGCTCCAGAAGCCTTCTATCTTCGTGCTCGAGATCTTCATTCTTCTTGACCACCGCATCAACTAACGCGAATAAACCTTCATGGATATTCGTCTCTATTTCAAAGTCCGCATACAGCTTCTTTGCCTCGGTGGAAGCATCTTGTAGGCTTTCATCTGGAGAAATTGCCTCATAGAAGCTGAGTATGGGCAGTTGGCGAGAGACATCGTTCTGGTTGCGAGCAAACGGTAAGATCACATTGGAGAAGGTCGCAGTCTCTGGCTTGACGGTCGTCAGGACTGCTTCTTGCACTTTTGAGACTTTNGCGATCAGGCTTTGGACTTCTGAGATGATTGTGCTTGTATCCTTGGTGAAGACTGGTGGTTTCTGAGGTGGCGTTCGGGTTTTGCTGCGAGACATTGTTGAGAAGAAATGGCCTTCTCACAACCTAACTGGAATAACTCTTGGGGACGAGGCGAGTTGTGGTAGAGATACACGGTGTGGGAATTTCTTTAGTCTTATGGCACCGATGTTAGGAGAAGAATACAGAGCACTATGACTGAACTGGAAGGAGAAACAAGTGTAGCGGGTTGAACAAGCCTTTGGTTGATAGGCGTTCCATTAGCGTACCAGGGTCTCGGATCCCGGCAACCCCTGACGAACACCTGGGGTTCAGGTCCCGAAGGCACACCCGTCTTAATCAGCTCTACGACATGCTAGTCCTGGCGGATCTATTCGAGTTGATGATTCAAGTCTGCTGATTTGAGAGTTGTGCAGGCCAAAGCAAGTAATGTTCACCGAGGGTTACGAAGCTTTCATGGAGACCCGAGCATCAGCTTCCTGCCATGAAGTGGGCCCGAAGTACAACTAGCAGTGTCTGTTGCACATGTATATCCAAGCATTTTGATCAGCTTGCCTTTGTGTGAAAGTTTGATTGGTGCAAAGTTCTTGCTTGCGCAAGAGCTCTGCTTGGATTGTCCTCGGGTCGCGCTTTCCACCTCGCACAAACAGCAAGATTGACAGTTCACTTGCCTCGCTTCAAACCTCATACCCGTCACGCAACAAATCATACAAACATACTGAACTTCACACCATTCAATTTTGTTGGCAGGAGAATGCCAGCAAAGGATTCGCCCAGCTTTTTCTGCCAGCACATTTCAATCTTGCCAAGAACGCCAGGGTGTGCTTCTCAACCAGCACGATTTGACTCGATCACTAAATATCACGACGACCAGCAATACTTGACCCCTCGATTAGTATTTCAAAAGGATCCATATGATGGTAAAATACTATCGTATAAGATTTTGAGTAGGACATGCGACTCTGGTGGATCATTCTCGATTTTTCTCCTCCCAACCATCTCAATTTCACGAAAGCTTCGCGAGTCACCACAGAAAGAGGGAATCTTTACGAAGAGAGAGGCAGCAATGCATTCAGAGCAACCATCAAAACAGACTATGTCACCAGGAAGACTGCTCACGGACGCCTTCTCGAATGAGTCTTTCTACACGACAAAGCTATACTGCACAAGCGAGGCTGGAATGTGCACAGATCTACGCATAAGAAACATCGATTATCTCGAAGTTCGACTAAAGACATACCCGAGAGACACAAAGCCTGATTCTTACCAACAAAGACATACATAAAAAGCCTCTTTAAACAACTCAATACTTAACCCCTCACTCTCCTCTATCACTTTGCATCACAGCAGTATATTTACTTTTCTTCCCAGCCGCCTGCCAGTCAAAGCCACAGAGCACAAAGTGTTTCATATCTTCCGTGGCGCAATTGGCTAGCGCGTTCGACTGTTAAAGATTTACAGATCTTGAGCTATCGAGAGGTTGACAGTTCAAGCCTGTCCGGGAGAGCTTTTTCTTTTGCCTGCTTGCTCTCATTTCTTACGTGTGTTGAGACTCTTCAAGGTTGCAAAGCTTTTGGCCCTGGGGGCGTTTGCGTATGTGCTGGGACAAGCAAAAGGAGCGAATCAGCCGGCCGCGCTGGGAAAGAATTCGAGTTTGCTGCAGGACGGATCTTTGTTGTGCTGTGTTGTGTGCTTTTGCTAGTTTGCAGACATGATATGTGATTTTTGCGATGAGTACGCAAACCTTCCCTGCTTGCTGCGTACTGGATACCAGACCAAAGGACGAAAGGCAAAGAATAAAACACACCAGCAGACTCAAAGGACACAACAACACAATCGCAATCAAGAAAGAAGAATTACATTCTCATTCAACGTCCAAAAGCACGCATCCCACTGCCTCAGAGAACAGCAAAAGCGCTAGCATAACTAACACTACTGTCCTCGACCTTGGTACACTCACTACTGCGCTCATACCTCACAAACCTGAATCGCGCAAGACTGTCCACCTCCTCCATGGCAGCCATGACAATACCAATGGGATGGCGTCCACAAACCGTGTTGCCCGTTTGCGCCAACATATTCAGCCACTTGTCATGACTACCCGTCTCGCAAGCATCAATGCATTGGAAGTCGACGTTTTTGATGCTTTCATGGATATGAGGATTGCTAGGTGCTTTTGAGCGAGCGGAGAGGTCGATTGCATCACCAGAGGCATCTTCATAATAAGTATAGCGGAAGCGCAAACCCCAATGTGCAAAGTCCGAACTGATGACAAAGGCATTCTCAGGATCTTGCAGGTAAGGCGCCAACAATTTCCCAAATTGTTTTTCGGTTGCTGGGTTGGTGTTTCCCACCATAATAGGGACCAGTTTCGGGAATGCAGATTCAGAGGGGAAGTAGCGGGAGAGCATCTTGTAGATGTAGGGAAGATGCATCTCTAGACTGTGTTCATCTTCGTCGACGCTCTTGCTCATCCATTGGAACTTGCCGGTATCGTAGAGTTGCTGTGTGGTTTTTGTGTCGACTGTCAAATCTCCTAGGGGAGTGGCGTATTTGGCGCATTGACTGAGGGCACATTTGGAAAGGTAGAAGTGGTGGGAGGGACCGAGTAANAAGACTCGCTTTGCTTTTGAGACGTCCCAAGAGCGATAGGCCCAAGCAGCTGCAGGGCCAGAGTAGGAGTATCCGGCATGNACTACGAGGTGAATCAGCAAGCAGAGCAGTTTTGTAGAGGATGAGAAAGTGTATTACGGAGCAATGATAACTCTGGCACCAGGGACCGGCAGAGCGGTCAAGGATTCTTGAGAAGAAACTTGGCCGATAGGTTTGACTGGAGTATCGACCTTGGACAACCAACCATCAAGTTGACTCGAGAGTTGTGACTTGGAAGAGCTATACCAGCTTCCGGCGTGACTTGGTTCGCGAGTTGACATGGTTGCTAGCTTTTGACTTAGCCTGAGCATGAGAATGTCTCCAGACAGATGAACATGTCAGAGACGGCAAGAGCATGAAGAGCTTACCGATGTTTGACTTCTGTATTTGGCCTTCTCAAGAAGAAGATCAAACGCTTATCAAGGTGAGGAGAAGGTCACTTCATGTGATAGCGAGTGACGCAAGCGGGGAAGGCGCGCACCGTCGCGTTTCCAGCCAGGCACTTTGCATCTCTGACGCGACCACTTCAAGACCATTCAGGCAGACCATTCAGGCACTGCATCACCAATCGCATCTACTCGATCTCCCCAATGTCGACAAAACGCAAACGCTCCGGTGGCACTCTCTTCACTCCCTCCGCCGTGGAAGCCCCATCACCGACCCAAATCTTCAGTTCTCCAGTGCTACCAAACTCCTTCACACAGAGCAAGACCTTTGGTGACCAACCATCTCCGCTCTGGAAACAAAGCTGCCCTCAGACAAATGTGCAACAAGAGGAGGACACCACATCACAAACCCTGAACTCTCGAACACGGAAGCGGTATCGCGATGGCCGGCCCCAAGAGTCTCAGATCCACGGTATGCGCCTCTCTGCCCCTCTGGCTCTTTTGTATAGCAGANTACTGATGATGAGGGTTCGCAAAACAGCATCAACAGTACAGAAACTCTTTCAAGCCCAAAAACACCATCCTCAAGCCTCGCCTGTACCGTCCCAGCCGCAGCACCACCAGCACCAACACCTGCAACCACAATGTCCACAAGAAACGCAGCCACAGCAAAAATCAACATTACATTCGTTTTGGCAATTACCATCAGCATCTCAGACGACTCAACATGGAACACCCTCGCAGANNTCCCCCCAACAAGAGGGTTTGACATGTGAGGGCTGTGACAGGGTATTGGTATCTGAATACGGTATGGATACTCTGGAGACAGAGATGGCGTGTAGAGGGTGTGGGAAATATGTTTGTGGGACTTGTGCTATCACGGCCGAGGTGAGGTTGTGTTTGGATTGTGCCATGCAAGGATAATTGTTTTGACGAGGAGTGTATCGTTTTGTTCTTTCAGCGCGGCGTTTAGGTGTTTACGCATGAGGAGGGGCGTCTCATCATTACCAGGGATTTATCACAGCATGGAGGGTGTCTTGAGTTGATGATGAGAAGAAACCAATGCATTTACGCTCAATCCTGTCTAGTATTACCATATTCCGACAATTTTCCCAAGCACGAAATACAGCCCACGTTCGCTTGTTCTACTCTCTGCGCTTCTTGCCCTCCTCCATGTATCCGAGTCTAGCATCGCTCTTGCCGCGACCGTGCTTGGAAACCATGGATCCCAGAAGGGGATCTCTGCTCACTCGCTCCAAGTTCTCTTGATAACTCTCAAGAGCATGTGCTGGTGTGTTGAGCTTCGGCCAATTGACNCTGTTTCTTGTTAGTATATCTATTGATGACGAGCTTGTGAGAGGTTGTTTGCTTACGTAGAGTCCTCCGTGAGAGGTAATGAATCTACCAGACCATGCGGCACCAACAACACAAATGAGAACAAAGATTCTCAATGGCCATACAGTAGCATCCGGCAGACGACGTGTGAAGAGCGAAATGAAGATGAAGAAAATGCAGGCAGCAAGGATGTAGGGCAAAGCCTGGATAAGCACTGGTCTTGTGTCCGCAAACTGGTGTGCTGATCCCAAGCCTGAAGGGTCGGGTGCATACGTGCCGAGGAACAGGTCAAAGGCATCCTGTCTGGGTCCGTCGAGGAAGTTGTTGCAGACGTAGCGGGTGATTGAGTTGTTCAAGTCCTGCAATGCGCCAGCGCGTGTTCTTTCGCCAGTACGTGTAAAGTCTGTCTTGAGAGCACCGGTGCCTGAGTAAGATTTGCTGACCACATCTGCATTGTCTGCCCAAACGTTGCGGAACAAATGCTCGAATGCAGCATCTTCTTGAGCATTTTCTCCAGCCTTCAAGATGCCGACGTCAGTCAACATGCGACTAAGAGTGAAGCGACCAAGCATAGACTGAACAACGTTGGTGCGGTCCAGACAGTCCATACAGTTGGTACGGACCACCGCACTCTGTTTGCTCAAAACTTGAACACCACCGCTTGGCTTGTCGACACCGCGGAAATACTCGCCCTTCAACAAACCATCCTTGAGTTGGTCGAGAAGCAGTTGAGCACGGTGCCATTTCAAACCCTTGGTCTCGTTGTGGAAGTCGAAGTAGACGTAGTGCAACTTGTCAAACTCATGTCGGCCGCCTTGAGGCTCGAGGATATGGAACTTTTCTCTCGTTGCGCGATCGGTTTCGGTGTCCTCTGCAGGGTTCGACACAAGAAGCTTGACCATGTCTTCGTAGGCTTCCTTGACTTTCTGCTCACGACCCTTTTGGTTGACAAGGTTGACCAGGTAGTTGTCTCCATACAGCTTAATCTGTTCGTCAAAGTGTAGCTTTGCTGCGTGCACAGCAGATTGAACTCCTCTGATTTGCAACTTGGGCGTGTACTTCAAGGTGTTGACCTCAGCCCAGTAGACCGGAACACTGCCTCTGGTTTGAACGTATGACAAGACTTGAGTCTCTCCGCCAGGGAGTTTGTTGTTGGAAAAGCCACCATCGCCAGCGAAGGTTGTCATTCCACTAGAAGCATCATCATTCAAGATGACAATCTGTTCGGTCTCGTTGAAGTTGGAAGCATGTCCTTGTTCGTCCAGTCCACGAGAGAAGTAGCGAGTACCAGCGCGATGTCTTGAACGGCGAGTGATGAGAATGAAAGTCATGGGAGCACTCTTGACTGAGGTGTTGGTGATTCTGAGCATACCATACATGACGGGTAGAATGTAAGGGTCCATAGCAGGTTGAGGACCAACATTTTGACGGCGGGCTCCTTGACCTTGACGGAAGTTGATGAGATCGGATTGGATGAACTTGTTCCAGAAGAAGCGATCATCGGCTCTTGCCCAAATAGGAGAGTTTTGATCAATTTCGGCCTGTCGTTGGAAGCTGTTTGTAAGATCGAAAGTGTATGAGAAGAACAAAGGGCTAGTCTTGAGAAGAGTGTTGACGAGACCGATATAGATGTCCTCGTCAGGATCACGGACTTGTCTCTCGCGCAGAGGCAGCAATTCAGTAGCGACGACTCTGTAGATTTGATGGCCCTTGATTCTGCCCATAGCCTGGGCCTTTGTGATTACAATGATGTACTTGTCNTGAAAGGACATGAGTGATCAGGCGGGCCAAACATAGACAAAGAACATACCGAGACGCAGACTGATGATTCCGAGAATTCCCTGAATACTGGTAACTCTTTGACCACCCAGCAGCTTTCCATCGTGAAGACGAATATCACCAGATGGACGCTCTATAACAAGGGTAGGGGCTGATGGGGAGGATGGGGATGAGAAGGCATAGTGGGTGGAGGAGGCGTGGACATTGATGTCACGAAAAGGGAGAAGAGCACTCATGTCGCCTTAGGGGTGATTAACAACAAAGACTTGTAGATTGCGAGGCTGCTGTCTGTCCAGGGACAGATATGACGCCGGTGTTTGGCGGGCTCGACCGGCTGGAAAGGCGCCAAGCTGGTCTTGGCGGGCCGTTGAAGGTTTGAGCAGCGAGCAAGATTGGCAGGCTGCAGCTGCAACAGGAAGGGAAGGAGCACCGAAGTCCCGAGCCACCGTGACCGTCGCCCAGCGGCCGTCGTCATCTTCCCAGTCAACAACTCGCCGACCGGATCTCGACTTGACTTTCATACCGCCTTTCGACCTCTTCACGCTACCGACTCTATCGCCCTTCCACCGCACTCACGCACGTCAGCCACACACCTACCAACCACAACATGTCTGCCCGCCAGCAGCAAATGGGCCGACCAGGTGGTGCCCGCTTCGCTCAGTTCAAGCTCGTCCTTTTGGGTATGCCTGGTCTTCGTCATGACACGCCTCAAAGCTGTATGCTGACTCTGCTCTCACAGGCGAATCCGCCGTCGGAAAGGTGCGCAATCACTTCCACACCGAACGAACCTCGAACAATCTCGTCTAACACATAGCAGAGTTCGCTCGTCCTCCGTTTCGTCAAGGACCAGTTTGACGACTACCGAGAATCCACCATCGGCGCCGCCTTCCTCACTCAAACAATCGCCCTCGATGACACAACCACCGTCAAGTTCGAGATTTGGGATACCGCAGGTCAAGAACGCTACAAGTCTCTGGCCCCCATGTACTACCGCAACGCCAACTGCGCTGTTGTAGTTTACGACATTACTCAAGCCGTACGATCGTCCTCGACCATCCGCCCGCAAGACATCGCTAACACAACCTACACAGNNGCATCCCTGGACAAGGCAAAGGCTTGGGTCAAGGAGCTCCAACGTCAAGCCAACGAGAATATCATTATCGCTCTTGCCGGCAACAAGCTCGATCTGGTCACCGAAGAGCCTGACAAACGCGCTGTTTCCACCGCCGATGCCGAACAATACGCCCAAGAAGCCGGTCTGCTCTTCTTCGAGACTTCGGCAAAGACGGCCGAGAACGTCAAGGAACTCTTCACCGCCATTGCAAAGAAACTCCCTATCGAGCAAGCCACTCAGAGAGGCATGCGCGGTGCTCCCAGACCTGGTGTCGACCTCCGACCTGAGGCTTCCGGTACACAGGCTGGCCAGGGCTGCCAATGTTAAACGACTACTTGATTACCTGCTTTTTCTCAGATTCTCCCAGCGAAGACGTCACGGATGCAAGGTGTGCTATGTATACATGCACATGGACACACACACACAAGACACACGGCACAGTTCATGGTGGATACTGCCTCTTTTCTTCGAATATGAATATGAGAGGGCGTTTGGTGCATATCTGGCTTGGGGGTCTTTCATCTTTATTTTCCTCTGCATCTAGTTTGTAATACCGTTCTTCGTCTGATACCCTTGGCTTTTTTCAAAACCTGTCACCTCCGTTCCATTGTTTTTGTTGCACCTCTAGAAGTAGGCTTGTGAGTGAACCCGCTGCTTTGTTATTGACCTTGAAATCCTAGTGCTCGAACAGTGGTTTGAGGAAGGCGCAATGGCGCCGTAAGCAGAAGCTCATCTTGATGCTCTTTCGCCAAAGCTCGACTGACGCCTTTGACAACCAACTCTCAGCACCTTCAACCATCTAACATCAACCACCAGTCATGCTGCGCGTCCGTCATCAAGCCGTTGTAAGGATGGCTGTGCGTATTACAGAAGGCAAGGCCAACTATTTTCTGTTGCTAATGGAAGCCCAGGACCTTCGCATGCATCATCTTGCCTCGCCGATCAGTGCTTGCGCTTTCCATGCCACTGCGAGATCTGTCAGTGTTACCTGAGATCGACTTAATGTTGTTGTTAATGTGTCTTGACAGCAAAATCACCCTACAAGATCTTCCAGACGCCGCCCGAGCAGCCTACGCAAGAAAGTCGCACCCAAAGACATTGTCAAGTTCCTGGTCATCGAGATCTTGCAACAGCAGCACGAGATTGCCAAGTCTCAAGCTGAGATCTTGAACACTCAGCACAGCAACTACCACACTCTGCTTGAGATAACGGAAAACATGCAACACACAATCAGCCATATCCAGGCTGTCAAGGAAGATGTACAAGTCAGTGACAAGATCGCCTTTGCTGCAGGTTTTGGTTGTGGTCTTCTTGTCTTGCTGGGTATCTGGCTGTCTCNNCCTTTTGGCGGTAAAGATAAGGATGATAATGCTGACAAATGATGTGCTGCTGTTGGTTTGCAGATATGTTCATAAGAAACCTGGAGCCTGGAGCCTGACAAAGTTGGACTGACTGGACTGATGTTCATTCCACAACTTCATTTCTGACGATCAAATGCTCCAAAACAAGATGGTATTACTTCTTCACATTATACTAGTATGCCAGTCGAAGGGTCGCCTATGCTGTGAAGGCAAGTGATTCGACAAAAACATATGATCGCGATCAGGAAGAGGAGATCGCAATGTTGGTCCAATCCAGAGAAACAGATATACCACATGGCAATGATGTGATCCGTGCTGACGTTCACCCATAGGGTTTTACTTGAGGAAGGAAGAGCCCAAACTGTTTGATCGCTCAACATATTGTTTACTCGGTACTAGCCTACGAACGACTATCAGTTTTGTTTCACAATGGTAGCCTCACAATAGTAGCCTTACAATAGCAGCTCGACATCACCAGCCTCATGCTTTGACTGCTGTTCGCAATTCTGTCTTCCATTACTCCAGGGCTATACTCAGCACTCACTCCTACATCCATCGACTACATCTGTGCGACCTATCAAGACTCGTTCACATCCCTACTTTCACACAATTTTACGACGGGCGTTTCGCCGCCTGCGCCGAGACTCGAGAGTGGACGCTCGTTTGGTCGTCCTGACGACTGCTGCCTATCAATAGTCAGTCCCGAACTTGCAAAACTTTTCTCGCTCAGTGTCTCCTCAGTTTGTCGACATCTCCCAACCATCGTCGTCAAGATACAATCACACATCATGGCAGTTACTGTATTCCCTACCCGGTACGAAGAGACCAGTGATGGTTGGATCCGCCAGCCTGACGACCAACAAATCACCAGTGTTCTCCATCAACATGTTCTCGAAACCAAGGACGAGTTCGTCATCAGTTCGTTCGACGCCAACGTGATGAATTTGAGGATCACGACTGGCACGAAGTACGACCTCAGCACTTGGAAGTGCACCCCTGATCCCGACGCTCTCAAATTCGAGTTTATTCCAAACAGCGGCCGTGACCGTACTCTGAAAACTCGCATTCACCATGGCCAAGTTCAAGTCTGCCTGGAGGGCAAGTGGATCCTCATGACCGACTATCTCGAGGCAGAGTCCAAGAAGGATGAATGGAACCCGAACAACCATGCTAACACTTGTTACTACAAGGAACCTTTCATCTTTGAAAAGGCTATCGAAGCTCAACGCAAGTGGTGGGATGCAAACAACAAGTTTTTCCCTTTCCTCGAGTTGCCAGCCGAGTTGAGAGAGGTCATCTACCGCCATGCCGCTCCTCAAGATGCCATCGAACCATACCCTCGTCATCGTATGCGCGGCCATGGGATCCCACACATCAGTGATCGCAACGACATGGTGTACAACATGCTCAGATGCAACAAGATTGTCTCGGAAGGAATGCGCGCCTACATGTTCAGACATCTCCCCCTACTCATCAATCACCAACACCTACTCAAGAAGACTCTGCGCCGCAACATCGACTTCCCTCGCGATTTGCTTACCAAACTTACCCTGGCCTTGCCTACCCACAAGGATTACATCGAACTCTTCGGCCTCAACGCTCGAGACGTCAACACTGACGAGACTATCACCATCGAGGGCAAGGGTCCGACAGCTTCCTCGCTCTGTCGTGATCAACTGCGCTTCATCAAGAGATTTGAAATCGTCATTCCATCTCGTGAGGTGCTCGATAAGAAGTTTGTCAACTACTGCCAGACTCACGCAGCCACCATGCTTCTCGAGATCATGTGGCCCTACATCCAAGGTCATCCTGTCATCATCAGCGGCATGGTCAAGAAGTGGCAGAAGAAACATTGGGAGCAGAAATTCGCGCAAGCTCACAAGGAATATGAAGAGAGCATGGCCGATACCGAAGACGGTGGTGTTGGCATCACTCAAGAGGATCTCGACAAGTACGAAGGAAAGGCTGAACACAACGAGTATGATGAGGAAGGCAAGTGCTGCGATTGCAAGAAGGAATGCTGTCTTCTCCATTATGAGGAGCCTGAGGAGGAATTTGAGTATCACCTTCCTTTCTTGTGTCAGTGCGATCCTCCTTGCTTGCATGGCGAGTGGACCGATGAAGATCGCGTCAAGGACAAGGGCGAGGATTGGGCGAACAACAGCACTCTTTGACCTTTTGGACACAAGACTTTCAACTTTTGACGACAAAGAACGACACGACTTGGGAAATCTGCGAGGAACTTTGAATCAATTGGAGGGGATGGGCATTTGGAGAGGGAAAAAGGCTTTGGGGATTCAGCAAAAGGATGCATCATTCGGAAGGGCGCGCGGAAGGAAATAATCAAATTGTGGTATTGGAGCTGGTTGAGCCACGCAGGCTTAATGATACGGCGGAAGCAGAAGCATTCTTGATTTTTTCTTTGCATTTGGAAAACGGACAAGGGGGAATGGGAAGCAATAAGGCGAGATTGGAAACAAATTGAGCAACGAGGGAGCAAGATTGGTAATAGCAACAGAGAAACGGGTAATCCAAGTATCTTCAACCTAAACACATTATTCAACCAAAACAATTCCTTGCGCATCCAACAAATATCCCCAATCCAGAGACATCATCCAAAAACATCATCACCGTTCAAGCAAGCAAAAGATACCGCACCAAGCCTTCTCTACAGTGCAGCCTGATCATCACTCTTCTCAATCCCCTCCACCCCTGCAAACCACCCCACCCTACTCTGACACCAAACCTCCACTCTAGGCTTCAATTTCGTATCATGCAGACTCACATCATCCACAGTGCCCACCCTCGTAATACTGAGTCCGGGAAACCCACTGCTGCGTCTATACATCAAAGTCCCACACTCCTCGCAAAAGTAATTTGTCATTGTGTTGCCAGAAGCTATAGTTGACGATCTTGCGTAAGTTTTTAGAGAAGACTCGCCACGAAGATGCGAGAGAGAGGAGTCGCGGACACAGAAAGCGGTTGTGAAGACGGAAGCGGTTAGTTTTCTGCAGTCGTGGCAGTGGCAGATGAAGATTTGGGTCAGGTCTGGTCCTTCGACTGGCTGTGTTTTGAGCATGAGAAGTCAGTATTTTGCATGAGTAAAGATGGAAAGAAGGAAACAAGGAAACAAGGATGAAACACGAGCAGGGGGGAAAGGAAAGGGTGTAGAAAGTATAGCAAATGGCAAATGGCATACCAATTCCAATTGAACAGTACCGCAGAAACAACTTGCTGTAGCTCTTTGAGGAGAAGAGGAGGAGTCAGCCATGATGAGCGATGAGCGAATCCTCTATCTCAATCTTCCGGGACTTGGAAGAGACACAGCAAGAGCTGAGTTGTAGGATTAACAGATGACACAAGAAAATAGGGATCGAGTTCCTGATATGCAAGAGAAAGAGGTTGCAGGAGGAGGAGGAGGAGGAGGGGTATGGAATGGCTAATTGATATACGCTTCTGACGTGGGGTAAGCTTACAAAGGTTGTGTAGCAGCATAGTTCCAGACCGGTCGGAAAGGCAGAGCCGCGGTTAGCATTAAGGTCTCACTCCCACTTGACCGAAACGCAATGAGACAGAACACATGTTTGCTGACAAGATGCATACATGTGACTTCAAGGATGCAGACTCGTAAAAGGATGTATGCAGCATGATGTCTATTTGAAGTAGCTGTCCTCTATCGACCGGGGGTATCATTTGGTATAGTCAGGAAGAAGGAAAGAAACAAAAACAGAAAAGGCACAAGATCAATCCATGGCATCCAAGCCCTCGCCCTCACTCTCAGAAACCATAACACCAACAAGACATGAATTCAACATGCCTTCCCAATTGACCCAAGGATGGACCTCCATAAACAACTTGGTGCCATCTTTACCCGCAGCCCTTAACAACTCACCCTTCCCACCAGGATGGAAGGGCGCGTAAGGAGTAATATTATACACCTTGCCGTTGTAGACACTCCAAGCATTATTCCCTTTTCTGCCATTCTTTTCTGCCAGCATGGAAGGCGTGACCCGAGTAAAAGAAGACACATTGGACAGGTTCTTGGATGAGGCTAACGAGGCCCAGTCCAAGGGAGAGTAACCGGGAGCGAGTTTTACTTTGCTGGAAGAAGATTTGGGCGTATCGATGCGTGGGGGCGGAGCGCGGGCTTGAGCGGCGGCGGAGAGTGGTGGTTGTCTGGCTGGGATGGCAGGCACACCGAGACTTGAGCGGGTTGGTCGTGAGGGAGGTGGCATCAGAGAGGAAGAGTTGTCGGCGCGTTGAGCAGAGTTGGGGGCTGGGAACGAGGGTGGTGGCATGAGAGAGGATGGCGCTNNGGTGNNAGGGTTTTGAGGAGGGTTTTGGAGGTGGGGGCATGGCGCGTTGTTGAGAGTTTGCTGCTGGGAAGGAGGGAGGCGGCGTAGGGTCGTTGGTCGTGTTNNGGACGAGTCGAGGTTGAATTCTGGGACGGCCATCGAGGGAGTGGCAGGCGTCGCTTGCGGAGTCTTTTGGTCGTCACCTTCCTCTTCAACCTTGACTTCTGGGCTGTCCTTGACTCCAGCCTTGTCGTCGCTCTTTTCCTGCTTGTCCTGGCTCTTCTCCTTCTCATCGTGTTCTTCGAGGGCGGCCTTGATTTGTTTCGAGTCGGGAGGCGGAAGGAGGGTCCATGATAGGCGCCATGTGTTGGGTGGGTGTCGGTGGATCAGAAACGTCAAGGACAGAATCAACAAGGATATGCCCCAAACCGCCATTCTCCTCTTGTCTCTCTTGTCTTGTACACGAAATGTTAGAAGGTGAATCGAGAGACGGAAGCGGGAGTTCGCAGTTCGCCAAGACCGCTCCCCGAAAAACCACCCTGATGTCATGAACCCAGCAATAAACACCTCTCGATACACACAAGCCATCATGTTGTCGCGCGCTGCCCTGTCTCGAGCTGCTGCTTTTCTCGTCCGCACAAAGCCCACACTTGGCTCAAGGCCATTGGGTACTCTATCACGCCCTCGATTCGCCGCTACTCCCTTCCAGATCCGCAGCGCCTCGCATGTGAACAACTTCAACCGATGGCTGTCAACAAAGTCTGCCGCCGACGAGGCCATTGAGGAGATTACTGAGCTATACTCGACTGCCAGAGATGAGGTGTGCCTCATACAATCCTACACATCCACTCATTTGCTAACACATGTCTAGTTCGAAATGGCCATGGAAGAGACCGAGAACAAGACCATCTACGCCGAAGCCGATCGCGAAGCTGCAAGAGAAGAGTTGACTAGAGTCCAAGAAGCATACAGAAACGTTGTCGAAGGTCCCGACACTGATTTGGCAGAAGAAGTCAAGAGAAGAATCGGTCAAAGGATTCGCGAGTTGGAGGCTGGCGTCAAGAACATGGAAGACATAGCCATGAATCAGGATTAGACTATTCTTTCTTCATACTAAATATCTAGAGCTCGTCCTTCTTGACTCCAGCAATGCTGACCAGCTCAGTCTCGAACACTGCAACACGTTAGTCATCTTCTCTAGGGCGAAGCCACATTTGTCACATACCTAGTACGCTGTTGGCAGGAATCGGTCCCATGCCTCTGCTGCCGTAAGCCCACTCGGGTTGGATGGTCAATGTGCGCTTCTCGCCAGGGCACATGTTGAGCACTAGATAAAATCACATCAGCAGCTGTGTTTTCAATCCAACCATCTTGAACACTTACAGNCCTTGGTCCCATCCCTTGATAACCTGTCCCTTGCCAACGTGGAAGCTCAAAGGCTGTCCTCTGTTGTAACTGGCATCAAACTCCTTGCCACCATCCTGCAGAGTACCACGGTAGTGAACCTCAATCTTGTCACCTNNATTCATCGCCACCATCAGTATTTCTGTAGTTCCGTCTTGATGCAGAGTAGAACACTCACCAGCAGTGGTCTTGCGGGTACATTCAACGGCCTTGTCAACTTGAATGTCAAGAGGCTTATCCAGAGCCGAAGCTGAGGCAGCAAANAGAGCCAATGCGCTAGTCAGAGTGGTGAACTTCATCTTTTACTTTTGCTATCTTTTCCAGACGTGCAGGAATCAAAGTTGCAAGGTTGTTGTTTGTTTCAGAAGTTGGAGACGTGGAAGCTTCGGACATGTCGAGGCACAAAGCCCGAAGGGTGTAGCTGGATATTGTGGCTGAAACGTCATCATCTGTGGCGGTGTTTTTGTAGGTGAGAGTATCACCCTGTTCTCCTTTCCATTCCTCCTTTAAAGACATCATCCATCCCACTGTTTTGAATCCATTATTCATGACCAAAACTTTGTCTTCGGATCCTAATCTCCACACTTTCGACCAGCCCTCATCGCTGAGACTGCACAAGTCAAGATCTTCGAAAGGAAGCGCTACGGTGTGCTACCTACAATTGCACGAGCCAAGCTGAGGCTCCTCCGCGACTCGTAGGAACGACAGCAGGAACCTTGCTTCCGTGCTTGGGTTTGCAGGTTGGCACATGGCATTTCTGATCAACCTACTAGCCATTGAAAGCAGCAAAACAACCTTTGACGTCGTCACTGGTCGATCTCAAGCTGGTGAAATAGGTAACACACTCAAGTAATAGTAATCTTGTTTGTTCGTGGATGATGCGACGGTGCGAAAGTCCTTCTGGAGACCGAGTTGTGGCCAAGCTTCTTTCCCCAAGATCGGTCATATTTCCGGAGGATTGAACAGATTGAAGGAACCTCGATTTTGGGGCTAGGGCAAATGGTAGGGCAATCATTGGAGCAGATTCACCAGGCTGTCTTGTTGCTTGAGTCGTCACAAGCTCGGCCATCTCTGTCTCAACTCTCAACGGAGATTTGGACAGAGAAAGCCACCGCAGGGTCTCATTGGTGCGTACGTAACCGACACTGCAGACGCCTCCTACTTTGTCCTGCATCGCGGCCTCGCTCGCTCAGACACTCCCGCACAAGGATTGCTTTGTGGAATCTAGATGCCGAGGTGGATGCTGCAATTCCCTGTTCAGTTCTGTCGACTCGTCTATTCGTCGGATCAGCAGAGGGAACCGTCAAGAGGAACTCGGGCTGTTGTGCCGCGAAACACGCCTCTTCACACTATGTTTTGATGATTTTCATCGCAATTGCAGATCAGTATTCGCCCAATTGTCCTTTGTGTGCGAAACGTCAAGGCAGGCGCACCATCAGCTTGCAGGTCCAACCCGCACGTAGCCAACGGTGAGAGCTACACGATTCATTGCCTTTAGGTTGACACGACGCTCGTCCATACAAGATGGGTTTTGTTATCTCGTCCAGGAGTTCAAATTTCCAGAACCAAAGACAAAAGGCTTCCAAGACACGCACTCGCCCGGTTCATTGGCTCTCGCCCTCCTTTACCCCTCGGGAACCCCATGTCTTTGCCCCAGAGCGAGTCAATACAATCAATCAATTCAGCAATATAGGCTACAGCAATATAGCGCGGGATCTAGTCGCATAAACATCCGCGAGTCGCAATACGCAAGCCACAGAAGTTTCGCAACGTCTAGGCTCTACATATCCCATCAGTGCAAAAGGAAAGGATTCGGTGTCAAAGCTGAACATGGAGCGGCGCGAGATGTCTGCAGTTGATGAATTCTTGGACAGCCGAGAGCAAGAAGCATGCAGGTTCGTAAAGGTGGTCGTTGCTTCGGCAAGGTACCAACCTAAAGCCTGCAACTTAACTTCGGCTCGAGCTTGACCTGAGTCGACGGGTTTGTAGATCAAGGTCGATCGGTTCAAGGGTACTGTTCCAGGTATGTGCACGAGGGCCCCAGTTACGGTGGGCTAAAATCCTTCGTTCGCTGGACGGACTGGACGGACACACTTAACACAGGTGCGCGTCCGATAAAGTAAAAGAAGATGGGTGCCATATGCCGACCCAAGTCCAAACTTGCCGACCGACTTTTTCTATTTTCCAGCTGTTTGGTTACGATACTTGGATTGCTCTACTGGTTGGAATCTATCATAAGCATCAGACCTTCGACTCCCTTGCCACGTTTCCTGGATACATGATCTCGATTGCGGCTTGTCTTGCTGACTGATTGGCCTGTTGGCTTCCCGCTTTCTCTTCCTCTTGTTGAAACATCTCGAGCAAGTCACACAAATACCAAGACAACGTGTGTCAGGCATGGTCACAAAGATTGAGATCGACCCTTCGACAGGGCATTATCCATCCCCATACAGCTTGTTTCCTCTCGGACCAGTACTCAAGGGTGGTCTTATGGCGCCGGGTCTTCTCGGATTACTCTCTGTTATCACCACACTCGGTCTGCTGGCCTTCATCGTGTATCGATTCTCAACATGGCGGCGGTATTACAGGACGTATGTCGGATACAATCAATATGTCGTACGTCAAACTCTAGTCGAGCTGTTCATACCAGCCAACATCTGGAAGCATTACTAACTATGCCTCTGCTAGGTATTGTGTATGAATCTGTTGATCGCTGATTTCATACAAGCCGTATCTTTTCTCTTCTCCTTCCACTGGATCAGGAAGAATGGCATCTTTGCACCTTCTTCGGCTTGCTTTGCCCAAGGCTTCCTCCTCAACATCGGCGACTTGACCTCTGGATTCTTCGTCATGGCTATCGCCTTTCATACTTTCTACACCGCGGTCAAGGGCCGTCGCATCGGTCATGTCCAATTTATCGTATCTGTGGTCTCGGTCTGGACATTCGCACTCATACTCAGCATCATCGGCCCCATCGAATACAAAGACAAATATTTTGTGCGTGCTGGCGCTTGGTGCTGGGCTGGAGAGCAATACCAAACCGATCGTCTTGCACTGCACTATCTCTGGATTTTCATCGTTCAGTTCGGCACAATCATCATTTATGTGTTTGTGCTGATTCGACTGCGAGCAGCTGTGGCTGCTGTGGTTCCCTCCGTCAGAGTCCAGTCAAGCAGCTATGCCAAAGTCGACCGCGCGGCAAAATTGATGGTGCTGTATCCTTTGGCTTACATTGTTCTTACACTCCCACTTTCTGCAGGCAGGATGTGGAGTATGGCACACCACGAAAAGAGTCTTCCGGATGAGTACCAATGCGTCGCTGGCGCTTTACTCGCTAGTTGCGGTTGGGTAGACGCTTTACTGTATACACTCACACGCAAAGCCCTCATCAACGGCGGCGACTCCAACCGCCGCACACGCTCCAACAACCCCGCAAAATCCAGCAAAGAAGACGCAGCATCAAGCATGGACATGCACGGCTCCATCCTCCAAACGCGCACCATCACCGTCAGTGCAGGACAAGTATACGCCCTGGACACCATCATCGACGAAGACGAACACCCCCAACGAGGCCGCTCCCAAAACAAACACCATAACTACAAAAAAAGCTTTGTGGACAGACATGGCCAGCATTCTCCTACAGGCAGTTTGGATCCTATCATCACTGGCCATCATTTGGGTGTGGGGAGTGATAAGGTGGGTTCAGAGGTGCAGGTTACGAGTCGTGCTGTTCAAGACGCTGAGAGTGAGGATGGTACGTCGAGGGTGTCGAGTTTTGACGATGGGAAACCACCGCATGCGCGATGAAAAAGGCTTATTAATATTTTGCTGTTTTTGCACTCGCTTCTTCTTTTCTTTTGTACTATAATTTTTTCCGTGTAGATAGTTAGGCACACATACCCCCAGAGATACCAGGTTTCATTATTGCGTACTTTACAAGTTAAGCCTTTTTTCCCCAAGACAATTTCGACGCTTCAGCATGGTCTCATTCGTCTCTGAGATCTACTTGTTTCTGATCTGTCTTTCTTGTCATTGTGACATTCTTCGCTCACCCACGTGTTTGAGATACAAGGCATCGCTCGTATGGCTAAGCGGCAAGGGCCAACGAGCGGCATGCTCTGGCTCGGTAACTCCGCGGTCGATCCATGGACCTGCCTCATTCTTCAAGTGCATCAATATCTAGGATATATATAAAGTACCATCTCAATGCCTTTCTTCGAAGGTCATAGATACCTGCGAGGACTACGAGGATATCTAGACCACGCTCTTTCGCAATCACTGCAAGACCCATCAAACCTCCAACCCTGCAAACCTCCCAACCTCCAAACCTCCAAACCTCTAAACCTCTACGCCCTCCAAATCCAACAATCATCAAAAATGATTCAACCAAAAGTCCCAAACCATCTTGACGACACAATCCCCCTTCCAGGCTCCAAACGTACGATCTTTGAGTTTGGAACTTTCGAGTATAAAGATATACCCCTGGAAAAGAAGAACTCCNCTGTGGTGATAATAGGAAGTAGTATGGTGGGTATGTTTATGGGATTGTTGCTTGGGTATTTTGGGTATGTTTGTTTTACCTTCCTCCCACCTCCACTACCCACCCACCCCTGGCAATATACTGATGCAGAAGCAAATGCCAGAATCCACTCTGTATCTTTTGACCGCCATCCCTCAACAGCAATCCACCCCCGCGCAGCTCTCTTCCTCCTCCGCACCGTAGAAATCCTGCGCCAACTAGGACTCGAACCCCTCTTCATTTCCGAAAGCGAGAAAAACTTTGACCTAGACGCTGGAATGCTAGTAGTCGAAAAACTGTACCAAGGAAAAACAATTGCAAAAGTGCAAGAAAGCGATCCAGGAGAAGTTGCGAAGTGCACGCCGTGCAAAAGACTTTGGCTTACTCAGGATATGTTTGAACCTCTGTTGAGGAAAAATGCTGGAAGATTTGGTGCGGAACAGAGATTTGGGGTGCAGGTGATGCAATATGAAGAATGTGCCGATGGGGTTTTTGTCATTGTCAAAGACGTCCAAACGGGGAAGGTCAAGAAATACAAGACTAGGTATGTTGTTGCTGCTGATGGGAATAGGAGTGCCACGAGACGCAAAGAAGGCATTCAGTGGGATGGGCCTGGTCACCTTGCCTCCAGCATCTCTATAAACTTTAAAGCAGACTTGGTGCCTTATTTGGGAACCAGAGCTGTTCATGGAGTTACTTACATCATGAATGCAGAGTTTACGGGTGGGTTTCGACTTGATGCTGGAGGCAAAGGTGGCTTTTTGGTTGTTTCCAAGGCTAAAGGCAGAGATGAGGGGTTTGAACCGGATTCGGTGTCAACAGCTGAAGCACGCCGATTCTTTGAAGCTTGTTCGGGGATTGATGCCGAGGAGTGTGGGTTCGAGGTTGAGTTTGTTTCGTATTGGACGGTTGCTGCGTACAATGCGGAAAGGTATTGTAGTGAAGGTGGGAGGGTCTTTCTTGTGGGTGATGCAGCGCATGTTATGCCGCCAGCGGGTATGTCTTCCCCTCTATCATCCGAGACTGTTTNNGCTGACTTGAAAACGATGGTAGGTGGCATGGGCGGCAATACAGGCGTTGCAGTAAGTAGACAGTCAGGGACATCCACAACCAAGCTTACGATATCATAGGATGCATACAATCTAGCATGGAAGCTGGCCTATGTGCTGACTGGTAAGGCATCACCCAGTCTCCTCGATACTTACAACCAAGAACGCCAACCAGCAGGAGAATTCAGCATGAACCAGGCCTTCTCCCGACTTGTCAACAGAGTATTTCGCAACAGAATCTCAGAAGGTGTAAAGGAATTGCCGGATCTTGTCTGCGAGCTGGGATATCGATATACCCAAGGCGCCATCAATGCTCGTGAAGCAAAAGGCTCTCAGAGTATTTTTGAAGATCCACAGTCGCCCTATGTGCTTCCAGGAGGCAGACTACCTCACATCTGGTTGATCGACGAGAACGGCAAGAAGCTGTCAAGTTTGGATCTCGTCAAGTGCAACTTTGTGCTTTTGACGACAGAAGACGAGTCACCATGGATGGACGCCGCTGCAAAGCAGAGTATACCGATTGACGGATATGTCATCAATGCGTCGTCGCATCCTTATCGTGAATGCGAGAGATCAGCAAGAGATGCGTGGAAATTGCAAGGTGGTGAGGCATTACTGATCCGACCGGATGGTATCATCGCGTGGAGAGCGGCGGGAGTTGCGAGTGGACATCAAAGCGAACTTGGTCGAGCGTTGAGGGCTGTATTGAAGCAATAAAGCTAGTAGCAAGCAGTCAAGGATTTTGCTAGGTCCGAGGCTGGAAGCAACAAGTCGGATGTTTTCTTCAATCTCTTCCTCGAGGACTCAAAGTTCTCCAGATCTTGTGATAGGAAACAGTGACCAGAGAGAAGTGATGTGATGTCGAGATTGTAGCAAGAAGGCGCAGTCGGCAGAGCGACCAAGATAGGAAGGTCTTGACGCGCCCAGACTGTGGGGAGGGTGGAGAGCTTTGGCGACGGCTCGGGCATGGACCATGGCGAACGGCTTGGACGTCACGAGCGAAGCGGCGGCGCTGGGTCTTGGTCGAGAGAGGAAGGCACGATAGGCCTCCAACTTAGTCCTTTGCTCTTCCAGTCGCTCCTTGCTCGTTGTCGCCTTGCTCAAGATTTGTGTTGCTGCTGAATGGATTGAAACTTTGGCGCGTCAAACAGCCTGAACTGCAACAAGCCGCCCAAAATTATACAAGTAGCTGCGCGTATCGACACGAGATCCAACCCATTCGCCAACCCCTCGCGTGCCACCCGTGTCTGCTCTTACCATGAGAGTGTTATGGCTGGCAGCAGCTGCCCTGCTGTCGTCGGCAACAGCATACAAGACCAATCAATACCAATCCGACTTCTCCAACTCGTTAGCCTCGACGACGCCTTTCTCGATATATGGCGACCGACCAGACGATTGCCCTCCATGCTTCAACTGCAACCTTGACAACTTCCAATGTCACCAATACGCCAACTGCACAAAGTCAAGTGGCAAATGTTCCTGCCCCTCAGGCTTTGGTGGTGAGGACTGCTCTCAGCCGCTGTGTGGTTCGCTGGCCGAAGGGCACAACAGATTGCCGCGCCAGGGCCACGACTGCGAGTGCAACGAAGGTTGGGAGGGTATAAACTGCAATGTCTGCAAGACGAACGATGCTTGTAACGCCATGATGCCCGAAGGCGAGGGTGGTGTCTGTTATCGCGAAGGTCTGGTTGTCAATGAGAACTACCAAATCTGCGACATTACAAACCGCAAGATCCTCGACCAGCTCAAGGAGAAGAAGCCTCAAGCCACCTTTTCCTGCAACGCCGACCGCAAAGAGTGCAACTTCCAGTGTATGTCTTCCATCCCTGCAGTCTGCTACCCACTCGCTAACATTCCCGACNAAGTCTGGGTCGACCAGGTAGAATCCTTCTATTGCGCCCTCGACACGTGTACCTGGTCCTCCAAAGCCGAACCGAACCGCAACTCGACGTCGTACCATTGCGAAAATATCAAGTGTCGTTGTATTCCAGGACGCATGCTGTGTGGCGAAGCCGACTCGATCGACATTGGAGACTTCCTGGATGAGGAAATCAAGGGACCTGCCAGTTTCTCGTCTGTCTCGACTGAAGGCGGTAGCGCTTCGGACGGCAGCAAGTTCCAGGAGCCTGCCATGAACGACCTTATCTCGAGCGTCTTTGGAGACGACAGCATCACCCTCAAGTGTCATTCTGGAGAGTGTCTGTATGTCACCGACGTCCCTGGTTATGAGAGACCCGTCAAGAAGATCAACACTCNNCCCCTCATTGCCGGTGTCATTGCAGGTTGTGCGCTATTCGTCGTAGCTGTGATCCTGATTGTCTGGTTCCTCTCGCGCAGAAAGACAAAGTATGGCCCTATCCACCTCTCTGATGACGAGGACGACTTGAACGCCGCCCTCCTTGCCGACCACAAACCCGCCAGTCTCTATTTCGAAAACGTCTCGTATGCCCTCAAGGGCAAGCAGATTCTCACCGACATCCAAGGTGCTGTTCATCCTGGTCAGCTCATGGCCATCATGGGTGCCTCTGGTGCTGGCAAAACCACCTTCTTGGATATTCTGGCTAGAAAGAACAAGCGCGGTACTGTCATTGGCAACTTCCTGATCAATGGAGAGAAGATCCCGGACAACGAGTTCAGAAGTGTCATCGGCTTTGTTGACCAGGACGATACCATGCTGCCTACCTTGACTGTACACGAGACTATTGTCGACAGTGCCATGCTTCGTTTGCCCAAAGAGATGAGCTACGCTTCCAAACTGCAAAAGGTCGAAGACGTGGAAAGGCAGCTCGGCATCTACCACATCCGTGATCAACTCATCGGTTCCGAAGAAGGCAATGGACGCGGTATCTCTGGTGGTGAAAAGCGCAGAGTCGGCATTGCCTGTGAGCTCGTCACGAGCCCCAGCATCCTCTTCCTCGACGAGCCTACCAGTGGCCTCGATGCCTTTAACGCTTTCAATGTCGTCGAATGTCTCGTCCACCTCGTCAAAACATACAACAGAACCGTCGTCTTCACCATTCATCAGCCCCGCTCCAACATTGTTGCACTTTTCGATCAGCTAGTCCTCCTTGCTAAGGGTAGAACTGTTTACTCTGGACCATTCGGCAACTGTCAAGCTTACTTTGACAACATCGGCTACTCCTGTCCTCCTGGCTTCAACATTGCAGACTATCTTGTTGACTTGACAATGCACGCTAGCACCGTTCATCCCCAGATTCCCGAAGACAGCTCCATCTTCCGCCAACCTATCGGTCGCAGTACTCGTGCAAGCAGCGCGGTCGCTGTCAAGTCCGTCCCAAGTGTCTCTAATTTCAGCGTCGAGCAAGGAGGCTCCATTACATCAGACTCTCCTCTCAGACCCAAGAACAGTCGCACCGCATCAATCAAGCAGCAACAGGATAGAGCACTTTTCACCAGGAAGCAATCTTCGCGAGAACCCCCTGCAACTGCAAGCACCATTCGCTCCGACGCCTCCTCTCTGGAAAACAGCTTCGAGAACACTCAGCAATGGCTCAAGATGAGAGGAGTACAACAATCTCACGATGATCCCAATGGTCTTCCTCCAGACGCTGAGGGAGTCACAAACACAGACCTCGACAACCTCGTCCAAGCTTTCGCCGATTCAGATGTCGCCGCCTCTATTCGGGATGATATTCGCAATGCCATGTCTGAAGCAGCTCAGTCGAATGGTCAAGCTAACGGTGCGGCTAATGGCGGCCCTGCTCAATCTTCAGTCAAGGGCTATCGCAAGACTGGTATTCTCGGTCAATTCGTTATTCTGTCCAAGCGTACATGGCGCAATCTGTACAGAAATCCTCTGTTGATGCTGACCCACTATGCGATTGCCATTCTACTAGCTGTCTTCCTCGGCTTCCTCTTCTATGGTCTGACTGATGACCTGAAGGGCTTCCAAAATCGTCTCGGTTTCTTCTTCTTCCTGCTCGCGCTGTTCGCTTTCAGCACTCTGACCTCTTTGACCGTCTTTGCTCCAGAACGTCTTTTGTTCGTCAGAGAGCGTGCCAAGGGTTACTATTCTCCCTTGGCCTACTACGCATCAAAAGTCGTCTTCGATATTGTTCCTCTTAGACTCATCCCTCCTATCATCATGGCCGTCATTGTCTATCCTATGACTGGTCTTCTACCTACAGCTGCTGAATTCTGGAAATTCATGCTGTTCGTTGTTCTCTTCAACCTTGCCGCGGCTACAGTATGCTTGTGCATTGGCATCGTCATCAAGAACCAGGGTGTCGCAAACCTGGTTGGTGTCCTTGTCATGTTGTTCAGCTTGCTTTTCGGCGGCTTCTTGCTCAATCACGAGACCATCCCCAAGGGTCTTCGTTGGTTGCAATCAGTAAGTCACCGTCTTCATGTTGTGTTCTGTAACACTACTGACCCCCTCCCAGNNATTTCCATCTTCCACTACGGTTTCGAAGGCCTGATCGTCAACGAAGTTCGCTACCTTTCGCTCATCGACCACAAGTATGGTCTTGACATTGAGGTACCCGGCTCGGCTATTCTAAGCTCTTTCGGCTTCAATGTTCTTGCGCTTTGGAGTGATGCCATCGGTCTTGCCGTATTCTGCGGTGTATTCTTGGTGTTGGGATACGTGGCAATGCATTTCTTGCTCGTAGAGAGAAGGTAGTGTAATGTCTACTGTTGTGGCGGTGTATGGGCTAAGGGATAGACTTTTTCTTATTTCTTGTTCATCACTCATTGTTTATAGGTGACCATTCTATGTATCAAGATCTTTCATTTTTCTCATGACATGTCTTCATACCTGTTTCCTCTCTATCGCACGTAACCGTTGTATGGATGTGTCACGAAGACAGCTAATCAGCAGCTGCCACAAGAGCGGAGGTTTTGTTCCAGTCAGCTTTTCTGGCTTGAGGTCAAGTTCTTTCTTTGGCTGCTCTTTCCCTTCCACTGCTTTCTTTCTCCCTACTTGGATTGATGATCTCAGATGCGGTATGACGTTTTTGTGCATTATCGTGAATCTGAATCATTTAGTGCTATAAGCGCGAGCGCTTGACAGCACATGCATCAGCTCACAATATAAGATCTTGGGCGTCAACTCTTAGCTTCCTATTTCAGCATTTTTGTTCTGTCCGAACTCGATATTACTCCTTGGCTCTCATACTCGATTGCATCTTGCAGTTGGGGCGGATTTTGCCTCTATCTTAGGATCACCAGCTCCTTCCACTCTCAATCACAAGACGCCCTTCACTGACCCAAATCACAACCGCGAGATCTTTCACATTCACTCGGTTTGGTGCCTGACAAAGCGCCAGAGCGAAATCCGCGGCGAAGGGTGCATGTGATTGATCACAAGCTTTTCGACGTCAAAAGAATTTCTACAGCGTTTCTGAACTCACACTGCTCATCTGCATACTATCCTACCATCTTGACACAACCAAAACGCAGCCAGGATCTCGACATTCTGCAGAAGCACAGAATCACTCAAAGTGTCTTCGACGGCGCACAACATTTGCGGTGCACAACATCTGCGTCTGACCCCAATCTTCCGATCGTATCTCAGTGGCTAGAGTCTTCTCTTCTCCAGTCTACCAAAGCATCTGCATCTGCATCTTTTCGTCTCTAAACCTTGCCCACCTCGACCTGCCACTGTTGAGGCACACAACCAAAACAACAGCTTGCAACAGACATCCCTTCACTCGACCATCCAAACTCATCCATTCGAATCCGCGCAACAATGCCAGGCTCCCACGATCTCAGCGTCGAAAACCTCCGCCTTCACGAACGCATCGTCGACTCTGAAAAACAAACCAAGCACCATGTGATCAAAACGACAACTTCCGCTCCCACAACCGCGAAACACAGTATCAGACCACCTCCCAAACCCTCTTCCGTGGCCAAGAAACGAGATGGATCTCAGACTCACTCCAAGGCAAACTCCAAGACGGGATCAAAGCGTGATGGAAGTGTACGCGACAAAGAAGTTTTGGTGGTTACGGTCATTGAAGAGGATGAAGATGAGGATGCTGGCAAACTGCCTCCTAAAGCTCCTTCCCTGGCTAGCAGACACAGTGGGAACAAAGCTGTTCCTGCAAAACCTGCCAAGTCAAAGGTTTCCTCCCATCACGACAACCATAAAAACACTTGGGATATCTACAATATCCCAGAGGGTATCCCGCCTCCACCTAGTTTCGCCAAGATCCCAGAACTGGCTAGCATGCCTTTGCNNCTCCCTTTGCCCGAGCCCCCAGGAAACGAACAGATGGCACTGGTCAAAGTCCCCGCACCTCCTGTTGTTGATACAGCAAACGAGGGGAAATTGGTAGCANAGAGGTATCCTGCATCCTCTCACACCAGTCAACACAGCAAAAGCTCTCATCACAGCAAGAAGAGTAACAAGACCAAAGCTATCGAGAGTGGAGATGCAGAATTCAGAGATGTGGTCTTTGAGGAAGTGAGAGAGGTTACTAGACGCAGGTATGTGGTCAAGATGCCTGGAGACAAGATCGCAGAGTGGAAGTTTTGATTGATTCGGCTGTGGATAGGGGGAATTGGGAGATCTTGAGAGTTGTGGGTTCTGGGGGTTCTTTTGGCAAGCATCAAAAGGGAAGGGAGATTGAGGAATGGATGAAAAGGCTCAAGGGCAGACAAGGCTTGCTCGAGGGGTTGGCGAAAAGGGTTGCTTTGAACCCATTATGCCTTTGATCTGTTGCTATCTTCTGCAAACGATTGTGCAATTTTAGCTTCTTAATTTTCCTTGTTTCCCCTTCCCCCTTTCCTTTTTGAGGATCTTGTTGCATAGATGAAAAGAGACAATCCAGTGAATAATCAAAACGGACTTTTGGACTTCTTGGCTGCTAGGAAAGAAAAACCATTATTGATACTGGAATGGTAGACTTTCGAGTAAAGGTTGACTCAAGGGTTATTGCGATCGAGCTTCTAGAGGAGGATAGAGACAGAGGGTAAGAATTTGACAGACAGAGAGAGACAGATAGAAAGGGATAAACAGAGAGAAAGATAGAGATAGAGAGAGACAGAAAGAGACAGAGCTTTTCATGATCCCTTCACCTGTCTCATAGAATATGCAGGCTAACCTTAGAGTGGAGGCTGCAGCTTTAGCTTTAGCCACACGGTCTAGGTAGGATCCGCTCTTCGTGATAGCAGCCAAGCTACGGTTCTCTATGATCGGATTGCACAGCTGGCCTGAAGCAGTAGCAGAGTGACACTCTTTAAAGACTGGTATGCACTCGACATAGTGGAAGCATTGACGATAGAAGATCTTGTAATGGAGGTTTTGACACATCTTGGGGGTCTGAGTGGAGCGCAAAGACGATGCAGTGAAGATCTGAAATAAGAAACAATAAGAATCTCCAAGAGGAAGCTCTTCCAGACACAAGACATATTTATGTTGTCTTGTTCGAAGACACGATGCTCTTTGGCGGCGGTGATATGATCATGGTTAGGTCAACAATACGTTATCAACCTCCGGTAAGACAGGAAGTTAAGGCGTACCACGTTGACTGGTTGACATTGCTCCAAAATCAGCAGATATGTTCCATTGTTGGAAGTTGACTTTGATGAAGAAAATGACTGGGCAGGTGCACAGCGCTGCGCGGCATAGCATACTGTGCGCCTCCACCAATCGATCCTTGCATCACACGCAATGCCTTCGAGCCAATCGCTGCTTCGCGCTGATGCCGCGACGACTGGCTTGCGTCAGGAAATGTTGGTGACAGAGTGACACGCGCCAATGTTTTTGACGCAGGGGCACGCTGCCGCCAAGACTGAGATATACGCGACTACCACCTTCTTGACCTTTCTTGCTTTCCTTTCATCGGAACCCATCGCATCGGTGACCGAACATAAAATGCAAGCCTGTGTCAACAGTCCGTTCGAGACATGGTTGCCGCTGATTGATTTCACCGCCACCGCTTTCATGTTCGACCTCGGTGGGAATGTTGTCATCAAAAGTCCCTTCCTTTGGACCAATCCCACACCGTTTCACGAGAAAGTGATGGAAGACAACATTGCAAGCATCGAGAAGGAGAAGGAAATCCTTAGTGTCTTGCGGCAAGAGCCTCATCCAAACATCGTACACACTATAGTGTTATCGCAGCAAGGGATCTTCCTAGAGCGTTTGGTCATGTCATTGAGTCAACGCTTGAAAGGACCTGCTCTACCCATCAGCCCTCAGCTCAAGGTTCGCTGGATACAGCAGATCGTCAGTGCGGCCGCATGGCTGGAGAAATTGAGGCCTAGCACATGGTGATACGCGGCCAGACAACATCCTGCTCGACGAACGAGCAAACATCAAACTCATCGACTTCGACTGCACCGTCAAGTATGGCGACGCGTTGATCGCAGCAACGACTCCTTTTGCAAAGCTCGATGGAAACCTCAATACACCGTTGGCAGGCGCGGAAAGCGAGACTTTCGCCATCGGGTCTTGCATTTACAATATCCACTTCGATTATTCGCCCTTGCCTGAACTGGAGGATCGAGAGCTGGATGAGAAGTGGAGCAAGCATGAGTATCCGTCCACAGGCGATGACGAGCTCGGTGTGATCATCCGGAAATGTTGGAACGGCGAGTTTGAATCTCTAGCGGCGCTCGACGCTGTCGTCAAGTCGCTGCGCAGCGATGGGGTAGTGGCCTCACTTCCGAGTCGGCTCAAGACATGGTGTCTAAGATCCGAATGCGAGTTGTTCCTGGCAAGAGACACGTGGATCGTGGACTGCAAGTGGAAATCAAGGTTGCAAGCTTGGGGTTGGCGTTATCTATACGCTTTGTTCTGGAGCGCGGCGAAGCTTGAGCAAGTGATCATGTCGACTTTATCCAGGTAGGGAGAGTCGGTCAACCATTGTTTGTCTCAATTCCTCGAGGCATCTCCCTCTGCCCATTGATGTTTCAATGCACTTGCAGGTCTGTCAGTGCGGTGTCCGAATTTCGTGCTTATCATGTCCAAGAACCGGAGAGCATGGTCTCGCTGCAACGAGTCGGCAAAGTGATGTCCNGCCTTAATACATGTTAGCATCGGACTTACAACAGCACTAAATACATGAAGCATAAGAACGTCGATTTCCTTACATGTAAGCAGGATGTGAAGACCAGGAAANACTGCGTCCTCGACCCAAGAATTCGAGAGCGCAATGCCTAACACAAAGCACATTGAGTTGATCGCATCTTGAGATCGACTATCGTCCGCTGCTGAGGTTGTACCCTGTGATGTGTCCGAGGGTTTGTATAAGTTGAGATATACTTGACAGGTGTGATAGTACTCGAGAGCGACAACNTGTACCAACAATCATTACAACTGGCTTTCTCAGTGATGAGGTTTAACGATACCGTGTGGTGCACTAGTCATGATGACGATGGGAAATGGCTGATCCGGGTCTACGTTCGCATCTTGCTGGAAAAGCGGCTCAAAGTCCTTTTCGGTGTACCAATCCTCAACAGAACGTTCTAGGTTTGACCAGTCAGTAGGCTCTTCACCCACCTCGGTCGAATACAACCGACGCAGGATTTTCGCCCATATCAAAATGATTGCACAAGCTTTTGCACTAGAAGTTGCAGGGCCCTGGAAGACACTCGAATGATCGTAACCATCCAAGCTGATTCTGGGCGCTCGTTTGGTTATCATTGCCATGAAGAGATCATGTCGAAGAGCCAGCCAGGCTGACGCCTCTGCCAGCCCGCCTGATCGCAAAAAANNATCGGGTATTGCACCTAGCAGAGAAGCAAGTCCCTCGAGATGAAGAGCACTGAACGGCTGATGGTTGAACAATTCGTATAGCCTCAAAAAGACCATTGTTACCATCAAAGTATCGTCGTGGCAAAGGTCTGGCTGAGACAGGGCTTGTATCACCAACGTCAGACATTTGCTATGGTAGTTCGAGGCTTCTTGCCAGTCGTTGTCTCTGACCGCCTGGTGCCGCGATGATGCTGCTAAGATTGAGAACAGCAGCATAGGAGACTTTGTAGCTCTGAAAGGCACCTCTTGAGCAAATCGTGGTACATCCTGCAGCACGTCAAGCTAATAGAACCATCAGCGCATGATCTCGCTGATTGGGAAAATTTTTCTCTATCTTACCCATGGCGATATTACGCGGATGAAGTATTGCATAAGAAGTGCTTCACGATGTGTAAGGAGTGGAACTGAAGACGTCGAGATATCTGTACAGGAACTATCGGGAGCTTGGGTATCTGTAATTGTTGTATTCGAGCCAGTCAATGAAGGCTCCCTTGTCAAGGTTGATGGTGATGACAAGACGTAAGATAGTGATGTCCGTGTATCGGGAGTTTTCTGCTCATGTTAGTCATGTATTCGTGCGTGATGAGGCATCCTGCTGACGAACGAAAAGTCCTACAGTAGTATGCGGAGAGCTTGAATGAATAGGCTCTGTCATTGAGTCCGTCGACTGTCCNNTGCCTGACCGTCGTTTTTACCGTTCTGGGATCGCAAGACCTGGTCATTGGTGCAGAGCTCGTCATTTGGACCGATGAACAACTCATCATGATTATTTTCTAGGCCATCACCATTCTCAAAGATGTAAGCAAGCTTCACATTCGTTGAAACCCATGGTTGCGAAGGGCGATAAATAAAATCGGTACGCTGGGCTGCGATCACTGCGCTCTTGCACATCTTGAAGCGCCATAGCGACTCAAAGACGCATCGCGATCTACCCAGACTGTGGCATCGCGAACAGACATCTTGACCCTGGCTGATGATACATTTCGCATGCCGGGCTCGACAAGACAGGCATCTGGTCCGATCATTTGGCATTATTCTGCGATGGTTGTTGCGAAGTGGAGGTGGATGGATTCGAGCCGTTTGTCTGCCAAGGGGGGCGAAACTATTCGTCATTACGGACGCCCTCACTTCTGCGGCCAATCTTTTTGCCGACCTCTTTCTGCGTTTTCTGCTTTCTCATCGCAACAGCAATGCACAAGAAGAAGCCTTTCTCTGGATGTACCCGTATCGCATACATGTCAAAATTCACTGGAATATTGCAATTTTCGCATCCCACCCTGCAAGGCTTCTCCGAGACACATTTCCACCACCGTTGAATGGCGACTGATACCGTTATGCCGCTCCAGCTATCCCTACCTACAACACTCGCGCAAGTACCCATAGTGGCTAGCTGAGTCTCAATACCATAGTCCAGATTTGGTCTGATCTCTCGCGCCGAGGTGAGAATCGGATGACCACATGGCAGGATCAGCAGAAAATACTGAGTCGTTTGGCCAACGCTGTAAAGTCACTGCTGAGAGCCGTTGATATACTTGAAACCTGTTCAGGAACGAGTACTCTTGGCTGTTCTTCTATCTCAACAGACTTGCATGTGTTTGATTAGCTGGGCATGGCATCGATGACTTGCCGCCTGTCCATCTGAAATTCTCCTCAAAAGATATAAACGGTAGGTGCAGCTCAGGATTCTCAGAGGTGATTCTCTCCACTTCATCAACGCCAAGATGTTCATCCATCCATTAGTACCTTTGCTTTTCTGTTTCTTTGCGCAACTTGTGAGCGTGTCCTCCTCTCCACTTGTTGTCGAACGAGCAGCTTCAACATGTTCTGCAAACGACATTGCCATAGTGAAGCGTACAGCTCCGGCTGACCCCGTGTACTTTTGTCAATGGTGGCAGCAGGAGTAAGTCTCATCATCACAGCCTTGTCCGATTCAACAAACTAACAGCCCAAACAGTGTACGCACGAGATCGCCCTTCATGGAGTTCACTCCAACTCAGGTCGACACTTTGTGCAAATGCATCTCGCCAGTTGCAACAGGACTCAAATGCAAGCGCAAGCGCAAGCGATCAGATATTGAGGAAAGAGCAGACCCCAATGCCGGTCGCTCTGCAGCTTCGTGCAGCTCTGAGGTCAGCGCTCAGTTCACTCAACCATGGCGCTTCTGTACCTTCTACACTTCTTATCCAAGAACTACATCGCCATTCAAAAGTACACCGCATCCGCCTTGACCAGTTTGTGCAAATGCGCCATCACAAAGCCTGCTTCCACAACTAGCAAAAGGTTACTACGACTTCTAAGGTCTCTACCACATCAAAGAAGACTACTACGACTAGCGCAAAGCCAAACACCACTTCCAAGAAGACCTCGACAAGCACCAAGAAAACGAGTACATCGACGAAACCAGCCACCGTCCAGAAGCCAGTAACAACCAGCAAGAAGCCAACGACCACTAGCTCCAAGAAACCCACGACCACAAGCACTAAAAAGCCAACAAGCACCAGTACCAAGAAGATCACATCGACGAGCACAAAGAAGGCTACTATCACAAGCACCACGAAGAAACCATCGACCACCAGTTCAAAGAGGATAACGTCAAGCACAAAGCGTGCCTCGACAACAAGCTCGAAGAGATAAGGTGCTGGCTCTTTGATTTTCGTCTTCGTAATGATACAAAATCTGCCGGATATTTGCAATTTTGATACATCGGCTTTGTTTTTGAACATCTTCATATCGCACGGCACCAACTTTGGATGCTGATTCTGTATCTACCGAACATAAAGTGGCGAATATACACAGTAATAACCTTTGATGTCCAAACGATCCATCCCATCCCGGTTTCATGATCAAAGCCATGCTCCTCGAGCTCAACACAATTAGACTAGCAAACAAGAGTCATGTCAGTGGCAGCAGAGCCAGCGACTTTCACGCTGTAGTGATGCACAAAGATGTTCAAAACAGAAAGCTGACCAGAGAGAAACTGCACGGCACATTACTCTCAGCAGAGACTTCCTTTCTTCTTGAGATGTTTCTCCAATTTGACTTGCTTTGTCGACCTGAATCGCAAGAACATACCAACATCGACAGTCCGAAAGACTCTCCTGGATTCCCAAACCTCCAGATTCTTGATTAACTCCCCTTCATTGTACATTGACAATCCCGTTGTATGAGTAATTACACTACTCTCATTCTGGAGCCTATACCTGCCCGAAATGACCAGGTAGTTTGCCTCTACCGACTAATCCGGCTACGTTTCTCCTGCCGACAGAGGCAGTGTCAACGACTATGGTGATTATTTATATACCTACAACGACTTTGAAGTTGCAGCTTGCATCTCAGATTTCAACTAGGACTCCGCCGACATCGATTCAGAACCCAGTAATGGTCGGACCGAGCAATGAGCCCCAAGATGCTCTCTCTGACTACGGTGACGAGTTATATGATGAGAACGACTTCGAAGATGCAATCAGAATCTCAAATGCCTCATCAGACACGAGTCTCAGCAACATAGAGGCTAGCGATGTCGAGACACATACTGTGACCGACAAGGCCCTAATCGACAACGATCCCCCCTGAGTACCATCAATAGACAGATAAGGTTGTGCATTCGAACAAGTACACGTGGATGACAGCGCGGAGACATTGAGTAGCAAAACAACAAATCACAATGATTATATACTATCCGCTGAAAATGCAATAACAACCTTCTACGAACCACTAACATACTTTTCGACTTCTGTAACAGCATCAATACCATACAACCAATCTAGATCAAAGCCTTGTTCGTCATCGTCCTGTTCTTCGGATCCATTGATCTTGGGCAGTCTTCGACGATCGATGCGAGCATTCAGCAGCAAGATTTGCTCAATTCTGTTCTGTCTGAAGCTTTGCCACCACCCCAAGTCTTTCTTCTCGCCTCTACCCTTCCCCAGTAGGATGGCTAGCATCACTACATCCTCGACAGCTTGAGATATACCTTGGCCCGAACTGGGTGGCACCGCATGAGCTGAATCACCCACCAAAAGCACTCTCCGATTGTCAGAGGACCATGAGTCGAGCTCGGGTATGACATAAAACGGCCAGATGTTGGTGTGCTCATGAGGGATATCTTCAGTAGCCGTAACAGCAATATCACCAAAGACTTCTGCATTTTCACGGAGGAAAGCAGTAGCAGCATCCTTGTCGGCATAGAACTTCTCCCAGCCTTCGCGCGAGAGCTCGGCCATGCGCATTTGCTTTCCAATCAGCACTTCGCTGCCATCTTGCTTTTGAGGCGCTATGACGAAAGCGCCGTGAGATGGTGACATGATTGTGACTGGCATCTTGTAGTCAGGACAAGGTAACTTGAGATTTGCGGTAGGAACTGCAGCAGTGATTCCAGCAATTCCAGTAAACTTTGGTGAAAGGTCGGGATACATGTACTTTCTAACGCGACTGTGGATGCCGTCTGAACCGATGAGCAGAGATGATGTCTTGGTAGTGCCATCCACAAGCTGCCAGGTCACTGTATCCTCGGATTCAGAGACTACATGCGAGAACTTGTGGTTGAAGTGTATGGGAATGTTGTTGGCGTTGAACTTCTCGAGCAGAAGATCAATGAGTTCGAAGCGGTAGACGCGGAGACCGCTGTATCCATGTCTCTCAACACTTCCAAACGGATAAGTTTCCTTGAGTGAGCCAGCGAGATCACGGAAGTAGAGACTGTCGAAGCTGTATCCAAGACGCTTGAGGCCGTCGTAGATACCCATGTCGTCGAACAATTTGAGTGAGTTGGGAGACAGCATTACAGCACCACCAATGTTCTGAGGCTCTGGACGGGTTTCGTAGACCGCACAAGGGATGCCTTGGGTGTGCAGACTGATGGCCAGTGTCAGACCGGCAATGCCAGCTCCGATTATGCTGACTTCCTTAGACATCTTGTGGTGCTTGTTGTAAATAGGATAGACTAGACTCGGTAGATTGAAGACGGTGAGTTGTCGACGGTGATTGTGTGAAAGGTACTCTGGAAGAGGGTCGAAGTTCAAAGGATGATAAGATTGTGTCGACCTACAAGTGGACGAGATGGCTAGTTATATACTCTAGAATCAGTTGCATCTTTTGCATACTCATTCGGTCAGGTTCAGGTGCCTCGGCCGAGATGAGGAAATCCTACTAGGCTGTGTCCGTATGCCATCATTCGAGCGTTCAGGAGTCGTGCGTTGATAGCTGTACCAGCTTGAGTCAGCATGGGCGATGCAGCGGTGACTGATTGGTTTGTAATCCATGTTTGTCGCTTGTAGAATGAGGGATTGAGGAAGGTGTTTGGCAACAGAAGGAGCGGCCGCCGCCTCGGCTCCGAGGGCGGACATGTAACTCCGAACGGCCGACCGCAACTCCTTCTCCGTCAGCTTCTGCCATGGTCAGCGACCGAAACATCAAAGGATTGTGGCATTCTGCGGTAAGTATCCTACCTCATGTAAGAAGACAGTAGACAAGCATGGATAAGTATAAAGGGGGATGTGGCACCATCACCTTCTGAGCCCATACTCATCCACAACCACTTCTTTCAAATCAACAAACAAGCTTCTATTCAATACTCAAAATAACTACAGCGACTACCCAGTTTCCAAGACTCAAGATTATTCAAGTCATAAACTATTCATCCTCCACCATGTCGAGCAAAACCTCTACCAGTCTCCCTGACATCCTCCTCATTGGAGCCACTGGACGCACCGGTAGCCTCGTCCTACACTCAGCGCTAAAGCGTGGCCACAAAGTCGTCGCCCTGATCCGACCATCCTCATCCCTGCCGCCTCGAGCCAACCTCACGATCTCTGAAGGTTCTCCACTCGAGTCTGCCGCTATCAGCACTGCCCTTTCCCTTACTACCGGTCCGGTCATCATCATCAGCACCCTCGGCCAAACCCGTACCTCAGGAAACNCCTTTGCTGCAACAACATCTCCTCCACTTTTCATGTCTCACTCAGCCAGTGCAGTGGTGCAAGCAGCAAAAGCCCATAACTCTAAAGTCCAGAAATTCATTCTAATGTCCATGTTCGGTACTGGCTCCTCCTTCGGCAACCTCAATTGCCTCATGCGAGCCACTATGCGCTACTCGAACATGAAGCAAACTCTGGATGATCAAGATGCCGTCGACAAGATTGTCAAAACAAGTGGACTGGCATTCGTGATGCCTAGGCCTGCTATGTTGAAGGGTGAAGTCGCATTGCCGGTCAAATATCTAGGTGATGCAGGAGAAAAGGCTGGATTTATGCCTTCTGTAAGTGCACAGAGCTGTGCTGAATTTATGTTGGATGCAGCCGTCAGTGGAGAGTGGGATGGCAAGACACCTGTTCTGTCAAATTAGAATTAGAATTCATGATGGTATCGCGGATTACCTGCAGCATGTTGCTCTCTCACTTTGAAATAGTAATGAGATAGAAAACTAATAGATGTTCTCATGATTGTGTCGTCCAGGACAAGAGGTGTCTTTGCATTAAAGTAAATTGCTTCATGCAAAGAGGCTGCAATATCCTACAAAACTATCGTGCATGAACGTGGTCAACTGGTGACAAAGCTTCAGAGTTGTGCAGAGGTCATTGCAGACGATACGCCAGGTACGAGTATCTGCAACTACTTCCTCTTTGACGGGGCTTAAGATGGGTGAACTTGCCAGCCACATTTCCTTCCTGTAGTGAGACAGAGGCACATCCAGCCGTGCACGCTCGGGATAAGAGAGAACAACGTAATACACTTGGGACATGAACCTCTTCTTTCACTCTGGATGTGATGGCAAGCTTGTCGAGAGACAGGAAATTTGGCGGGCTCGTAAGGCGAGACAGGAGACTTGGTAGAGCTCTGTTCAGAAGCAGCGCCACCAGCAGTCTGCTTCGTAGACAAATTGTTTAGCAACGACACCCGGGTACCACCACGACTCTTTATACAGTGGATTACTCTGCCTGCTAACCATGTTCCACAAGTTTGGCTTCGCTCCGCCGAGACTCTAGCTTTGAAGGTTGTAGTCACGGACGTAAGGTTCGTCCTTTGGTGTGATTTGGAACGAAAATTTGTAGTCACGACAGCCGGGCACCTCCACGGCTTCCTATCCAGTTGACTACTCTGTCGACTACTCTGTATGCGAACCATGACCCACAAACTGCCCTCGCTCCGCTGGGATTGTAGTTTTGAAAGTTGCGGTTACAGACGTGAGACTCGCCTTTGGTTCTAGCACAAGATGAAAGAGCTTGAGCGGCCAGGAAGGTCTTGATCTTGTTCCAGATGGTAGTCATGTTTGTTTGTTGTCGTGTTGTTGCTGTTGTTAGAGGGAGGAAAGAGAAGGCACACAGACTTTGGTGTCAAACAGAAATTTGTAGCCACGACACCTAGGTGCCACTATGGCTTCCCATCTAGCCAACTACTCTGTCGACTACTCTGCATGCGAACCATGACCCACAAACTACCCTCGCTCCGCGGAGACTGTAATTCTGAAAGTTGCGGTTACAGACGTGAGGCTCGTCGTTGGTTCTGGCACGAGACGAAAAAGTCTAAGCGATCAGGAGGGCTCTAATCTTCTTGAGGAGGTTGGACATCTTTGTCCCTTGTCGTGTTGTTGTTGTTATTGTTGAAAAAGAAAAGGAAGACGCAAACATGCAAAGGTATGCTTTTATATGAGGTATCCCATAGTCCGTGCGCGTGAGAGATGGCAAGGGCCTACAGTGCAGTACATGTCTAAGTCCTTGTTTGATTGTATGCCGATGCAATGCAGAAGGACGGGGTATGTACAATCCATGTCTTGCAATGCAGACATGACATTGAATTCATATCAAAGAATAATTAAGTATCGTGAAATCTAAAAGGCATTTTAAGCGATCAGCAACCAGGCTGTTCCGCCCAGGGTGAAGAGAATAATGACAGCAGTGATGGCGCCAGCACCGGCTCTGTCACCTGTGGTTATGGACGACAAAACGATCGCCTGACCATTCGAAGAAGACGTCCCACTCGAGCCAGTACCGGCATTCGGATTACTCTTGCTGGTACCGCCAGAAACTGATGTGTATGGCGGCTTCAGAGACACAACATTGATCATGTTTGTCTGAATCACGCCTAGAGCGCTCATTTGCTCGCCTACACCGTAGGTGCCGTCCCAGGTGGTGCTGTTCCACCTTTTGCCACAGGTCACGCCATCTGTTCCGCCATCGCACTGCCCAGCAGCGCCTTTAGCAGATGGCGCTAGAAGGTTGAAAATTCTGTCGTGGTATTTCGGAGCGAGTTGTGCGGTAAGGGCCATCCACTGAGCGAGATGGGCTTTAAAGGATTTTTGATCGTTGTTGCAATTTCCAAGAGGTTCGCAAGTCGTCTCGACCATGATGTTGGGACCCATGTTTGCAGGGAAGAAGGTGGCGGTCGTTGTGTTCAGCATGCCGTCGATACGGTTAAGCCAGACTTCATTTTCGGTNCTACAAAGTACAAGGGTTAGCTGAATGCGCACAACAAAGCCAGATGAAGGAAGACATACATGGTTGTACATGTAGGCAAAACCGGCCAGGAATACACCATATGTATAAGACCATTGCTCTTGACTGCCCTGAGAGCAATTGGTTGTTGTGCTTGCACCGTCGAGAATTTTGAAGTCTTTTGCGTCCCACAGAGCCGAGTCCTCGTACCAATCCCAGACTTTGTTGGCCCAGTCGATGTACGTCTGATTGCCGGTATAGCGACCAAGGCGAGCAGCAAGATGGAAAAGACCTCCGTTGGAGATGGCATTCTTGTAGTTGTATCCGACGTTGAAGGAGTAGATCTGCCAGCGAAGACCACCACCGCAGGATGCCGGGTCCCATCTTTCTGTTTGTTCGTTGAAGACAGCTTGTGCTAGCGATAGCCATGAGGGTGAACCTTCCGGAGGATTTTCGAAACCGACTTCAGCGGCGGTCATTGCGGCGAATGCCCAGAAGACTTGGTCGTCGTTTCCCNNTGGCTGTGTCAGCATGCTACAAGACAAGCCATGTGTTTGTGTTCCCCTTACCAAGCTCTTTGTCTGGTTGGCCGGCATGTAGTCATTGTTGTCGCCAACCTGGTGTAACAGGGCTTGCTTGACCTCGGCGTTGTATGTTGTGTCTCCAGTGTAGTACCAATATTCGACCATCTCTCCAAACATTGCGCCAGCCTCCCACCAGTAGTATGGCGCAGGCAAGTTTCCCGGTACATCTCCAGTGTTGTTGCCAGTATACCACTTCATCAATCCGTATGCGACTTGTGACGAAACCTCTCTGATTGAGTCTNNGTGAAGATCTTGGTCAGTCCTGTGCGACCAAAAGAGAAGCAGGCTTGACTTACCTGCACTGGTCGTGTCCAGTGTCAGAGCATTGGTATAGGCCGTGCAGAGGCATAGCAATACTGCCTGCAACAACCGTTGCGGTAATGTTGGACGTGTCATGGCGACACTGCAAAAGGATGTATGGGGTAAGGGAAAGAGAGAAGGGGAAGAAGATCAGGATCCAGGGCGAGGTAGTGGCGCTACGACATTACTATACCTACTTAGATTATCGATTGATGGTGATTGACAAGCGCCTTACGGCAAGCTTTGATCCCAAGGGTTCGCCATCTGCCCAAGAGGGTATAAGGCTGCAACACCCTGCAACAAGCGTTTCGTACCACGCATGCCAAAACGGTGTGTTCCTGGCGTTCTTTGGACCACGCGGCAGCCCCTTCCGACCTGAAATTGGGCAAGCTTTTGAGTCGTGAATTTTGTCTTCTGATGAAGCTTCGTCAGGGGTAGCCTAGCCTGTCGAACAACTTCTCCTGATTCTGATACCCTGTCTGAATTGATCTGCTGACCCGTAACACCAAGACCAACACCAACACGCATCGATACGGTCGGTAATTCGAATCGACAATCGCCTGTCCGATAGGTTTGAATGGTTGTCTAGGAACCAACTGCAGGAAGATGAAACGTGCTATCCGCGGGCACGGGCCACAAAAGCTCATCTCGCACTTCCGACTCCGCCTCAACGGCTATCTCTTCCCCGTATTCTCGTATGTTCGAGAGCTGGGCAATATGCAGGAAATTGCTCTAGGTATTCGAGATGCGATCGCATATGGAGAGTCGAATCACGCAGCATATAAGCCATCAAGTATTCCGGAAGGGCCGCAAGTCTACCATACTTTTCTGTATCCTTGTTGAATTCACGAAACGACTTCCTCCCGCGACTAGAAAATCGATTTCACATGCCAAATGCACGACAACTCTGAAGAAGATTCGTGTGAACACAATCGATTTGACTCGATCAGGATGAGATCTTCTTCTTCCAAAAACAAGTCTGCTGATGCTACGCTAAAGCATACATGGTCATATTCTACTAATCTTGTGTAACTGATTATGTTTACTTTGGCAATGGAATAGTCGCATAGCTTGCCATGGCCTTCTTGTTCGCCTCTGGAGTCATGGTCTTTCCATCCCCAATGTACTTCGCCAAAAGCTTGAAGTAGTTGACATAGAACGCCGGAGTAAAGGTGTTGATGAACTTGGCCTGCTTGTTTGTCGGGTTGGAGAAGGTATGAGGGGCTCTGATGGGTACGACAACGTAATCGCCAGCGTGCGCGTCCACCGTCTTGGTCGGTTCTGATGCCGTAGTCGTGTACCAGGTGAATCTGATGGTTCCCTCGGTCACNTTGAGGCTGTTAGTGTCTGGAATGTTGGATCTCGGACGTGCTGCAACGATACCCAGGAAAGTCTCATCATGCATCTCATGCCAATGGGGAGGAGGGCCAGAAGTGTTGGCAGGAACAGTCAACTCGACGGTACCGATTCTGTTGTCTGTCCGNGTTTGGTGTAAGTCAAGAGCAGACTAAATCTATCAAGTCCGATCTCGATTACCTGTCCTTGAACCATCTTCCATGATTCTGATGGTCAATTGTCCCAGCGCAAACGTCTCGCCCTCTGTTGCAGGGACAAAGTTGATCGGCACTTGAGGAATCTCGCCTGAAACATCAGGACCTTCAGCTTCGATGCTTGCCATTCTGAGTTGTTCTTGTGACGAAGTACGAGCCCTTGTAGTCCTTTTGGTCGAGAGATAAAGACAATGTGTTGTTCCTTGGACTTCAACACTCGCGTCCGGTCAGCTCAACCAAAGCGGAAGTGTCAGCATCATCTCGAACCCCGCATTCGATTTCGAGCTCCACCTTGAGCAAAACCACCAACAACCTCCCAGCTTCCATCTCTATCAATATTTCGAGATGAACATGTTCGTTGCAATCGCATTTTAGGATTGATTTGACTAGAGCTATGAGTTACCTTCTGTTCTTACCAGATGACGACCGCCGGAGTCGCGTTTGTTTACTAGCGAAGAGGCCCAAATCCAGGTCGCAACCATCAAGGTGTTTGAGAACTGCGAAGGACATCTGGTCGCAGAACCAATTTGCATCTGGATTTCTGCTCACGGCCGTGATTCAACTTTGATCTTATCAAGGTTGATCCTCACTGCTGTTACCGCTTCGGCATAGGCCAAACCCCGCACCTGCTCCTGCTGGAATCATCACGAGGACTCCTTGATAAGGATAACCTTGACCGGTGACAGCCGCCTGTAGCCGCTGATAAGTTACCAGTTGAAGTAGCAGTTATCAAGGTAGGTATTTCCTCTTCGATTGACTGTTCGCAGAGCTTATTAAACAAATCTCATTTCTTGCAATCTGAAAGCATGAACATTACCAGACGTCATCTGCATTTCTCCAAGAATCCTCTTCTATCGAGTCAGACCCCTATCATCTGGCAGTTCTTAAGACATCAATCGTCCTTGATTTCCAGACATCCAAATACATCGCCTGTAGAAGACCGAAAGCATCAACCATCCCAATTGCACCGCATATCAACCGTGAACCTCATCCGAAACATCATCCTCGGCAAAGTATTCACATCGCCAGTTCTGTTCAAATATGGCGTGGCCTGTCTATCCAAGATAGCAAACTCGCGATCAGCACTCCTGGATCCAGACAGAAATGCATTGCTACGAGCTCTGATCAAGCCGATGATATACGACCACTTCTGTGCTGGCACAAACAAGCTTGAGATCAAGAAGACGTTGAATTATCTCAAGACCCACATGGGATTCAAAGGCGTTATTCTCATTTACTCGAGAGAGATACCTGCGATGCCGGTAGAAGAGTTGCAGGAATTGGAACCACTGATTCAAGATGAGGATATCGATATATGGCGAGATGGCAATGTGAAGACACTAGACATGGTTGAGCCAGGTGATTATGTTGGTATAAAGTAAGCTATGAGCACGACAACAGTTCCACTGCCATTTAATTAACGAGTATCGAAGANNTTCACAGGTGCCGGTCCCCAAGTCGCACAAGCACTAGCTCAAGGCAGAGATCCGCCACAACAGCTTTTAGATGCCATGTCCGCCATCTGTGAACGTGCCGCGGCGCAAGGGAGCCGCATCTGGATCGACGCTGAACAACAAGTTTTCCAACCCACGATCGACCGCTGGACTGTTGAGATGATGCGACGCTACAATAATAATGGTGAAGCCCTGGTATCATTGACTCTACAAGCCTATCTAAAGTCAGCCAGAAGCACTCTGGAAAAATTGCTACATCAAGCCCGTGACGGGAATTGGACATTAGGAATCAAGCTAGTCAGGTAAAACACGCTCAAGTGTGTACTAATCGTATATCGTACTCATCGATTCCTANGGGGAGCATACATCGGCAGCGAAACCCGATCTCTGATCCACGACACAAAGACACAGACAGACGAATGTTACAACAGCATAGCCGCAGACCTCCTCACGAAATCTTTCCCAGGCTTTACAAAGCAAGACTTTCCGCACGTCGAGCTGTTTCTCGCAGGTCATAACTCAGACTCCATACGCAAAGCCTTTGCCTTGTATCAAGGCCTATTGCAGGAAGGCGACACACCCCCACCCATCAAGTTTGGACAACTCTTGGGTATGGCCGATGATATCAGCTGTGAATTGCTAGCCATGGGCGATAACGCGGCAGAGCAGAGCAAGAAAGTTTTGTCAGCTCCAATGGTGTACAAATGCATGAATTGGGGAAGTGTGAGGGAATGCATGCATTACCTCGTGCGAAGAGCAACAGAGAACCAAAGCGCAGCTCAAAGAATGCAAAGCACTGTTGGTGTGATGCAAAAGGAGTTACGTCGACGTATAGGATTTTAGCTACTGCCTTCTTTATTACTGCTTTCTAGATGAAATTATGATATCAACGAACACCTTTACTCTGATATACCCAACAAGTTATTCCTAACCACCGAAACTCCCACCAACCGTCAACTCCTTGATTCGAGTGTGACGAGGATGACACATAACATTCTTTCAAAGGTTCTGCCGGCAATCATTTGTATCGAGTCACTGCCAAAGACAAACCTAAAAAGTTGCGTATGGTACCGTATGGTCCCGTATGGTACCTATCATCCTCCGCAAACCATGACATATTCACATTTAGAACACAGAAAATCAATTTAAAAAGATGCAGACTATCCTGTTTCTCGAGTTGCAACATCTTCCTCCTTGTCTGAATTCTCTCTTTGCAATCTCTTGGTTTTTTCCTGCTCTATCTTTTGTACTTTTGTTTATTTCAGTCTTTCTGGTTCTACGGAATTTCGATCGAAAACATCTTTGCTACTGGAAAGACGAGTCGAACAAACATGGCCTTCTCAATCAAACCTCTCCTCCTGCTCAGCCTTCGAGCCACGCAAGCCCTGCTCTCCCTAGTCGCCTTAACCATCTACGCAACCACCCTAGCCAAAGCCCCTCCACTCAAAGACTCATCTTCCTACATCTACGCTCTAGTCTGCAGCACCCTTACTCTGCTCACCCTTTTCATCTACTATCTTCCCTCCCTCCTCCCCATACCCAACCTCCCCACCTTCCCAACCCGCAACTTCTTTCTCTGGGATTTCGTGCTTGCGGTGTTGTGGGCGGCTTTGAGTGGTGTGTTTGGGATGATACACCTGAGCAATACAGCAGATCAAGGGGATACCAAGGAGAAGACCATGAAAGCAGCTGTAGCCTGTGATTTGGTGGTTATGGTGTGTTGGGAGGTAACTGGGGTGTGGGGATGTATAGGGTATTGTAAAGATGCTCTGGTAATGAGGCGGTTGAGGAAGGAACAAAAGAGGCAGAAAAGATGTTGGAAGGGCAGGAGCAAGGGTTTGTCGAGATGGAGCAGGATAGCGATGGTGACGGTGATTGTGAGAAAGGTCTGATGGGAGAGAAGATGCAAGGAAATTGCACCCAAACTTGAGAGAAGGCAAGGACTAAAGAGTATGATGATAAGTACGGCTTGTCTGTTAAGAACTGATGTGTCTATTACTTTTGTATCATTCCATATCTCTCAGATTCTCTTGAACACAACGTAGCGCTTAATGCCTCATTCTGTACAGCTAGGACCCACGCCGGATATCCATCATAGCAATGTTGTTTCCCAGTCGTCCATCATGATCGTGTTCCATGTAAATATTGTACCCATGTCTTGTGAAGAAAAGCTTTTTCATTGCTTATAACAATCCAAGTATTAATCTGGCCACGGATAATAAGATTACTACTTTCAAAGCGCGAGTGTCGAGTAACGTACCGCAGGCATCGCTGGTAAACGGCTCCAGCAGGGCCTCCTTGGTGACGTTCAGAATGTTGGCGCCATCCGTGGTCAAGGTCTGCAAAGCATCGGTTCCCTCCCAAATACTGACACCGCCGAATCTTTCCCTGCCAACGCGGTCCTTGGTGTACTCGACGAGATCGCCAAAGATGTTGGGATCAACATAGCCGCCGCCATTGTTGTAGTTGTTGNNGAAGCCGAGAGCACCAATGTAGAAGCGAGGGTAATGTGGGCCGATGTTTGAATTGACGCCTTCGAGGAAGGTGGACCAGGCGGTGACGGAGTTGTTGTAGCCCTTGCCGCCAGCCTTGCAGGCATTTGCGTTGTAGAAGCGCGGCCAGATGAAGTTTGCATTCTGGTAGAAGCCCCAGGGCATGACGGTATTGTTTGCGCAGAGAGGGGAGGCGCTGATGTAGCGTTGAGGGCTGGAAGTTTTGAAGAGCGACTGCAGAGTGCCAGCAAGGACGTCAACGTAGGTCGTGTCGGCATAGTTCTCGTAATCTNNGTGGTGCGTCAGTGTCATGATTGTCGTGAGATGTGTTTGAGGATTACCAAAATCGAAGCCGTCTAGAGTGACATTGCCAAAAGGCCTCGAGTCGGAAGCATCCGTGCCAGCACCAAAGATGTTCCACAGAGTGGTGGCAGCTTGCTGAGCCTGGGAGGCATTGTTGAGGCCCAGTTCGCTGCTGGAACCACCCAGACTGATCATGACCTTCTTGCCAAAGCTCTGGCAGCGGGTAATGTTTGCTGCCAGAGCAGGACAAGTGATGCCCGTCGCGTTGGGAGCTGGCTCATACGGCGTCTTGCACGAACCGATATCAAAGTTGGGTTGCTTGTTGGCGCCATTGAAGCCGCGGATGAAGCCCATGACGATCATGTCAATGTCGTCGAGGCTGCAGAGGTCCCATAGCGACGGGTTCGAGTTGTATTGCGCCTTGCCATAGTAGACGGCGAGGATGTTGTTGCTGAGAGGATCGAACGAAGAGGGATACTGCGGCAGTGTCTGCCGAGGAAAGTAGTATTTGAGGTTGTTGTTGTATGTCGATGAGGGAAGAGCGACCGCCAAGCTGCTCAACCACGCCGTCGCTGTCAGCAGTCCCGCAACCAACTTCATCGCTGACTGTCGATCCAAATAGTCAGGTCAAAATCCTCTACGGCCGTGTCGCTCGAGTTATATATACTGCCTCGTTCTTATTTCCATTTTCGCTCACGAACCCGTTGTACCTTCTCGTCGTCGACAAGACACTTTTGCGCTGAGCCCACGTCAGTTGCCTTTATTGCGCTGCTCGGTTGCTGTGCGCTGACATGCCACGACTCAACGCCCCCGTTGCTATGAACACAACCGTTGCAAACTGCATCCCGCTATTGCCTCAGCACCTTCATTCGAGAACAAGATCATCCAGTCTGGCCTCGAGCTCGGCAATCCTATCCTTGATCACTCATTTCTCTAGAGAAAGATTGATTTCTCACAGCTGAACCCTAGCTATCACTCTACATCCAGCTGAGACCTCAGAGAAACTTTTGATAGTAGTAAGACTGTTGTGGGATTTAATCGTAACTCATCATAGAAAGGTCGTAACATCATAAACTAAGAAAAGAATATTGACAAAAGAAACATGTGCTTTTTGAACACCGCCATCCTCACAGTCCTGCTGCGAGAAGGCCTACAATCTTCTCCCTTGGATCGTCTTCGTCAATCTCGTTGACCTCGGATTCACCTTCTCTGTCTCGACTGGCTATCGAGCTGGGCTTTGGTGAGTTTGTGCCAATGCTCGATTCCTCGGTGATGATAGACATGACCGAGCCGTTACGAGGTTCAAGGCTTTCGAGTAGTCCTTGCTGTGTCTGCGCCTTTTCTTTCTCGGCCACTTCCACAGCTGCCGCTGGTGTTGCGGTGGTTGCGCCATGGGTCAGTCCCCATGCTTGCGAGCCCAGGTTCTTGACGACAATGGTGAAGACGGCAACAGACATGATGGGCGCCATGACTTTGTTGATGCACAGACCCAATAAGATCTTGTGAGCTCGCTGGCGGAGCTGCTTGTTGGTCGCTGTGTTGATGAGAAACCAGATTGTCGGCAGTTGCGAAACAATCAGTAGTGGAATGATGGACATGAGGTTGAATTCGCTGATGAGCCCATAGATGAAGAGAATCGTGTTGGCCACACGGTAATATACCAGGCTGAGTCTGGTCACTTCGATGCACGCCCACAGTCGCGTGATCCAGATCATATTCTCGCCAGCGAAGTAAAAGTAGTTGTTGAAATATGCGTTACTGCCCCATCGTCTTCGCTGACTTAGGTAGTGTTTAAGTGATTGCGGAGCCACAGTCTCACTGACGGCATCTGGCACAAACAGTGTGTGCAAGTCTTTGCTTTGTGAAAGCATTGAGTATGTTAGTCTGCGGTCGGTGCCAAGATACTGAACTTGGTGCAAGAGTACAGGGTAAGCAGTGATGGGAGCTGCGTATCTAGTAATTGCTCCTGCCATCTCTGGTCGTACTGCGACCATTGTGATGCAACCAGGAAGACAGGTGACTTTGCCCCATACACTCTCGGCTTGTCGGCGAACGAATTGGCCAAAATTGTACTATTGCAAAGTCAGCACGATTCTTCCAATCGCAGATCTGATCGGACTTACTTGGAATTGCTGGTACAGGTTCCAGTAAGACCATTCCGCACCAGCTTCGAGCTCGACTAGTACTAAGCCACAAGAAGCGATGGCCTTGGAGTCTCGAACGAGTGCATTGGCCAGACCTGCAACAGCACCTTTGTGAATGACTGAGTCGGCGTCTGTACAAAATACCATATCGAAACCAGGAAAGTCCTCGCCAACGAGTGTCGGCAACACATTCTTCTCAATCTCCTTTCGTAGTAACCTTGTGTAGAGAGGCGCGTCCTCTCTCATGACATTGAAAAGATCATGACACAAGATGAGCGAATCCTTCTTGCCGGCGTTCTTGACCTTTTCGAAAACGATGACTGGCACATCTTCCATGAACCCAGCTGTGATCACCACTTCATTGCGCTTGAATCGCGATGTGACGTATTGACGCTTGAAAGTGGTTGTGATGCGCATGTACTGCTTGACGTCTCTGGGTTTGCCATCTATAATAATGCACATGACTTGCTTGTGGGGCTTTGCATCGTTGTCCCTTAACGAGAAGACACAGTTCTTGATCATCTCTTCCGACTCCGAATATGCAGGGATCAAGGACAAAATCCATTTCGACTCGACTGGTGGTGGCGGCACAAAGTAGTCCTTGATCGCCTTATAGATCAGATATGCAAGACCGATAAGGGAGGAAATACAATCCTTGGACTTGATGAAGACAATGAACGATAGTACCCAGCGTCCAGAGATAGTCTTGGGAGCCCAGAGTGCAAACACCAGCATGGCAAGATTGATAGCGAAGATGTTGCTGCTGAACACCACACGCTGTTTGATCAAATCCATTCGAGTCAGGTTGCGGCATGGATCGACCGGGTCTGCGATTTCAGGATATGTCGTGGTAACAAAGGTTTCTTGCATCGTGGGAACGATATGCTCTTGGTGTGTACTCTTTGGCTCCTGAGTGATAGTTTGCGGTTCCGCAACTGCCAGCTCGGGTTCAGTGGTCTTGTTGTCCTTCTCTTGATCAAGATCGGGATCTAGAGGTTTCACACCTCCAATCAACAATCCGCGGTCCTTTTCAACCACTGGATCGATCTCAATGATCGGCTGGAANAATGATGGTTGTCGTGACCTAACTTGATGAAGTGCCTCTAAACCGATCAAGTCCGATTTTCTTCTGAAAGGGTCTTCCGTCAGGGATCCTGAGCGAGATCCTTGACGCGAGCCTCGCCTCCATGATCCAGTATCCACGAGGGTCGCATCGGAGTCCAATCTTTGAAGTTTTGCATGTGTGGGTTGAATAGGGTTGATATCCGGTCTCCAGTTGAATGCGCCCCATTCACCTCCACCAAGACGGGGTGAACCTTTCTCGAGACCTGGTTTGATAGGTGTTGTTGGGCGACTTGACAAATCGGTTGGACCATTTGAACTTCCAGGTCGTGAGTTCGCTGACCCACGACGTGATGACCCAGGTCTGATTGAATTTGGGTCATCGGGGACAACTTGTAGTCGGAACTTGCCCTCATTTGTCCTTGATGGCTGACGGGCGAAGTCTATCAGTGTAGCCTGTGAGTCCTGCCGCTGGTTGCGTCTGTTCAAGAACTCTCTGAAGTCGGGTCCGGCCCTGGAAGTCTTGCGTAAATTACGCTGAGCATGATATTTTCCGGCAATGTCAGATGCAAAGTTGTCCAAGCCTAGTCCTGGAGGTGCGGCGTTGGTGTGTGCCTCCTCCGGCACCTGAATTGTAGGCACCGCATTCCTTGTGCTGCCATACTTGGGATGGTCTTCCGAGTAGAGCGGATAGTTGTTATTAGTATCGATCTGGTCAGTCATTGGGTCATGACTGTGCTGTACAGTCGAAGTCAGGAGGAGCAGAGGGCGAGCATCTCCGATGGAATCCAGAAAGAACCATCGAACATGGCTTTCGACAGCATGTATAAGTCTGCTGCCCAGACGCGTGAAGAATTGCCACGTCCAGAAAGCCACTTACTACGGCTAGCGGGACGGTGGGCCGTTGCCTCGAAGCAGTCCGTTGAAGACTGGAACGTGATGGATTAGGGACGGCGATCTAGTGGATAGTCGAGAGCGCGGGTTCATTCTCACGCGACTGTACGAGTCGTAGGGCTGGCCCTCATGCATCTCTATCGTTTCTGGCATGGAATAGACGGGTACCTCACTGCCGTTGTGAAGCCGTTGGTCTCCTTGGAACAAGCCTGGCTCTAGATGTCAAGTGCAGACGAGTAAGACGCTTATAGGACGATAAGGCTGACAACGGTATGACGAGAGTCTGAGCTATTAGTCCATTAGTAGGCAGAGGAGAGAGACAACCAAAGTCCAGAGTCTCGCGAACACATGTGGGGACGAGTCTGGCCATGTCACCAGTCATGCGCTTGTTCGATCAATATTGGGTGGCCAGCTTGGGATATGCATGGTTTGCTTTGATGTGTAACTGCGTTGTTGATGTCCTGGCTGCTCACGCGGTAGAGCCTCTCTTCCTACGATATGGATCTATCTTACGGATGTTAATTGCATTCGGCTACGATTGTGCCCCTGGCAGTCAGTGGTTGCTCCAGCATTAGTTCGGCTGCCGAGTCAGTCAAGGTTTGCATTCTGCCACGCCAACAGTCAGTTCGTCGAGGCCGTTGGATGCATTTCAATGTCGAACGGCCGGGGTATTGAACCCTCGTCTCCAGGATACTGGAAGAGACAACCCAGCTGCCCAAGATATAACTATTGGCTGGGCAGGATATCAGTTGCAGACATTTCAATTGCGATGAAGATATCATCAGGCCACAGGCAGGAGCGATGCGGCGAACTTTTGATGAAATTGTTGCAGTTGCTGCATCGTCGCTCCAGCGCGGCTCTTTCTCAAAGAGAGGCGTCCGTTTGATAGAAAACGGCTCATCCACCCGTTACCTGGCCAAGGGTCAATATTTTGAGTAACGCCTTTTTACAGTTGGGCTGTGCTTGAGACGGTAGTGGCACTGCGGGTGGCAAGCCTCTGATGGTATTTTGACGCGAGCACAATGAAACATGTTGCTGTCGGGAGAGAAGCTGAGAAGCTGAGGGAGCGAAAAACGTGGCAAAGGCATGGCAATGGTCCCCTTGGTCTCAGCTGGTGTTCACACATTTCGCCAAACCGGTAAATCAGCAGAATGGTCATTGTTTTCAAGACAATCCACTTTATATTGAAGGCTACAGTCACTATACTCCAAGCTTTGATATCAAGAATGCGCCTCGGAGCGTTTGTGCATCGAGCTTGACGCCAGCTTGGGACACCACGATCTCAACCTTAACACAAATCTTGGTGCGATGCGATATAGTTTCCCGTGCTCAAAAGGCCACAAGTTACCTTAGGGGATTCTATTGGACCAAACTATGTCGAACAGGCAACCAAAGCAGGCATCAATCTGGGGTGTAGGGCGAGACAAATGGTGGATTCAATATTGGTATAGCGAACAAATCAACGGTGCACACTGCCGAAAGCAATTGCAAGAGCATAATCATAACCTCATATAGCCCCTCATATTCCAAATGCCAAATTCTTTCAGACGCCATGATTCACATGTCTGTTCTAAGACTTGGATGTGCGTCAAGATCAATCGTAGAAGACCAAGCATCTGACCTCAATGCTCTGTCTACCGGGAGCATCTGCCGGGGTCTGAGGGTCGACGAATGCGGTATGAGGGGTGCCATGGGCTAGACCAGGAGTGCTGTTTGGCGACCACTCACTTCTGCTGTCAAAGCACTTGAGGAGCATGAGCTCGTCGGGCGTCATGTCTTTCATGTAGTAAAACTTGTGCTTGTCTGAAGGAGCAACAGCATAGGTCTCACCCTTGGGCTCATACCCCTGGGTAGAGGTCTGTGAGTTGGGATCGGGCAAGACCTCCTTGCCTCTGTCATCGGCATCATCATCTGTGCGCTTCGGGTATAGCAGGTCGACCTTGACAAAGTCCTTTTCAGTCGTTGAGCGCCAGTCAATGACAGCCAGAGGGAAGTCGCTCGCGTTGTGGCCAATCGGTCGCCAGACATTGATGATCTGGTAGCGGCCCTTGAGCAGCTCCTCCGCCTCATCTTCAGGCAGATGGCGACGAACTCGGATCTCGGCAGCACGCGGTGTCTGATCTACGTGAACCTGCTGGACGGGTTGACGAGGCGAGGCCTTCTCTCTGCGACGGATTGTGTGGTCAAAGATGACAACCTTCTTGATGCCAGGAATCTTCTCTTTAAGAACTTGCTCCACCTCTTTGTAGTATCCCTCGCGAACAGCTGTATCATCTGTGAACTCCTTCTCTTTTGACGGTGACTTGAATACAGAAAATCCGGCGTTGTCAGTGTTGAAGTTTGCTTCTTGTCCGCGTAGGTTCTCGACTTGACGCTGATGGTCAATCAATCTGAACGAGTATCCGGGGCCATCGACTTTGCCCCATGGCTTCTTAAAGGCTTCGGTCGCATTTGGATCGTACGATGTGGGATCGATGTACTTGAAAGCGGCTGTAGTCATTGTGCTTTGATGTCTGGTGGCAGTTCGTATGATAGGTGACAGAATCGGGCGCAGGGTTTGTATTGTGCGTGAGATTCGAGACAAGCTCATGGGTTTGTGGGACTGAAGGGTGGAAGAAAAAGGCTTTTGAATACTTATGACATAGGATGGGCAATTGGTTTATATACCGAGGCCTGCCTCGAAGGCGGCGCGAATCGTGGAAATACAAAGTCGCCGTCCGGCAATGGAGATGACGCGATTCCAGATTATGTCAGCGTTGCTGAGCAATCTCCCATTTCTCATCATATTGGAATTGGCCTCGACATTTCTACTGCCGAAACTCGGTGTTGCTAATTACTGGCTCTTCAAGGCCATGTCTGCATGGTTTCTTACTGATTGCCATCTGCTGGGCGCACTTTGATGATAGAGCAAGAATCCTTTCCATGCTAGAGACTTACCTCCGATATCTCCGTGGTATACTAAGAACGAGATTGCGAGCTCTGCATTACTTTCTTCGTAGCCTCACCAATATCCGACTCATTTGAGATGCGAAACCGTCAAAATACGCAGATTCATAGGTAGTCATCATTGCATGTGTTTTAACGATTAATTGATTATGTGGTATCTCAGACAATAGGAACAAAATAAAGCTCAGGGTCGTAGCAACATCATGACTTCACCAGCGACATCGCTTAGTGGTAGAAGGGGTTGGCGGGAGCAAAGCCAACAAGTCTGTTGTCCTCATCAGGTCTAAGCATTGGCTCCTTGTACCACATGTGAGCATCCTTGCTGAGCTTCTCGACTTCAGAGAAGTCGAACTTCTCGTGCTTGTAGCTTGTCAAGTCGTACACAGCGCGAGCGTACTCGGGAGCGACATTGTAGATCTGAGCAAGGAACTTCTTCTGGATGATAGGGAAGTTGACGTTGCTCATCATCTTGGCTGTGTTGGAGTGGAGGTTGGCACGGGCGCCATCATCCATGACACGCTTGTACAGCTCGCGGACCTGGTCGTACTCGCTGACCTTGCACTCGTGGTAGTAGTGACTCTTGCGGCTCACAACGTTGTCTGCGACCTTGTATGGTGCTTCGGCCACATCAGGACGGAATTTGTGGGTAAAGCTGTTGGGGTGNTACTGCTTGTTGCCAGCGTGGTTGGCGTCTACACGCATGGCACCATCGAAGTTGATGGATGATACTGAGCGTGCCATGAACGGACAGTTGGTGGGGACTTGGTGCAAGTTGACACCAATGCGGTGGTACTGAGCATCACGGTAGAAGAACATGCGGAACTGCAACAGCGGGTCGGGCGAGTCCTCGATACCGGGAACCATGGAGCCGGGTGAGAAGGCAGCCTGCTCGACATCGCGGTGGTAGTTCTCGGGGTTTTTGTTGAGCACGAGACGACCGAATTCTTGCATGGGGAATTGGTCGCGAGGCCAGACCTTGGTAACATCGAAGGGATCGAAGCCCAGCTTGGCAGGGTCGGCATCCTCGGGCTGCATGACCTGCACATGGGCAATCCATTTCTTCTCTTCGCCACGCTCCATAGCCTCCCATAGCTCTTGCTTGGAGTAGTCAGGGTTCTCACCCGAGATGCGAATAGCCTCGGGTTGTGTGAATTGCTTCTGACCATGCTCGGCGAGGAAGTGGTACTTGATGTAGACGAATTTGCCTTGCTTGTTGACCCACTTGAAGGTGTGGCAGCCGTAACCGTGGTTGTTGGTCCAGCCTTGGGGAGTGCCGTGGTCACTGAAGAACATGACACCGGCGTGAATCGACTCAGGGGTGTTTCCGAGCAGATCGAAGGTGGCATCGTAGTCGAGCAGGAAGTTGCGAGGGTTGCGTGCTTGGGAACGGATGACATCGGGGCCCTGGATGGGATCGCGGCAGAAGAAGACGGGGAAGTTCAGGCCAACAATGTCGTAGTTGCCTTCCTTGGTGTAGAACTTCATGGCGAATCCACGGGGNTTACGGGCCTCGTCAGGGAACTCACGGCCAAGAGTGACGGTGGAGAAACGAGTAAAGACGGGAGTCTTCTCGCCGACAGTTGACAAGAAGTCAGCCTTGGTCAGGTGTGAAACGTCCTTGGTCACCTCGAAGTGACCAAAGGCACCACTACCGCAAGGGTGCACCATTCCTACTGATGTCAGTCCAAGTCTTCTGCTAGTAGTGGGTCTAACTTACTCNTCAAGGTTCTTAGAACGGTTGAAGTGTTGCTGCTTCTGCAANAGGTGGACATCGCTGATGAGAGGAATACCGCCAATGTTCTTGCTGTGCTCAGCATCGGGCAGAGGGATTCCTTCATTATTTGTGAAATACACTCATCTTTTAGTCAGTATAGAGCTCTGAGAAGAGGTGGTGATGTTGTGGGATCAAAAGTCATGGGTGGTGGGTTGGTGAAGCCTTCCGCCAAAGCTTGCCACCAACAAACCACCGACTTTCTGACCCAATCAATGCTCAATTACTTACGTNCCATCATCTTCGCGCTTTCCACCCTGAGTGTGACCAGAGACTTTGGCAATAATGTCGGCGGGACCTTCGTTGGTGGACATGTTGTGTGCAAGCCTGGGGGCACGAGCCTCGCCGGAGGTAGCTCCCTGGATGCCAGTAGCAATGGCCTCCAGCGGGTGCTGGAGAGGGTTCATCTGATTGCTGTTGGAAGTCATGATTGGGAGTTTGGATGTGAGAGAAGAAGGAATGTCCATTTCGAAAACAATGTCTAGGGATGCAGGGACAGTCACTTAAACCTCGCAGCTTCCCCCTCTCCTGGCAAAATACCGTGACGTTGACATTCTGTAGGCGGCTGCTTCCTTCCAAGGTGAACTAGAGTACCCCATGTCATTCAAACGTCAAATGTGTTCCACGATAGGTGAGGAGAAACATTGGCGCGTCCCCATGCACTTGTCATGACGATTCTACAGCTCATGAACCGGCGGAGGAGTGGAGGGAGCTCCATCAGTAGCCCAATCGGAGCATTCTCAAATTTGCTGATCGCCTTAGTGGGTCCAAGCTAAGCTCTTCGCAGCGATTCAAGAGCCTCTGATCTGGCGATTGTTGCAAATGTGCCATGTTGGAAAGTGCATGGCCACCAAGAAGACGAGTAAGCGACTCAAACAGTGTGCCTTGTTGATCTATTCCTCGGTTACTATGAAGCCTGTGCGTTTTTACGGCATTCGCCTTGCTCACTCCGCCATGCATGAGCTCGCATGCATCCACCTTGGTGGACCGCATTATTGCCGAGAGCCTCTTCGGTAATCCCCGCCATGTCAATTGGACGGAGAGAGCCTCCTGTCGGAGGACACTCCTGAATAGCTCGGTGATTGGCCACGTAGCCGCGTAGCCCAAATTCTCTTTCAAGGTCGTGTTTTCAGGTCCTTACGAGCTGGGAGACAAGTGCATACGCTCGCACTCGACGCGATGATTGAAGCCCCAATCAACAAATACCAAGAAATTGATTAAGCTCAAATCAAGGGTTCCATAGCAAGGCTTGTCATCACAGATTCGGCAATCGTACTCGGCTGTGTTATCATGCTTGAACGAGCATGCACTTTACTGAGGGCGGCTTCTACCGCATGATACTGCTCTGACGAAGACTTCCATGAAGGTGTCCAGGAACCAGAGCACGATTTGGTGCCTTAATCTATGCAAACAGCAGACTGCTAACCGAGCACGGAAATAGCCATTTGCAGCCGACTCTCTCATCGAGTGCTTGCCTTACCCGAGTAGTCATGCAGTTCTAAACAATAGCTTGCGAAACATCGGATACGCGACAATTGCGCCTATCTTCAGGTTATTTATCTGAGTGTCGACCAACGCACCGATGATCTTCTCATGACCATTCGGCATTCTTCTCAGCCCATTATCCGCACCCTCTCAAGTATCGTCAGTCCCTGGAACTTCTCGCCATCGCATCACGACGACCAACCTTGAAAAATCTTGATCTCAGTGAAAAATCGACCCCTTGGAACGCGTAGAATCTCCCTTCTCATCGACGTATGCAACCTCGGATGGCCTTAGCTACAACTTATCTGGTATTCGAAAATACGGCATAACAAGCTTCCCAAGCTTTTCTTTAAGATTGCTTGCATTTGCATATCGCGCTCAGGGCTCATCAGTTGTATCACTGGACGAAGATCATCTGTAATTGCTACCCACGCGACAGTCAAGAACGAATCACTGTTTGTGACATCCTGCAGAAACATCATTGATTCGTGAGAAAGTTCGGAAAAGCAGATGACACCCTCGGAATTACGACTGCTTACATGTTGTGTAAGTCAATTTGTGCTGAGGCTGACTTACATACATGCCGGCATGTGACGATCCGGATACTTCCATGCTTTCGGAGGTTTGGACTGAGATCACTTCGTTGCCCTATTGCCGCATGTAACATGCGTAGCAGTATCGACAATAGCTGCCACGGCTTGGATCTCGTGTAAAGGGGGGACTTGGAAGCTCGTCACAAAGATTGGCAAACTGTGCTACTTACATAAGCTTATGGACCGCGCTGCTGCCACAAACTCCAAGAGTCAAGATTCTTGGAGGAGGATGGATCAACAATGTATACAACGCATCATTGCGGTCTTGCTAATACTATCACCATACCGGAGGTTTTCCGGATACCTGCAGCTGACTTGCATTGCATTGCACCATGCAAGTATATCCATCGGCCGAATTAGAGCCTCACACTTCCAGACGGACATCAAACGAATCAAGATTCTCTCGCCTTGTCGGGTGCCGCCTTGAAGAATTTTCGGACGATAATCATAGAGCTATTTCGGTGGGAGACACAAGAACAGAAAAAGTCAGAGTCGCGGTCATGCCCGAACCAAGTTCTGGTCCTTCATGACCATTCGGTATACGGCGCGAAAGCTCACCGAAAGCCGCGCGTGCGCATGGCTACACATCCGGTCAGCACTATCAGCTGAAGGCCAAGCAAAATCGTGAAATGGCAACGCCGAGATCTCCGATCACTCGACCGCCGAGCTGCGGAGCATGAACGTATGTATCGTTAATTGGCGGAACAACTGACTGAGGCAACTCCTTGGTCTAACTACATACACAACGGTTTCTGGTTGTCCTTTCGAAACTTGGCCCGGACATGCGTTTCGACCCCAAGCTTTGTGAAACTAATTCGACTCGTGGCATTCTAAATTTATGCCTGTACCTATTGTTTTGTAACGGCTATTCCAACTCACCTCAAGATGCAGTCTGGTCGTCTAGTCATGCTTATAGCCACATGAGCAAGTTTCTTCACCGAAAATTGGTCCGTATGAGGTAGCAATACATATAAAAAGCAAGGCCAACCTCATGTTGAGCAGAAATTCCTTCAGCAACTCGAACTTCGACCTTTCTCTGGGCATCAAGTCTACACACTAGTCACTGTCTTTCTGTTCAATCTCACCATCGTTTTGCTTGAATCTCGATACCTGGACAACATGTTCGGCAAGACTCTCGTTCTTCTGGCCTTCACGGCTCTTGCAGAAGCATCTGGACAATGTCCCGACATCTGGTCAACTATTGCCTCAGATCTTTCTAAAACCTTCATTGGCCCCAGTGGATGTACCGACCTTGCGCGGGGTGCAATTCGTTTCGCTTTTCATGATGCTGGTATGTCGGCAGGCGAAAATCGAAGCTAGACAACATCCGCTAACATCTCTGCCACAGGATCGTACTCGTCCAAGACACCTGCTTACGCACCTGCCACTGGTGGTGCCGATGGATCTCTTCTGTTGAGCTCTGTAGAGATATCACGCGATGAGAACGCTGGTCTGCAGCCATATTACGGATTCTTGCGTGGCAAATACAACCAATACAAATCACAAGTCGGTGCCGCAGACTTGATCCAATTTGCTGCAAGTGTGGCAATCATCAGCTGTCCTGGAGGTCCGAAAGTTCAAACTGTATGTCAAATTGATCCCTCCAGTTTTGGGAGCCGGACTGACTGATTTTGTTGCTACCAGGTTGTTGGTCGCAAGGATACCGACACCCCAGCACCCGATAACCTTTTGCCTAAGGCTTTCGGCGCAGGCGCTGCTCAACAAGTATTGATTCAGCTCTTCGAGGACAAGGGTATCAGTCAGCCTGAGCTTGCTGCTTTGATTGGTGCGCACACCGCATCCAAGGCAATTGCTCAGGAGCAATTCGGTGTTCCGTTCAATGGTGAGTAGCAAGCCGTCTGTAGAGGCAAAATCAGTAGACTGACAATCTCGAAACAGNGACCTCAAGACTCTACTCCGGGCCAATGGGACGTGAAATACTTTTCCGAGACAGACAGTCACCCGAGAGGTGTCTACCCCTTCGAGTCCGACGTCAACCTCTCAAATCCCAACTCAACTGTTGGTCAAGTGTTCCAGAGCTTTGTCAACGCCCAGAGTGAGATTACCTTTTCGACTTTTGCAGAGTTTGTTCGCAGCTGACAGTCATTCAGGCNNAAGTGGAATGCAGCTTTCGCACCTGCAATGGCGCATCTCAGTGTCCTCGGTATCTCTGAGTCAGACCAAGCCAACTTCATTGACTGCACAAGCGCAGTACCATCAGGATCCAACGCAAGACTTATCCGCGCAGCTCCCATCAATGACAGAATTAGATAAACAAGCTCTGACTAATATAGATGCATTGATTGGGTTTCTCTCTTTCGCGATTTTGTTTGGCGAGGAAGGAACAATACACTTTTTCATCTGCATTCTTATGTTATCGGTTGGCTTTGTGCATGTGGGCAGTTGCGACTCAAAGGATGCAAGTGCTGACTGTACTGATGCGTCAGCCGTCAGCTTTGTCATCATCTCAGCAATCATCCAAATACATCCTCCGCTCTTTCGGAATACTTCCTCGCCAAATTTCATCCTCTAACTTTTCTTCACGTCTCTCATTCCAAAGCTTGCATCGCAAAGCAAGTGTCGGAATGCACGATTTTTATCGTGGCAGTCGGGTCCAGTTAGGTTTTTACAAGTGCATGGTTCATATTTTTGGTACTATGACAACCTCTGTATGCTAACTCTACGAACCTTCTTCCTTGCTCCCGCGCCGATGGATCTCGATTTACATACTATAAAAATGCATAATGTTTTCGGGGACAGTGACCGATCCACAGAGAGTCGAAGCGTAGTGCGCTGGGCCACCAGAAAGTCAGGGGCAGTTAGGGGTAGCGGCTCCTTCCTCTCTCCACTCACGATGACTTACTGATATCAGCCATCAAAATGCACGATAGTATGCGGCCGAGACGTCTGTCCAAGGAAGGCCCAGAGTTGAATTCCAGGATTGCTCTTCGTGCTCAATCTAGTTCCTTATCATCTGCCGTTACCATACTTGCCGATCATGAAACTCCTCCAATCAGGCCAGGTTTTTCTTAGTGGCCTTTGCTGCGTTATAGCACTTGAGGCAGAACTTGACGTTGTTCCTGTTGGGGTAACCAGGTGGTGGTGTGCGGTTTGCTTCGGCACCGTAAATCTCGCAGTCATGCTCTGTCCATTTGAAGTTGCCGACTTCACTGGTGAGACCACTCTTTTGGTGCTTTACGAAGCGCGTCCAGTGCTTGCGCTTGACTTCGGGTGACTTGTCAAGCAGGTATTTTTTCTTGAAATGGTCCCAATTGTAGTGGCACTTCTTGCAGGACGATATATTCTCCTCTCCTGCCACGATCTCACAGCGAGGGTAGAGGGGCTCATCCTCAGCACACCAGAAAGATAGCGTTTCCTTGACAGCACCATAGCTTCTTGTGTACCATATGTATTTGTGACTTATGCGAGTTGTTCTTCCAGGTCCATGTCGGGTAGCGTTTTAGGCTTCTCAGAGGACGTCTCCAGCATGACTCGACGCATACGTACACGAGATTATTATCTTCAAAGCCCGCAAGGGTCGTCTTGCTGGTAGATGGAGTATCACAGCCGGGCTTGCAGGACATATGGTTTGATCTTGCTCCTTAGCCTTGGCCTTGACGAAGCCGATGTGCGCTGTCTAGAGCTTTGTGCGGTACTTCCTTCATGTCTTTATGGCTTCCCGATGTTGAACAAGGCATATGTGACGAACGTGCACTCTGAAAAGGTTGCTGTGCACGATTGAGAGGCGTCCATGGCACATCTCTCATCTCGGTAGGGTCTATACAATGACTTTCGCGCTTCTATAGTGGAGACCCGAAGGATGTCCGGTGTACATGGTATTCAGGAGGTCGGTAAATATGCCCTTAAGTGCAAAGACTCTTGCTGGCGGGATACCAGCCTTGTCCGCCAGGAATAAAGGTCGGATATGCCAGGTGTAGCCTGGCTTTAGTGCCATTTGGATGTGTGCTGAATAAGCATCTGTCTTCCAGACCTTGCCGCCCTTCTTAACTCTGTTGTAACCCTCGGTTCTCTGGTAAACACCCTGATGTCCAGTTCTACTGCCGACATAGAGGCCTACCAAGTTACCAGACTCGCCAAGGATCATTGACAAGTAAACGCCGACTTTCTTCAGCTCCTGGTCGCTCACGTTATCGATCTCCAGATATTCTTTGCCGTCTCGTATGAAGACGGCCGAGGATGTCATTGTGCGTCGAGACATGTTGGCCTTGAAAGACTCAGTGGTTACCTCAGTCTTGTCGGTATACTTTGAGCGTTGGTATATCCAGTGGCAATATCCGCCGCTTGATCCATACGAATACGCTGGTTTCGACGTACGTCTCCAAGAAAAACCTGTACCAGAATGTCGATCTCTTCTTCATTCGATCCGTCGATGAATTTGGTGCTGTCAACAGACCTTGTACACCCTTGCTCAAACCTTGTCCCGATCTTGTCGGCATACTTGGAGCGTTGATACAGTGAAGTGCAAATGAACATGGGCAAAGATGCACTGGTTGCGACGCACATCCTCAAGCAAGACCTATATGTCTTGTCGATCTCTTCTTCTATTCCTCCCCATGTGCTGAAGACAGTTACAGTGTAGCGGCAGACATACACGATATTTTTGTAAAATTGTGGTCTCCACTGAGAAACCCTCTTGAAAGGCTCTCTCAATGGTCAGACTCATGATCTAATTACAATTGTGCATTTCGATAGCTTATCATAACTCTTATACCTCGAGATGGAGAGGAAGTTATCTGCGAGATCGCGATTGTCTTTAGCACATGGGCACTTTGTTCGGTCAGATGGCTTTATGGCTACCCTCAATACACCACTGCAGTGTGCACACGTTCGCTCTTGCAAAAGTTCCCCTCGGCCTCCAGTTTCGTCCTCCTTCTCTTATTCTTTCTTGCTTCCTGCTCCTCCATCCTTTTCGACGAACCTCACAATCAACCGCGCTATAGGCTCACTAGCAGTCCTCGCTTTCCAGCAGTCAACTGGGCGACACGACAAACAAAGCACCGCTCGTCCACACAACAGCTCTTACCACCTCTGTCGACCTTGGATCTGCTCGTGCGTGCAGCTACGTTCAAGTGGACCCTACAGCGTTTGACGATGTTAGCACCTCTAACAGCAGACCACATCGAGGGAGGGCGATGTAGACGCCTGGGAAGCATGGATGTCGAGAGACTTTGGACCTGAGTCTAATTCTGCTAGCGCACTACAGCAGTTCAGGTCAGTCAACTGACTCCAAACCAATCATCTCTCTATGGGAACAATCTCCTTTTCAAACATACTCTGCATTTCTATAGTGCTTACACATTTGGTCCTTCTTTTGTGGGGATAACGTTCGCTACAACAAACAACGGCAACCTCTTCTTGGCCTTTACACCAGAAGCAAAATGGAAAACTTCCGCTCGATCTTCGGTTGAAATGGGTCAAGGTGGTTGGCACCTTTCTGGCTTTTCCTTGATCGTCCGATGAGACATCTCATCTGGTCACGCAGTGATGAAGAAGGACCATGCAAGATTCAGCCGGGTATCACACTCATATGACAAACTTGTCTCTTCGTACTCGGTGCAAGGGTTACTGTCGTAATGCAAGGAAGTACTATCAAAACATTGAGGTTGAGCAGCGGACTACGGAGCAAACCGCATCGAGATGCGGGCACTGTACTCACAACCTACATCCGCACCCCTTGTTGGCTGTACATAAATCATTGTCGGAATGCAAAGAGGTACAATCGGAGCATGAAAGTCGAGCACGGGACTTCCGTCTGAATCACAACGGTGCTCGGATACCACATTAAACAATATTCAACTCCTTATTTATGCCCTCTCGTAAATTGGATACTCCAGGCTCCTTCGTGCATGTGTTCCGTTCCTTAAACTTGTCTGTCGGTGTTACGAAGAGTGTAGACTCTAGTATTAAGTTCATAGACGTGAAGATCGGATGTTCATTTCTATCTGAAGAAAGAGCAATGAGTGAATCTGAACCCGCCTCGAGTAAAGGAGGAATCCTGTAAAACAAAACAAGAAGACATGGTAAGCACCATCATTGACCCCTGAGAAGACGTGAAAGGGGTCTGCTGCAATGCGAAGCTCAGCAAAGCGTCATAGTCTCATGCTCAGAGCACCATTAGTTGTTCTCGGTATCCTTCTCCTCTTCCTCCTCGTTGTCCTTCTCATCCTTCTTCTGGTCATCCTTCTTCTGGTCATCCTTCTTCTGGTCATCCTTCTTCTGGTCATCCTTCTTCTGGTCATCCTTCTTCTGGTCATCCTTCTGGCCATCCTTCTGGTCTTGGTTCATGTCCTCCTTCTCGACGTCCTTCTCATCATCCTTCTGATCGTCCTCCTCGACCTCGTTCTCATCTCCCTTCTCAGCCTCGTTCTCATCTCCCTTCTCGACCTCAGTCTGGTCCTCCTTCTCGACTTCCTCCTCGTCTCTTCCTTCGAGCTCACGGCTGCGTCTCAGCATGAACTCACCATACCACTTCAATGGTTTCTCGGGCGTGTAGGTGACCAAGCGTTTGGCAGCCTCAAGGAAGTAGTGGGTGACTCCCGATTCCTCAAAGTAGGTTCTGCCAGGAGCACCATGACGGACGAAATTGGGGTTAGGGCGGGGGACATCTTCATCGTCTTCGGCGTTGTCGTTCTCATTGACTTCCTCTCCATCCACTCCTTCAACCTCACGACTGCGTTTCAGCATGAACTCGCCGAGCCACTTCAATGGCTTCTTGGGCTGGTATGTGATCAGGTAGTTGTTGACCTCTTTCATGTATTGGGGGATGCGGGTACGGACAAGGTAGAGTCGACCTGCTGTGAGGCGGGGGATGTCTTCATCTTCTTCGGCGTGAGAGTCTTCGTCGTCGCTGTTGTTGGCGTCATTGACGTTGGCTTCTTCGTCATCGGTAGGACCAGCAGGAGCGTCAGCTTGAGCCTGGTCAAGGGCAGGAAGGAGGGCAGGACCCATGACAAGAGGATCGGCAGTGGCAGAAAAGCTTGCGGTAGTGGAAGGAGCGGCAGTAGTGATCGAGGGGCCGGCAGTGGTTGAGGGGCTTGCAGCGACGGATGGACCAGGTCCAGCAACAGGAGGAGCCAAGGGAGCAGGACGCAAGCTTGCAGCAACCTCAGCATCCAGAGCAGCTGCGAGGGCCGGGTCTCTAGCCCACTGGGGAAGGCCAGCATGGGCAGGGTGAGAGGCAGTCGAGCCGCTGCAATAGACAGATCAGTCAGATGTCATACAACGATAGTTTGAGATGTAGCATACCCTCTGACGGAGCGAATGTTGCAGCCGGGCCTCTGACAGACAAAAGGGCCCATGTTGTGATTAGGGAGTTTGGTACTTCCAAGATGAGACTTGAAGTTACCTTTGTCTGTAGTGGTGTGACCACAATGCTGGCAATGGTAAGGCATGGTTGCTGTAAGGGGCTGTTGATGAGTTGTGTAAGGGGATGTAAGGAGAAGTCGAGTGTAAGAAGTTTGAAGGTTGGCTTGTCGGGAAGCAAAGAAATAGTGGAAGGCACGATGCGTCAAGTCGGGAGTGCCGAGAGAAAGCACGACAACACGTCGACAACTGGGCACCAGCGTACGCGATAGGTCTTAGTCAACAACACATCGACAATCGGGTTCCGAGACGTGTGAGACAAGCCTTTCATCAGGGGGACAACGCTTCTAACTATCACTTACTCGTGCATGTATTCCGTTGCTCACATTTCTCTTTGTTCCGTTACGAAGCGTGTTGGTTTCAGTACGACGGTCACGGACGTAGTACTCGTGTTTGGCTGCAGATGGGAAAGAAAGAAATCAGATTACCAGAAGACGCAGGGTCAAACTCTCTTGTAGGTCAGAGGAGAGTGACGAAATGGGTATAAAGCTCAGAAAAGACAGAAAACAACCCCATAAACCAAAAAGAAACGAATCCACCTCCAATCAATGAGATGGTTACCAAGCAGAATTTCTACTCATCAAGTTGGTACCAAAGTTTCTGCTCTGTGATCAAGGTCAGCATGGCTAGTAATGACAGGTCCCATTGCGGAGAGATCACATACCTTTTTCGTACTGTGCCTCGATATCGTCACGGGTCTCACCAGCGTGTCGAAGTTCGAAATTATCCATTTCATATTTAAAATGACCATATTTGAATTGATCATCACCAGCATCAGCAGCAGTAGTAGCGGCAGGTACCTGAGCCGCAGGGACTGGGTCAGGGACTTGAACGGTGGGGACGGCGACAAGGGGAACTTGAGCTGCAGTAGGAGGACCCTGGACGCTTGCAGGAGGGCCTTGAACAGCATTGAGACCCTGAGCGGCAGCGATAGAGGCTCCAGTAGGCACAGCCTGAGGAGGGCCGACCACAGCAGGGGGGACCACAGCAGGAGCGACGTTAGTAGCAGCAGCCACTGGAGGGGCGGCGGTTGCGGCAGCGACCACAGGAGGGATGGCGACAGGAGGAACGGTGGCAGGAGGGACTGCGACAGCAGGGACGACCACAGGAGGAACGACGTTGGCAGCAGCAGCCACTGGAGGAACAGGGGCCGCGGCGGCGTTGATCAAAGCCTGTTGACAGGCCTGAACCTCTCTGTTCAAGGCTGTGATCAGAGCCTGGGGCTGAGCCCACACAGCTTGGTGGTTGCCGTGGTTGTTGTTGCGATCTCTGTAGATTGACAATTAGATACAAGGCGTGATACTGTATTGATATGATACTAACTGTCTCTGGGAGCGAAGACCGCAGCCAGGGATCTGGCACTCGAAGGGGCCCATGTTGTGAGTGCTAGGGGCGCCTAAGTGCGATCTCATGTTGTGGTCAGAGGCGCAGTCCTTGATCTTGTTGGACCGCAAGCACAGTGTGCAGCGGTGAGTGTAGACCATGGTTGTCTGTAGAGTGTTGTTGGCCTGATAATGTGTTGTCCTCGAAGCGCAGAGTCCAGAAGTCGCAGGCGCGTAGGAGTATATTCAATACGCTACCAGCGGTGTCTCCCGCCTCGCTAACCAGTCTCTTGGCTCGCTATGATAGCGGCAGCAAGGTATCTCCGGTCGGAGACAGCGGGACTTAGATATGCCGATCTTACGGCGGTGACGATGCGGTAGGCCAGTATATGTACAGACTGTAACATGGCCTTCGTATCCAGTATCAAGGCGTATTTGCGTGTAGAAAGGCGAGATGATATCCAAGATAGGGGGTGTATCCAGAGAGACATAGGCTGATCAGATATGCAGAGTAAGCTCCCCTTGGACAATCACGCCATATCGCTCTAGTTCCTGCATCTTGACCACGACATCGGCGATGATAGCAGGATCTGGAGAGCAGCGAGTCCGGCCTCGACAAACAGGGGTATGCCAGCAAGCATACTACTCCTTCCAGCATACACGATCCAGTACAGACCAGTCGAAATGCAGAGCATATTTTGATACTGCTGAGCATCCACTGAGATGGACAGCATACTCAACGGCATCAGAGCTCTCACTGGACACCTCCATCAGAACGTATCAATTCTTGCATTTTGACAACCAGTATGCAACAAGATTGTGTCTTCGAAATCGACTAGACTGGCTCAGCACGCCTCAGACACAAAGTCCTGACGGCGTCTCTTTCAGAATCCAGGTCCAGTAGTATCATACCAGTCAAAAGACAGAACATTGTTGCATTCCAGCTTCATGTCCAGAGAGAGTGGAGAGCATGAGGACTCTCAGCGGACAAAATCTCAAGCTCATTCCAGATGTTGCATTGCTACAGCATCGACGGAGCAGTCGTGTTCAGGGAGATGCCAGAGTGGATCCAGCAATACCAGACAGGCCAGCAAAAAAAAGTCCAGGACAACAAAGAAGAGCAGTGCGCAGAGGTCATGTGGATTTTTCGAAGCTTAAATCCGATTCAAGAACAACAGCCATGTCACAGAGCGCCAGCCCAGCATCTATGATATGCATCAGACGCCATGATTCCAGTGGCACAGTCGATGAATGTGGTATGCCCGCAAAGGAAGAAAGTACCTGTTTGCTAAGTTGGCAAGAGCAGCGGTCAATCATGGCGAAACTTCGGTACTTCGGCTATTTCCGCTGAGCAGCCAATCAGCGTCACACAGAGCCTCAGTGGTCATCAACAGCAATCATGACTTTTTGCTCGTATATGGACTACAGCCTATGAAGAATAGTGCCATTGAATTCTAGTGTTGAGACAATGGTAGCACATGGTTTCTGCCTGTTCGATGGGACGAGCATGTCTGAAGCTTTGCATCAAGACATGGAACATACAAGCATTTATCAAATTACATACATATACACATCCAGACAAAGCCCCAAAGCTTCTATATGTACATATCGAAACCACAAAGAAGTCCAGAAAGAAAGGATTTCAACGCCAGAGCTGAAATACGGCTAGAGCTTCTCGACCCAATATCTTACACCCCTTCAAAAGCCCTCATAACAGCCAACCCAACAGGCGCATACGTAACAACACGATTATGCATCCCAAACTCCAACATCTCAACTCTGACCTTAACCTTGCCCTCCTTGACCTCCTCTCTCACACCCAAAGGCAGATCCTCAACTTCCTTTCCAGCGGCAACAGCAAACAGCTTCTCGCTCTGCTTATACGCAATATCCTGATCATCTCTTGCATGCAAGATATGTACGTTTCCAGCACCGTTGTGGTTAGCTGCCACAGAAGCAGCAGCAGACACATAAGCATTCAGACGCAACCCAGAAGGCCAAGTATCAAGGATATATTTCGAGACCAAGCCGACCAGAAAAGGCGAGTTGCGGAGAGGAGCCAAAACAGGAATCAATCCTCCAATACGATAACTAAGCAAAAGATCCGGAAGCGAAAAGAACGGCGCCACCAAAATAATACTTCTGAAGACTGCTGTTTCGTGCTTTGGGCCGAGTAAAGGTTGAGGCAGAAGTTCAGAAGTTGGGTTTGAGAAACTCAGGCCTACTGCGGTGGCAACGGCGGTTCCGAGACTTTGTCCGAGGATCACGATGCGCGAGGGAGGAATGCCCAGGGAGAGGACGTAGTGGACCAAGGCGCGACCATCGGTGATGAGGCCTTCTTCGGTGGGTGAGCCAGTGCTGCGACCAAAACCACGGTAGTCGATTGTAAAGATATGGGTGTGAGGTTGGTTTGAGAGCGCACGATATGTATCTGTGCGCCAGCCTTGAGCCACATGTCCTGCATTTCCATGGACTACAGTGGTGTCAGTATCTCCAGTTCTCAGCAAGGAGAAAGCAAACTCACAATTTACGACGACTCTAGCCTCAGGATCGGATTTGAGAAGCTGAAGCGGCAAAGTTTGATCAAAGGGATCGGTTGCAGCCAAAGCATCTCTGTTTTTNGCCACAGTTGCTAGGGGCAGAATGTGCCACGCATAGAGCACTTCGTTGTCTGGTGTGCTGACATTGAATGGAGTTACCTGATGAGCTGCAAAGCCAAAGGACTCGGGCTTGTTGACATCATGCCAAAAGCCAGAATGAATCTTATGAGCATATAGTGCNGCTATACGATAAAACGAGTTAGATATCAGTCAAACCAGAGTTATCTGATTGCGAAGAGATGCTGCTCAAGAGAGAAGAGAGACAAAGGCTCCAAGCAAAGGATAAAGAGAAGAAGACAAGCGAAAAAGCGATACGCACTGTCGTTGCAACCAAGGATTCGTCAAAAGAAGTACGAAAACAGGATACAGAGAAACAGCAAAACCAAGAACCAAGAATCCGCTCTTGAGTACACCCATCTTGATGGAGAAGATCGTTCCTACCTGTCATCCCTTCAGCAAATTGCGCTCTGAGGATGGTTTTGCAATGAGAAGAAGGGTTGTCGCCACCCTTTGGAGGAAGCAACGATTATTCTCTATTTTACATTCGACTTACTCTAAGGAAAAAGATCACAATATCGGATTGTGTTCTATGGGTTGATGTTGATCTGTGAAGTCGAGGGCTGTGGTCGTCCGCACACGATACCAAGAGTTTTGTCACGCTGCTCCAGGCATGTCAAAAGTTAACGCAATCTGCTCGTCCACGAAAAATCTCGGCGTCTGCTCTTCTTCCTTCATCGACCACAACATTGCAGGACACAATCGCTAATACGCGCCTCTCAATATTGTCGAGAGCAGCGAATACCAGTGGTTCAACGTCTATATCTTCAGGTTGTCAAAAGACATCAGACAAAAACATTGGTTTGTTTATTTCCTTTTTCTTCCCTTCCACAACAGCAAGTCAGTCCTCTCGGCTCTCGTATCACTCCATCGAGAAGCTGGTGTTTAGACTCCGGTCTACACTTGCAAGAATGACACTTACAAGGCCTTGCGTTTGAGGTATTCGTGACAAATCACCCCTGGACGAATCACCATAGAAGTCTCGGTACATAACATCGATAACAACCATTTCACTTTTTTTTGAAATACTACTTTTTTGCTTTGACTCTTAAATCATTGTCCCTGTGTGAAATCTTGTAGGGTTGAGCAAAGCTGCTAGCTGGATTGGTTGAATATGGGTATCTAGGTTGTGATTGTTGGAGCATTTGGAGCTGCGACTGCTGTGCTGGGGCTGTCGTTGCTATCGTTGCCGATGACAGGCACTTCTGAAATGCGAACAGACTTNTTGCGCTTTGCGGTTGTGCTGTCTGTTGCTGTTGTTTCTGCAGGTTGAGCAGACTCTGGACCTGTAGGTACAGGCACAGCGGCAGTAGCTTGCGCCTCGTTTGTGCCCGCTTGGGTATTCGTCGAAGGATCGACAGAAGTGGTCGCAGGTGTTTCTTGCGTCGCGCTCTGCGTAGGAGCTTCCTGTCCGATAGAGGTCTCTGTACCAGTAGGAGCTGGTGCAGCACCTTTCGCAGCATCTTTCTCCCCTGCTTGGTCATTCTCCTTCTCTTTGTCTTCCTTCTTCTTCCTAGGCGCCGGCTTAGGCTTTGGCTTGACTTCTTGCACAACAGGAATCTCCTCTTCTAATTCAACAATGCCGCTCTTGTGTGGTAGCCTGAAGGCGAGATGTCGCGTCGGAGCACGAGTGCATTTCTCGATCTTCTCGGTCATGTAATTGCGAACCTGATCGGCAGGCTTCACGCATCGTGTAATGAACTGCAAAACATCTCTTGTAGCCGAGCGACCTTCGGGCACGCTAATTGTCATGGTGACAGGCTCGTAGTACTCGGTATCGGGGTCGAGTTGGGGGCTGACGTCTTTTCCTTTGCGAATGACGAGGAATGATGCGAGCATCTTGTATGAGTTGAGGAATTCAAGGATAGTATATTCGGGGAAGCGGAAGCGGTCAGGCGAGGCGCCAGGGCCTTGAAACTCGAGTACGATAGGGTAGCTANNGGGTATCTCGGCGGTGGAGGTGGTTGGTGTTGGTAATGCGGATGTTGTTGGGGCATAGGGTATATCGGAGCATGTGGTTGGGCTGTCGCAGGATGTGGTTTGATAGCAGGAGCGGCGGAGGGAGGGCGANGATGGAGCATGCTGCTGTGGTGGAGCGGGAGAGTTTGTTTGGCTGTTTGGTTGTGCTTTGTTTGCGTTGATCATGGCCGTCAACTCGTCTATGTGTCTCTGGAAGATTCGCAACTGTTCTTGGTTGGCGTTGCCGGTGGCTACGATTTTCATAAGCGCTTTGAGCTCGGGATCACTGCTTGCGCGTGAGGCCAGCATTTGGATGACGGGATCAGGCGACTGTTTGACAGGTGCGGGAGCAGCAGGCGGAGGTGGTGGAGCTCGAGCGGTAGCGGGCATGATTGGTGGTGGATGAGGACGACCTTGATATTGTGTGGAAGAATGCGAATATGGAGCTCCATAAGGACTGCCATTGGAAGGGTTTGGATTGGGTCGTGGTTGTTGTTGATTGTACTGTTGGGGAGGACCATGTTGGTACTGGTGCTGGTATTGTTGCTGTTGGAATTGCTGTTGCGGAGGCGCTTGATGTGACGAAGACGAGGACGGTGCTGGACCTGGTTCCTTGACGTAGTATGCTGTGGCCTCGAAGATCATGGGCTCTACCACCAACGTGCATGGCCCAATCTCCTTCATCCATGACTTGTGTGGATTGCCCGGTGGCGCAGGAGGCGCATCTTTTCTTCCCGATGTCTTGGTCCAGTACTTTTCCAAGAAAGTACCAGAAACCCACTTTTGTCGTGATCGCTCCAGCGATGCCAGTAACACTCCGCTTTCTGCAATGCTCTTGTATTCATCGTTGGAGAGGCCGACACCTTGCGGCTCCGAGAGGGTGGGCAGAAGCCTCGAATCAACGACCTTGTTCGGCAAGGGTGTAGCTTCTCGTACCGGTTCTTCGACGACTGGTGTAGCCTCCTGTGGTGTTGCATCTTTTGGCGTCGGTGCTTTGGTCGATGTCCTTCGTCGTTTCGCGTCTCGCGCCCGTCCTGATGCTCGTCGCTTTTCCGCCATTTTGCGCGTGTCGTTGTATGGTAATATCCCGGTCTAGCCGTACAGATGTATGGTACTCAAGTATTCATGTTGATTATGTCGTGTGCTCGTGTCGTGTTTGTAGGTTTGGAAATCTTGTCGCTTCCTCTTGCATATGACGAAGACTGGTCTATATAACAGGGTCATACCTTCAACAGCCCTTCCAGTGATCCAAGAGTGCCTATAGGCCCGCCACGCTCTCACTAGAGTCTCTATCTAGTTTAGACATATATTTCTTAGTCCTAAAAAAGCACTGCTTAAGTTTCATATCAATTGATCACGATTTGGTGGAGAGATGCTTAAAAACGTCGACAGATTAACATCCTCAAAAAAAACCCCAAGCAACCTACGGATTCATCGTGTAATTGTCGCTGAAGTCTTGATTGACATCTTATTTTTATATCTAACAATCCTTTAACGGCAAGAAAATAGTAAACACATGGTCAAGGACGGCTTTCAGCAGTGTGGATACTCTGTGAGTCTGCGAGTCGATCCCATGTTCTACTTGATACTGAAGTGATGGTACTCGGCAGAATCTCACCGCCTCACAGTAGCAACGGAAGCACTCAAGTAAATGGAAAAGAAAATATATTACATGGACGAGTGACCAATATCTCTATGGAATGCTTATTCGTCGTCAGCCATGTCCTCATCCTCGACCTCGAACTCTTCAGGAACTTCTGCCTCCTCGCCACCTTCCACATCCTCATCGACTGCATTTAGTACACCAGATGCGGCAGCTGCGCCAACACCTGCTGCGGCACCGAAGCCCAATGCAGCAAGAGCGTCATCGCCCGTCTGGCGGGCAGGTGTGAATGGCGTGTCCTGCTGTGATGATCCGCCAACAACAGGTGCAGCAGCAGCATTGTTAGTCTTCTTCTTGGCCTTAAGCTCAAGCAGAGACTTTGATTCGGATGATTGCGTGTCGTGGAGAAGGATGACACCACCAGTGGGCTTCTTCACTGGTTGGTAACGGCCATCCTGTGCAAACGAAATGTACTTGATCTGCGCAGGAAGGACACGACTCATGTTTTCGAGGTCGTAGCCAACCTTCTCACGCTCAGCCTTCTTCTTTGTGCTACCTTCTGTAGGTGCAGCCTCGCCCTTCTCCNNCTCGGCAAGCTTGGCTGTATCAATGACGTTATCATCGACATCCATCTTGTCGCCAGATTCGACCTTGGGGGTCGTGGGTGTCATGTCGATGTCCATGCTCTCACGTCTAGCTTGTCTCTTCTTTGCTTGTTCTCTGCGCTTGGCATGTGCTGTTGTCGACAAGATGGCAGTCTTGACCTTCTCAGGAGCCTCCTCAGCCTTGACTTCAGCCTCAGGCGGGTAGTCGAATACACTGGGACGAGTATTGCTGTGGAACTTGAATGAGGGGATCTCGAGATCTGAGTCGACACCGATGATGGCGGTAGGTGTGAAGGAAAGAGTAAGGAAGTGAGTAAGAGGGAACCAGTACCAGTATTGTGTGAAGACGGCCATACCGACAATGGCGGACATGTTGAGATTGCCGGTAGGAGTTTGCAGGCCGATAGTGCAATTACGGCCACCAGCATCGATGATACCGAGAGCAAGAGCGCAGCCGAACTTGCACATGGCGTCCTCGTGTCTGTCACTGATGATCTTNTGCAAGGTCTTGCGGATGGTGCCGACCTTGGGGTTCATGGCCTCGTTCTGCTGGACCATGATCATTGACAATGAGATGAGAGCACCCTGGCGAACAAAGTCGACGGAGTCCTTCATCATAGGCTCAAGGAGATCGATGGCCTCATCCAGACCGGTTCCAGCACAGGCGATACCAAGGGCCATAGTGGCACCGTATCTGACATGTGGGTTGTAGGATTCAGAAAGGAGTTCGACCATGCGAGGAACAGCACCAGGCTTGCGGAAGAGAACGAAGCCCAATGACATGACAGCGGCACGGCGGACATCATCACTGACATCGCTGACAGCGACGTGAAGCAACTTTCTGACAGCCTTGTTGCTGCTGGTACCACAGTAGGCAAGTGCAACAGTGAAGATACCACCGTATCTCAGTGTCGGGTCTGCATCGTCGAGCAGGCCGTTAATCAACTCGTCGGCACCTTCTTGACGGTTGTACATGATCAAAGCCATACCCATGGCAAGACCGCGCACAATCTTCTCGTGCTGTGTGTCGTGGGCGTAGGTGATCATGTCCTCGAGAGCTCTGGTGTTGCCAGTGCCGAGCATGACAAGACCCATGGCAAGACCAACGGCTTCACCGTTAATGGCCGAATCGCTGTAGAGCACACCCTTGAGAGCCTCGTAGATATCTTCAGAGCCGGTAGCCATACCGGCAACACCGAGACCAAGAGCACCACCGTGCTGAACAACCTCTTCTTGAGTATCCTTGAATTGCTCGAGAAGGTAGTCAAGCACATTAGTACCGTGGTTTGAGTAGATAAGACCAAGAGCGTAAAGAGAACCACCCTGGCTGTAAGGAGAACCAGAGCCAGGAACGGCATTGCGCTTGGGAAGGTAGGGCTCGAGAAGCTTGCGACCATTGGCCAAGTTACCTCTGTGAATGACACCAAGAGCAGCAGTGGCAGTGAACTTTGACCAGTTCACAGCCTTACCCAACCACTCGAGGTTGTCGCGGAAGAAAGTGTCGACGGTGGTACCAGAGTTCATGAAAGCGTTGGAGAAGGTGACTGCAGTGTGGAAGATGGAGTTGCGAGCCTCGAGGCTATCGCGAACCTTGTTGAGAATCTGCTTGTCTGTGTGGCTGTTGCGGAAGAGGAACTCCAGGTTCAGCTCAATGCTAGTCGTACCGCGCAGGATGTCGCGTATTGAGTTGAAAGCCTTCTTCTCTTCTGCTGTGCTGGCCTTTGCTCCCGAAGGTCCTGTGCTCCTACGCAATTCAGACAAGAGCTGAGTAGACTCGTCAGCATCATCAGCGCCTTCGCTTGTGGGCTCAGGCGACTTGTCGTCGCTCGAAGGCAGTTCCTCCATGACACGGATCAAGAACTCCTGAGTACCGTTCTCATACAAGTCGAACGACAGTTGGTATGCGATTGCAAGAGACTTTGCATCAGCCTTCTGCACGAGCTGGCGCAGCATATTGCTAGCCATAGAGTACTGACCGAGATGCACAACGCATCGAGCAATGGCGAAGTAATCGGGGTCGGGGATGTCGTTGAGCAGCTCGAGAATGAGCTGCAGGATCTCGTCTCTTAAGCCACGCTCTTGAACCACGTTCATGCAGATGTCGAGCACGTACTCCATCAACTCGTCAGTGCTTTGCTTGTCCTTGCCACAACGGAGGATTGCATCCTTCAAGACTTGACGGTTGCGTGCCTCAATAGCAATGCCTACAACGTGGCGATATGCGCCTGATTCATAACATGACTCGAAGATGCGCTGGATGACACCGTGAAGACTCTTTTGTGTCGCGGGCGAGAGTGAATTCGGAGAAGGGTGCGAGCCAGAAACTCCGGCAGCTGCACCATCGGTTTGGACGCCATCGATTTCGCGGGATAGGAGGGACTTCGGTGGTGCGGAGGATTGCGAGAAGGGAGTGGTAGTGACGGCACTGCCGTTGGCTGTGGGTAGCGACGAGTCGTTGACAGAAGCTGATGGTACGGAACTTGAGGGAGCAGGAGGGTTTGAGAGCGCCGAGAGAGCAACGTACGTGTCGATGCACTTGGCTNNATCAGGGTGTTAGCTGGGTGAGCGATGATCTGCCTGCGTCAAGTACATACCAACGATGGTCTCTTCAAACTCGCCCTGGTGGTCGAGACGGAAGAGCTTGCCAGCGCCGAGGGCAAAGACCATAGACTCGTTGTACTCCTGGAGCTGGTAGTAGACCTTGGCCGCCACAAGTGCTGCTAGCTCGCGGTTGGGAAATGACTCGTCTTCATACAAAGCCTCNACTATAGCAATTCAGTCAGCTGTGTTCCTGGTAGATATCTCTTTTGATGGTGCGCACATTTGACCGATAGAGCCCGAGACCTCAGTCCAGATGTTGTCCATGTCCTTGTTCAGCTCATCCAAAGCGAAGACCTGCAGCGCTGTGTCGGGTTCGGAAAGGAAGCCGACCAAACTGGCGGCAGCAGAAGGAGCGCCGACCATGATGATTGTGATGCGAGGGTGTGAGTTGTGGTCGTGATGATGCGAAAGTAAGAAAGGCGTGTGTCGAGGAGTGGCGCCGCAGCTCAGAGGTCGAAGCACGTGAAAACACCCAGGCTTTGGCAAATCAGATGGAGAGTGACGATGAGAGAACAGAGGTCGTCAATAACAGTATGGAGAGGTTCGATACGTCGTGATGATAGTGAAGGCAGGCGATTGTGAGCTGAAGCTCCCGCCGCTCGATCTACGGACAACACGCCCATGACGCTCGTCATAACCACTCGGCGAATTCCGCCTCTGCATATGTACATATCGTTTCACTATTCAATCACAATTCTGAAACTATCACACGAACATGGTACTACATCTTGCGACTGATCATATACAGACATCGTACAACGAGAGCAAAATACAAGGTCACGTTGAAGCGGTCGATACATTCAAGGTGAGGAAAAGGCCCAGCAAAATAGTGTCATGCATAAATTTTATGTGCGAGTAATACAATAATGAGTGTCCAGTATCTAACCCGTACAGGCAACCTCCTTACTTGTTTCTCTTGAGAAGAGTGAGCTTGTCACCAATTGAACCATCAGCACCCTTGGTGAATGACCAAGTTGCAGAGGTAGGAGTGATCTTCAGCTTGCTGAAGCCATAGTCCTTCTGGTTCAAGACAGCAGTAATGTTAAGGACAGGCTGGTCTGCGTCCAGAGTGCTGTGCGACTCAATGTTGCCTGCCATACCGTTGACAACGTGTACCAGCGACTTGCCCTCGTTGATGTAGTAGGTGTTGTTGTCCTTGATGGAGGCAGTGTCGATGGTACCATTGCGGCCGAGAGGGAAAAGGCGCTCATACCAGTGAATGTGGCCAGCGAAGTATGCGTCTACACCGTGCTCGAGCATCAACTCCTCGAAGGCATTGCGAACATTGACCTGGTAAGAAGCGGTCTGACTGCTGTACATTGGTCTGTGGCCGTTGATGAAGATCCAAGGAGTCTTGGTGCGGTCGACACTGGCGAGATCCTTGGCCAACCATTGGTATTGCTGGTAAGCACTGTTGTTCTTCCACTGGTTGCCGTCGATGCGGCCGAAAGGACCGCTGTCAGTGATGAAGGTTTGAGACTCGGTAGGCAGAGTCTCGTTACCCTTGATGTCACGGACGAAGGGCCATTCAGGACTGTATGCAAAGTCCGTCTCGGTGTCAATGCTGACGAAGTGGGCAAGACCATAATCGAAAGAGTACCAGAAGTTACCAACACCGCCACTCTCGGCTCCCGGCATGCGGAAACGGTGCTGGAAGGTTGTGAAGTTTCTGTTCAAATCATGTTAGTACAATGGGACAAAGATGACCAGCTGCCAAATGACATACCTCTGAGATGGGGGACAGCTGTAGTAGGTAAGATCCGATTTGGGTGCGGAAGAGTTGGCCTTGTCGTTGTTAAGGTAGGCAGTAAGAGTGTTGTTGCCGCCATCAAACTCTGCGCACGCAGCCTCGTGGTTTCCAGGAAGGACCATGTAAGGAACCTTGGTGGAGATGTCGTTCATCCACTGTTGCCAAAGATCCCAGTTGGACTCGTACAGCACAGACATGTCACCACCCTGAGGACCACCCTGGTTGGGAACCTCTCCGGCGGGAAGTGGTGCATCGAGGTACTCAGCAGGGTAGGGAGGGCCGCCAGGAAGTCTGGTGGAACTGCCATTGTAACAGACAGGCCAGGAGGATTCGCAAGGAAGGATACCACTGTACCAATCATCTGCGTAAGAGATGTCACCTCCGTGCCAGGCAAAGGCAAGACCATCCTCGACGGCGTTGCCGAGGTACTTGTGAGTTCCATGGGCATTGGTGTAACCCATGTCGTTCAGAACCGCGACGGTGAACTCGGAACGATCTCCAGCAGCATGTGCGGTACGGAAGCTGAGTGTTTGGGACTCAGTGGTACCGTTGGCGGCGGGGATGCGGTACCAGTACTTGGTGTTTGGTTTGAGGCCTGTAATTTGGACTTCGTGGAAAAATTCACTGCACTGAGTGACAGGAGCCAGAGAGCAAGGAGGTTCGCGTGCGTAGGTGTTGGACTGTCCCACGGCAGTGTTGCAAAGGTTGTCTTGCGTAGTGCCCCATTGCACCTTGGGAGCAGCTCCAAGACCGAAAGGAGTTTGGAAGTGGATGTGCATGCCGCCAGGAACATAAGCCAAAGAGATGACATTGACGTTATTGGTAGCGTTGGCTGACTTGGGCTTCACAGCGGGAGCCTCAACCAGACGAGGAAAGCCTTTGCCATTACCATTGACAGTGGGATCAACCCAGTCACCAACTGGAATGGCAGGTCCAGTGTATGGGAAGCGAGTGTCGACATCGCGGCGAGATGCGGGTGGTGCTGCTGCCACAAGGGCAGTGCCAAAGAGGACGGCTCCGATTGTGTTCTTCATCTTGCCGGAATACAAAGCGAGTGGAAGTGTACGAACCCATTTACCAGTGGCCTACCTTCTTATATATCCAAGGTCGTCTGGTCTTTCCTGACTTGACCTGGCCTTTGGCACACATGCCACACAAGCTGCCGCTCTGAAGTTTGGCGTACAGATGTGGACCCAGCTACTATCCCACGGAAGATCTGTGCAGCCAGATAGGTGCAGGACGCGGTATGCAAGAGCGAGCATGCTTATCTTTGTCAATGCTTGATTGGCTTGCCTATCTTGCACGTGCTCGGTACCGACGGCATCAATTTACCCTCCACGCAGCCGCCTTCTTGTGTCCTTAGAGAAGCGGCAACCGACCTGCCAGATCGCGACAAGCTCAAGGGAAGCATTGAGCAAAGCTTTACTTGCTTCTACGCCTCGGAACTTAATGAGCTTGTCTGGAAGGTCGTTTCCTCGGTCGTGCCGTGGCGACACGGAAATTCAAATCGTGCTGAAATATATCCTTGCGGACTGAGGAATATGTGCATCAAATATCTGTTCACGGCTGAAGGTTCGCCGTTTCGAGACCAACCATATGAACATGAACAAACACCGAGCGATGAGATCCCACATGTATCAACCATGAGCTGCAGAGCATCGGAGCACCGAGGTGCATGCCAAAAGAAAGCAACATCCTAACTTACGACTGTGTACAATGGCCAGTCACATAGCCTCCTCTCTCGTCATGCTTGGAAGTCCACAGGATGAGAGGACCATTGACAAGCAATTCAACCGATATGTGGCTCATTGTGAGAAGCGGAACTCCAGCCTGTTGACGAGGATATCTATGCAGTTGAGCTGTATGACAAAAGCTCTCGCGACAGGCTCTGATCATACAGGAATTATGATTGTGGTTAAGAACAACAGACCACAGGCATTCTTGCAGCTCTGCTCTTAGACATTCCGCCATTACTGATGGTGGTTATACCACTACTTTTCTGGGCCAAGCTCCCAGATGTGCTCTGTGTAAGTACAGTATGCAGGTACTGCACACCGTCGATCACGCCATATGCCGTGCGTGACGTCTTGGCGTTACTAGACAACAGGTGCGGAGGTGTCGCTATTGCAGCATCTTGAAGAACACTTCTTGAGTTACTTACACGAATACATGAACTCTTGTCCGAAGTCCTTTCAAGTCATGTCATTTACAACAATCCCAGTCTTGGATCTTGCGAAAGCCAGAAGTCCAGACACCAAGCCTCAACTATTGGAAGAGCTGCGTCATGCTTTAATGGAAGTCGGCTTCTTATACATCAAGAATACCGACATTCCAAATGAGTTATTGGACCAAGTAAAGGCAGCTGGAACGGCCATCTTTGACATTGCTGAAGAGCAANAAGTAAGCTTACCGCTTCTCAGGTCTCCTCTCCTTGACCATTGTGACTAATAGGAGGTCAGACTGAAGATAGAGATGAAGAATGCCCCATCTTTTCTGGGCTACTCTCGCCTGGCAGCAGAGATCACTGCTGGAAAGATAGACCAACGTGAACAGTTTGACTTTTCAACAGAACACCCTCTTCCGAAGGCAGATGCACCACGCTATGAGAACCTTCGGGCACCAAATCAATGGCCATCCGACCAGGCGTTACCAGGGTTTCGAGCAACCTTTACCGAGTACATGAATAGGATGGGTGAAATGTCTATTGCATTCACATCATTGATTGCCGAGGCCATTCATCTGCCACAAGACGCCTTTACGAAATACTTTGACAAAGACCAACAACACAAACTCAAGATTGTCAAATATCCAGATGTGTCGAGCCTTGGTCAGGAAGGAGCGGTAGATGTCCAAGGTGTTGGTCCTCACAAGGATTCAATGCTTACGAGTTATTTGCTGCAAGTTACAGATCACCGTGGTTTGCAAGTGCAGAATGTGCAAGGGCAGTGGATCGACTGTCCGCCCATTCCTGGCACGCTTGTTGTAGCCATAGGTCAAGGCCTCGAGGCTTTAACGCAGGGTGTTTGTGTGTCAACAACTCATCGTGTGCTATCACCCTCTGCCGGCTCAGGTGCCAGACTATCTATCCCTTTCTTCCAAGGAGTGAGATATGATGCAGAATTCGACGAGCTGGACGCAGTCGGCGTTGGAAATGTACCAGAAGATATCAAGNAGCAGCGTCGACGCGTGGTCGAGCGAAACGGTGGCAGAGTTGATGATGTCGAATTCACGTTCAAGAAGGGCAACAAAGCAAAGACGCTTGGTGAGGCTACGCTGCGCAATCGAGTCAAGAGCCACCAGGATGTCGGCGAACGCTGGTATCCTGATATACTTCAAGAACTTCGCGAGGAGTGGAGTTCGGCAAAGTAAGCACGGAGAATTCAAGAAGCGATTATGCGTGCATGACTTGTTGCGCTCTGACTTTGCGTCTGCTGGATAGTGCATGGCTCATCGCCATCACCACTGCATCACTGAAGGTGCAAGCGGTGTTCCCCGAACCATTCCTCCTCAAGCATAGCCATCTCGAGAACGTCCCTCCACTCGCCCTCGCGCCAGAACTGCTTTCTCCGCCGTCCTTCTTCGACGAAGCCTACGTGGCGGTAGCAATTCAATGCCCTATCGTTCGTTGCGTCGAGACTGAGCTCGATGCGATGATAGCCAAGGGTCGTGAAGATGTAATCGCACATCCAACGTAAAACTTCGGTACCTAGTCCTTTCCCNTGCTCGAGCTTCAGCAGTCGAACTATGCCATAATATCTTGTGTTGGTGTCCATAGAGTAGGTACCTTGATGATCTTTAGTGAATAAAATCCCGAAGGATACAACTCTGTTTACAGCTGTACCTTTGCCAACCTTATCAATGGCAAGCATACCGATCGCCGGGTACCTAGCATTACCATCTGCGGTGCGAAAGTAATCATCATTTGGTCCAAGCGCCGAAGGGCACTCGTTCTCGGAAGCAGGCTTTTCGCAGATGATGAACCAAGGTAGAGCGTCTACATCCTTCGCGCGCGTCTCGAGAAATTGTTTTGACCTCTCGCGTGTCCATGGCTGAGGACCCTGCATCGATATGGCAAATAGTGATTCCACTGTGTTAGTCCATTGAAGCCAGATGGTATTGTCAACTTCTGGGTCGAGACCTCGCAACATCAGACGCTCAGTGAAAAACATGGTGTGCTTAGATGATAATGAATGATTGTCAGATCAGCCAGGGTGGTCCGCAACGGTGTGCGATGGAAAGCAAAAGAACGAGGTAAGAGAGAATGCATACTATATAGCCAATCTGAATCGGCTGAGTCATCCGAGCTGATAAAGTATTCCTTCTTGATGAGATATGCTGAGATCGAACCAATGCTCAAGAGAGGCAACAGAACCAAGTCATTTGGTAGGTATAATCTTAGCTATGGACACGACTCGTGTGCAAAGCATGAACTCTCGAAGCAAGCATCGTCTTTCATTCGGTTCGACCTTCAAACGAGTCGTCCTGACAATCAATATTCATGGCTGTTGATGGAGCAGCAAACACGAAGGGCGTCAGACCCGAGCCCCGCAGTCATTTGGCCGATCTCCCCTATCGCCTTCCTATTTTGGCTACCAAGCTCTTGATAGAGCCGCTGCAACCAGCCACCCTCGATAACGTGATTTCCTTCATTTATCAAGGACAATCCCAATGGTTTCTTCATCCCAGTAACAAACTATTATGGAAAAGGAAGGACTACCCCAATACTCCGAGGTCGTCAGACCATGGGCAGACCGCCGTCGCAAACGCCGCATCTTTCGACTGGTGGCAGCCTCATGTCTATCTTACTTTGCATACTCGGCATACAAGATCTCTGCAAACACTGAAAAGCCAGCCAGTCTTCTCTCTGCTACTCGCTTGCAAGAAGATCTTGCTACCTGTGCCGTTCTTCAAAGAGTCCCCGAGGCTCCATCTGGCGGACGTGAATACAACAAGCGTTACGTGAACGGCACCAAACCTGTGCTGATTCAGAATGCCACTGTTTGGACTGGAGAGCCTGTTTCAGGAGCAAGTGCAGAAGATGTCCGTACAGGAAAGGGCTTTGCCTGGATTCAGTCGGATGTATTCATCGAGCACGGCCTTATCAAGAAAGTCGCACCATCCATCTCGCTTGCAGACCTGCCTTCGGAATACGACACTTCTAATGCTCATGGACGTCAGCTCACAGCCGGTATCGTTGACATGCACAGTCATGCTGGTCTCGGCAGTCTCGGAGGTCTTCAAGGAGATGAGAATGAGCTCTCCAGTGACATAACTCCCTATGTCAAGTCTCTGGACTCCTTGGACCCGCTGCATCCCGAGATCCAATGGATCAAGTCTGGTGGTGTCACCACATCGCTACTTCTTCCTGGCTCTGGAAACAACATTGGTGGAGAGGCGTTCCTTGTCAAGCTTGCCGTCGGTAAGGAGGGTGGCCGTGCTGAGCTCAGTCAGCAAGACATGTTGGCTGATCCTGACCACACTTGGAGATATATGAAGAACGCCTGTGGTGAAAACCCTAAAAGAGTCTATGGCAAGGTTGGTGAGAGAGGTCCTTTCAGCCGCATGGGTGAAGGCTGGGAGTTCAGACACGCATACGAACAGGCAAGAGACTATGTCAAAGCTCAAGACGACTGGTGTGCGGCTGCGAAATCAATCGGTGCTGAGAAGATGAACAGCTATCTGCCTCAGAGCCTCGAGTGGGAAAACCTGGGCGCTGTTCTCAGGGGTCAAGTGCGCGTGAACACGCACTGCTACACCATTCCCGACCTCGAGATGTATGTGCGTCTCACCAACGAGTTCAAGTTCAGAGTCTACGCCTTCCATCACGCCCACCAAACTTACCTCGTACCTGATGTCCTGAAGAGAGCTTACGGCGGCACACCTGCGGCTGCACTTNTTGGAGACAACATGTACTACAAGGTTGAGAGCTACAGAGCTTCAGAACAGTCCGGCAAGATTCTATACGAGAATGGTATCACGCCAGTGTACGTGAGTGACAATCCAGTCATCAACTCTCAGCATGTAAAGCACGAAGCCGCCAAGGCCTATGGTTATGGTCTTCCTTATCATGCTGCACTGAACGGTCTGACCTCTGCTCCTGCTGAGTTGCTAGGCATGGGAGAAAGACTTGGCAAGGTCAAGCCTGGTTTTGATGCCGATATCGTTGTCTGGGACTCCGATCCGTTGTCTCTTGGTGCTGCACCTCTTCAGGTCTGGATTGATGGTGCTCCTCAATTCAAGAATCCTGTGGAACTTAAGAAGCCTCTGACCTCTCCAATCAAGCCTGACCTTCTACTTGCAGAAGATCATGAGGAAGTCGAGTCGGACAAGGATGTCGTGTTCACTGGTGTTACGAACATTCGTATTCCTGGCTTGGCCTCATCTTCGGAGCTCAAGGGTCCTGCCACTGTAGTCGTGTCTCAAGGCAAGGTCGTTTGTGCTGGGTCTTGCGATGCAGAGGCACGCATTGCGACTAAGAGGAACGCTCGCACTATTGCTTTGCGTAATGGATACCTCACTCGACCACTTACCGCCTTCGGCTCTAATCTGGGTATGCAAGAGATCATGCAGCAGCCGCAGACCTACGATGGTCGTGTCAATGATAAGGTCTGGGCACGAGCAGTTGATGGCCTTCTTCTTGACGGCAAGAATCTCTTTGCAGCTTACCGTCATGGTGTCACCAGGGCTATCTCAGCACCAATTGCTTATGGTGGCGCAGGTATATCTCTTCGTGGTATCTCTGCCGGTTTCTTGACTGGCGCGAAGACTCCGATGAGTAAGGGTGCCATCTTTGCTGAGGAAGCAGCAGTACACTACGATCTCACTTTGAAAGCGAAGGGTGAAGCAAACCCGTCGATCTCAAGTTTGGTAGCCGACTTGCGTCACAAACTCCTCGAGGCAGTCCAAAACAACGAGACCATTGCTGATTCTTTCTCGGAGGCTGCATCTCTGAAGAAGGTTGTAGAAGGCAAATCCGCTCTTGTATTGAGTGTGCATAGCGCAGATGCCATTTCTGCTCTTCTCAGATTGAAGTCGACTGTAGAATCTGCCAGCAAGACTTCTCTCCGTCTGGTTGTCCTCGGGGCTGCTGAATCTCACCTCGTCGCCAAGGAACTCGCAGATGCAGAAGTCGCAGTTGTCCTGGCTCCATTGCTTCCCTGGGCACAATCTTGGGACCAACGCCGCTCACTTATGGGTGCTCCGCTCCACAACGGCACAGCTATTGATGTGCTTTTAGATGCAGGTGCTCGTGTCGCCATTGGTGTTGACGAGATTTGGGAGACTAGGGACTTGGGTCTTACTGCTGGTATTGCTCTCAAGAACAGTGAAGGTAGATTGACCGAGCAGCAAGCCTTAGACCTCGTCAGCACAAACTTCTACGACTTCTTGGGCTTGGAGATGCCGGATGCTGGAAGCGAGTTTGTGGTTTATGAAGGATCGCCGCTTGAGATTGGAGGAAGGGTTGTTGCTATCGCAGATGGGTCGGGTAAGACTGAGGTCTGGGTGTAGGAGTGTCGAAGAGGCAAAGGTATTTTTCCTCAGACAGTGTAGTATGCATAGGTAAGTAGACCTAGCAATGGAACACAATGCTCAGAGAGCAGAGCAACACGCTTGCTTATATTCCATTCAGTCCGAGCCATCACCATCAATCACATCAAAATTGATCACTGGTCTCGTGGTCTAGCGGTATGATACTCGCTTAGGGAGGTGCTTCGGCATCTTGAAAACTCTAAGCCGATTGCGAGTGGTCCCGGGTTCGATTCCCGGCGAGACCCTTTTTGCTCTTGAGACATTTTACAAAGGTCAGAAAAGAGAGCAGAAAGTGGTGGTGGTTTTTTGCAGAAAATTTGGTGCTGGTAGGGCTGAGTGAAGCTTGCAGACAGGGATTTATCCGCTATTTAGCCAGTTGACGGGATGCCGAGATTCCGATCACATGTGCAACCACGAGATCAACTGTGCCTGCCTGCTTAGGATGCGTATAGTGTAAACTTCCTCTCCATATGCTGAGAAACATGACTTCCACCGTACCTCGACTATAACTACGAGCAAGATGTGGACTATAACAAGAAACCCTTATCATTGGACAAAAGGCACATTGACAGAGACTCGATAACATATTGATCCTCATTTGGCAGTGCTATGTCAGCTGTCACAGACTCACGCTGCAATGCGCCTGACAACAAGCAGCTGCGTCCAAAGGATCAATCATTATATTAACTGAAATGAGTCAGCGATGCACGGGCTATGGTTTGCCTACGATCATTGTTCTTGTCCCTGTTTCTACCTTTGTTTCTTATACGACAATTGACAAGGTGCTTGAGGCAGCAAGAGCGCGACTACCTTACCTTGCAAACCAACAATGAAGCTCAGATCAGGACTGGTGACAGATCCTCCAGCGACCGCGCATACATCCCATTCAACGACTACACATACAGAGGCCCAACAACCAAGCAAGCCCGACAAGTCCATCAAAGAACGCACTTCCCCATTGCTCTCAGACATGGAATCCATCATAAACCTTCGCTGCGGCATAAAAAGCAACATCAAACACCCTCCACCTCTTGCCACTCGTTACACCCGCGAACATTTCTCAGCAGGTCTAATCTCAATAAATCAGCCCAAGTTCCTAACCACACTGCCCTACGAGCTCATCTACAGAACCTTAGGGTTTATGCAGCCAGAGGAGTATACAGGTTTCGCTTGTTGCTGTCGTCTCGCGCTTCAACTCACAAACAGCCAAGTGGAAGTTGAGCAGCCTGGTTTAGCTGCAAACTATTCTATGTTTGTTAGTTATACTGCTGTTTGTGCGGCAGTAAGGGAAGTCCAAGCTCGGCGAGAAGCTTTGGCTGTGTACCAAGAAATAGCGCATTGTTGCCCGGATATGCCTTTTCCTGACGAATATGATTCCGATTTGTGAAGATCGGACAACTCTGCCGGACATATCAGGGTTTACTTTGTGCTACTTCGAATCATCACAACACTCGCACTCACATTACTTGGGAGCAAACAACTGGACTCATGATGGTTACAGATAAAATACATTAGATATAAGAGATACGAGAAACCCGTCATCAAAGACACATCAACCCGATAAAGTCTTTGGCAAAACGCCCCAAACCTCCCAAGGGATACACTTAAGCAAGGTAAGTCTGGATCTCAACAACGGCAGGTCCAGCGACGGTGTTGTCATCGGTAACAACAGTGTCGTTAGTAGTCAAGATGGCGAACGACTCGCCAGCAGGGCCATAGAAGCTGACAGGGACTCTGGCAGTAATCATGCAGTCCTTGACGATAGCAGACGAGAACATGGTGCCAGTGGCCAGAGGGAAAGCAACGAACAGAGGACCAGCAGGGACCTTCATGTCGGCTGCGAGCTCGAAGGTGATGAATTCACCCTGCATGATGGGCATGGTCATGTTGCTGGCCAGGCTGAGCGAGGGGAAGGCCTTGACGGGCAAGGTAGGGTTGGAAGCAGGGCAAGACTTGATCAAAGTGGCGGCGAGCGAGTAAACCTGGTCAAAGTCGAGAGGGACGTCGAAGGGCTGGGGGAAGGGTGACATGTCGAGGTTGCCGCGGATGAAGGAGTCGTGGCGGGCTTCAACAGTCAAGATGCTACCGGCGGCGGTGAGGTAGTCCTTGTTGGTGATCAAGGCGGCGGCTCCGAGGTAGGCGCTGACACCAAGACCCTCGACGAGGGAAGCAGTAGCCATAATGCTCTGAGGAGTGAGGGTGCCAAAGTCGTATGTGCACTCTTGGACGGGTGTGACACCGGCCTTCAACAGGGCAGCAGTCAAGAAGTCGACGTGTGTCTGCTCATCACGAGCGATCTCTTGGAGGTTCTTGTAGAAGTTGGTGCTGTTGAAACCAGCGGCAGCAAAGTCTTGCTCAGAGAACTTGGCGATTGCCTCGCGGTAGAAGGTAGCTTCGAGGTGCTCAAGAGTCAATGCGTAGTTCAGGATGACACTGCGGATGATTAGTTGATGTTCATCGTGGCCTTGGAATGAGAGTCCTCACCCATCGATGTCGGAGCTCTGGCGCTTGACGAGAGCAGGTGCAGCAGAGGCTGCAGTGGCCAGGATGGCAGTGCTGATGATTGAGGCCTTCATTTTGAATTGAGAAAGATGTGCGAGGAAAGTTGAAGTTGAGTGTAGTAGAGAAGCTGTGAATGTGATTGATCTGAGTGACCCACAAGACGAGGGCGAGCTCCCGTTTATATAGCCATGCCCACGCTCTAGCAGTCCATAACATAACAGTGATCGACCTTTCCTTCAGAGAACCTCAAGCCGTTTTCCATAGCTCTTTGTCATTCTTGGGTCCAAGATGTTGTGACGGTGATAAGCCACCCACGCTTTTGTGTCTTGGAACGGGATGTGCCAGTATCGATTATTGGTTGGTTTCAGTTTTGAGGGTCATGCGGCCAATTTAACTTAAGGTAGTTCTTAAGGTTAAATGCGATCAGCAAACGGCGCATACAAAGTCGATGTGATCGGGTTTAGTGGCAGTTGTGCCAACCAAGAACCACGGATGATTGACTCAGATAAGATCGTATTTCGGATTGATCTTAATCCTGCGATTGGCCATGGGGCCTGGATGTCATGACTGGTCCGTTGTTGATGATTCGGTCTAGCACCAGCCAAGAAACGTTAAGGGTATTGTCTATTGTCGGACGAACGATGTGACGAAGAAGCTGGAGAATCTGATTGAATGCACCGGGTATATCGGTCGACGCGCCGGAATGTGAATCCGAAGCGTTGCGGGTAGGTGCATCAATAACTTCTGGAGCTCAGGATGAGAGAGCATACAGCTAGCTCTGCGACGCTCCCAGAGGGTAGAGTGCGACCCAGTCAAAAGTGGTCAAATTGGATTGTATGGATCTGCAGAGGCAGAGCTCCAGACTCGACGCTACACATGTCGTGGCATGATTTTGAGTTCTCCAAGCTTCCTTAGCCAAGGGTTCGAGGGGCTTGCTGTATACGAGCTACGAGCACACCGCTAGTAAACCTGCCTGGGCGGGCATATGACGATCGAATTTTGTTGCAAGACGAAAGAGGAACCAGCGGAGAGGAACGGGGAACGAGATACGCAGCGATTTTTGGTGGATGACAGCCCCCATGTCTTAGAGAAACCTCGACGGTGCAAACGGTCGAAGGAGTCTGTGCCTACCTCGGAGACTTTTCCAGACCCCAATGACGTGCCAATTCCCATGCTCAGCATCACAACTTCCTCTTTTGTCATTTCCTCATTCTTATTTCCACTATCAAATGTCACCTGCTTGCGTGGCCTGCACTTTTGGCTGACTCTGGCTCCGAGGACCTTCAGAAATATGAATTGGATTCCAGCTACCGTGCGCTTCACACCCTGGTTCTTAAACAGTCCCGATTCCTGCGGCTTAGCCGCTCGGTCAAGTTAGCTGCATGATCATGCGTCTGGTCTGCAGGCGGCCAAGCGATTGCGCCTGATTCGACCTGTACATTGGTGCCCAGACGAGATAAAGTGGGGGGATGCCCGCTTGGAGACTGAGCCAGCTGAAGAACCACGCATCCGCTCTGTATCGATATCCTTTACCCAGGAGAATTCGGTCACCATGTCAGACACCCAGCAGTATACAGTAGGCTGGATTTGCGCGATAGCAGCCGAATACACCGCAGCACTCCAATTTCTCGACGAGGAACACGATAATTCAGCTCATGTCTCCGCCGATGACAGAAACATCTATACCCTTGGCAAGATGTCGGGCCACAACGTTGTCATTGCTGTACTACCGGATGGCGAGTATGGACTGAGCAGTGCTGCAAGCCTCGCTAAAGACATGCTAAACAGCTTCCCCGATATCAGAATCGGCCTAATGGTCGGCATTGGTAGCGGCGCGCCAACAGCAAAGCATGACATACGACTCGGCGATATTGTTGTCAGCAACGGCATTCCTGGTGGTGTATATCAGTACGACTACGACAAGACTATCCAAGGACGAAGCTTCCAGCAGATCGGAGTCCTCAATCAGCCTCCGACAGAGGTGCGTATTGCGGTTAGTGCTCTAGAGAGCAGATACGTGCGTCGTGGACACCAGATCGACGCAAACATAACGGCTGTGCTTGACAAAAACCCCAGATTGCAACGAAAATACGGTCGACCGGATCAGAGGACTGATCGCCTCTATAAGCCTGACGTCGTCCATCCTCAAGACCGCGACCATAGCTGCGAGGAGGTGTGCGAACGTCAGGCCAGTGTCTTAGTCCAACGCCGTGAAAGGAGCGAAGACGACGACAACCCCGCCATCCATTATGGTGTCATCGCCTCTGCCAATCAGTCGATGAAAGATGCAACTATCAGGGACACCATAGCAAATGAGGAGGGCGTGATGTGCTTCGAGACGGAAGCGGCTGGCCTAATTGACCACATGCCATGCCTAATCGTCCGAGGCATTTGTGACTACTCGGACTCGCACGAGAACAAGGAGTGGCAAGGATATGCGGCGATGACAGCAGCGGCCTACACCAAGGACCTCCTTGCAGAGATGAAGCCGAGCAGGGTCGAGCAAGAGAAAAGGATCCGGAAAACGTTAGAATCAAGTAAGTAATGTGGTTGGTGGTGGAGAAATACACGGCCATCCTGACCAGCGACGAAGTACCACAGGACACGANGCCATATAAGTACCGATATCATGCAGTTGTTAGCTCGTGATCGATCGACGAACCACAACGATGAATTCATCCTGACCAGCGACAAAGTGGGCCATATCACCAAATGGTTGTCAGCTCCAGATCCATCAACGAACCACATCCGTGCATCAGAGAAACATCATTACGGCACCGGACTATGGTTCATTCACGGAGACGCATTCCAAGAATGGAAGAGACGGCCAGGATCGTTCCTCTGGCTGTACGGCATTCCTGGTTGTGGCAAGACGGTGCTTAGCTCCACCATCATAGAGCATCTGCAGAAGGACACGACCTGTCAGGAGCTGTTTTACTTCTACTTTGACTTTACCGATTTCAACAAACAGTCCCTCGACAGCTTGTTGCGTTCTCTTGTCTACCAGGTCTACCGTTCCCGGCCAGAAAGCCGGCAGCGTCTCGAAGAATTATGGGCTTTCTACGACCAAGGGGACCGACAAGCATCCACGAGCTCTTTACAAAATGAGCTACTAGCCATGCTAAGTGGAATTGACGATATATGTATCGTTCTAGATGCCCTGGACGAGTCAGTGTCCAGAAACGGAGTGCTTGCTTGGCTGAAGATGCTTATTAAAAGCACGCATTGTCGGATTCTGGTCACTTCCCGGAGGGAAGAAGACATTGAGTCAGCCCTTCAGTCTTGGACACGTGCTGAGCAAAGATTATTAATACCGCAGAATGAAGTGAACAAGGACATCAGTGTCTATGTCAAAGATCAAATACGCAATGGATATGAACTTGAAAGATGGCGTTCCCGACCAGATGTGCAAGATGAAATCGAGGCTACACTTGTAAATCGGGCCGACGGAATGTAAGTGCCCTAACAATTCGATACGTTGAGCCTAGAGCAAGCACAAGCAGGAGATGCTAAATGATAGACAGGTNTCCGTTGGGCTGCTTGTCAAATCGACGAACTAAGTGTGTGCCTTGACTGGCCAGCGATGAGTAGAGCACTAGCAAATTCACCGAAGACACTGGATGAAACGTACAGTCGAATCTTGGACAGCATTCCTGAGGCACACACACAGCATGCAACAACCATATTCAGAGTCCTGATGTGGTCTAAGAGACCTCTAAGGGCAGAGGAGATAGTAGATGTGATCGCGGTCAATATAGACGAGAAACCAGCTTTTGATCCACAAAACAGGCTACCAGTACCTCGGGAAATTCTACGACTATGCCGGGGCCTGGTAACGATCTCTCCAGTCGTTGATGTCACGGATAGCGAACATCGAGAGCAGAACTGGCAGTTTCAGCTTGCTCACTTTTCTGTCAGGGAATTCCTGACGTCCGATCATATCGACGCCAGATACCGACACTGTATGGATCAGTCATCTGCTAATGCGCACCTCGCAAAAATCTGTCTAGCATATCTGTCCATGTTGGCATCTCAAGGACTATCACTCTCGGAGATAAGGTCACGGTTTCCATTTGCCCAGTATTCTGCTAGATACTGGTCTGATCATGCGAGAGCAACAGAAGCCACGGATCACGACTTCTCGGTTGCTGTGAGGAGCTTCTTCGATCCGGGCAATGCTGTTTTCGCCATATGTTGCCGTTTGTTTGATCCAGATCGACCAGAACTGATTCCGAGTGACGATACCACGACTGGACTGCCTGATCCATTGTATGTTGCAAGTCTCCTAGGACTGGAACAGGCGGTCGAGACGCTGCTCCAGAACGGCCAAGATGTCAACGTCAAATGCGGTCGCTATGGGAATCCACTGCAGGCAGCCTCCTTTGCTGGACATTATGAAATCGTGCGAATACTGCTCGATAGAGGCGCCGTTGCTCCAGCTCGTGGTGGACAGTATGACAATGCACTACAGGCAGCCTCATTTGCTGGACATCATGAAATCGTGCGAATACTGCTCGATAGAGGCGCCGTTGTCACAGCTCGTGGTGGACAGTGTGGCAATGCACTTCATGCAGCTGCGTTCAATGGTTCATATAAGATAGTGCAGATGCTACTCTCCCACGGCGCCGATGTCGATGCTCGGGATGAAGGATGGACCCCGCTCAATCGCGCAGCTGATGAGGGGCATCTCGAGGTCGTGAGACTACTGATCGAGAGAGGTGCAAACACCGAGATCAGGAACAACATTGGACGAACTCCAATACATTCAGCAGCCGAAAAGAGCATCTTGAGATCATAGAGCTGCTGCTGGACAGTGGTGCAAAGATCAACGGTCATGGTACAGAACCCAGCGACGCAATCTGGGGAGCCTCGCAGAGAGGCCATGAGCAGATACTTCAGGTACAACATGCTCGCGCAAGTAGACACGAAGGTCACTCCAGTGTTGCAGATTCCGAGTTTCATGATTCAGGATACAGCTCGAATCAAACTCGGCCGATGGTCGAGGATCATAAAGACGTAGACTTGCAGCATATTGATGACGATCTGGAGTCTATTGCGACCGTGGAGACCGATATCCAGTCTTCCACAGAATCAATAGCCCTCTCGAACGTCAGAGAAGCTGCTGCTCGCGAGGTTGCCAGAGCTTTCATCGGAGACGACGAGATCTCCAAGCTCTACGACGAAGGTATCAAAAGAATGCAAGGCGCAAGGTTCATTGAGAACCACCGACGTCTGCTCAAGCTGTTCTATCTCGAAGCCACCAAAGATGCCGAGGTTGCATCTCATCATGTTGTCCTACGTTTCTTGCGATCCCGCATAGCGCGAATCCGGGTTTCAGCTCGGATAATTCAAGCCAAAGACCCTCTGAACGATGAATTAGAGCTGGCCGAGGATAGAGACCGATCACTGCAATTTATAGAAGATCATCTCACCCAGGCTGACAAAGAACGCAACACATCACACTGGACAGAGGCGCAGCAGAGTGATTTCCATGACCAGGAGGGTATTATCCCAGATCCTGGCGAGGATGCATCAGCCTCGCTTCCCCATGAAAGCTTGAGGTTGGATCTTCTAGCTATTGACCTGAATGATGATGAAGACTTTGATGACTTCGACGTTGACAATGAGGAAGAAGCCGGCCTACGCGTGGACGATATGCCTGCTTTGGGAAAGACGGCAGCGTTTCTGATGAATGGTCGAGCCTTCCAAATCTATAGAAACAACCTACAGCGATTTGTATATGGAAGGTCTCTAGCGCCGACGGCTTTTCAGCGTGCACTGAATGCCAGTGATCTTCCGACGGCCATCAAGCTGCTGGAAGACGAATTTGAGGCTGTCACTCAACCCAGATCAGCCTTCGAATGGATCAGGGAGCCGCTTGCGATGGGCTTCACGCCGACTGAAGTTGTCGAACTGATTATTGAAGAACGAGACGAAGCCCCATGGATACGATATGACTTGCCAGTGCTAGAGCTGCTTCCAATGGACATCGCATATCACCGACCAGGTTGTTTTCACAATCCAGATCCCAGTGTCAGCTCGCGGGACTCAGAAGATCGTACGCCTACGCTCGAGACAATCAGTCGTATCGTATCAGAGATGTGTGGCCTGGGTGGCGTGATTCCTCTCCTTAAAGCTCGTCATCTTTGGGACGGCCATGCCACCTTCAGTGCTGAAACGGCAAGAGTCAGTTATCAAGATGCAACTTCCACTGAACCAGTCTTGGAAGATGAGACTGGAAAGAAGCTTCTGAATCGCATTCGAGATGCCCTTGATCGGATCACTGTGCTCATTGCGTGGCTTCAGCAACACAATTTGATATGCGATCGCTTCGTGATAATCAAGGATGCTGCGAAAGGTGCGAGTGTTGAAGCTGTCAGTGTTCCATTGCGTGTCTTGGCCGAACTCAAGTCTAACCTGGAAGCATTGTCAACATCTTTCGACACGAGTACAGCTGATCAGATCCAAGTTTTGCTAATCAGGACCTCTCTAGGACTGTTGAGACTAGTCTGCGATGTTGGCTCTGGTAACTTGAATATCCCGGACAGTCTCGAACTTGCTCTCGACTCTGCTGCTCTGGCAGTGCAAGTCGTTTGCGTCGGCATGCTCTCATTCAGTCATGCACATTTAGGGAAGCTCGATCCGTTCTTCCTGATGCATAGTATCGATGCCATAGAGCTCAATGGAATCGATGGGCCTCTATCCAGCAGACTGTCGCTTGGCTTACGACTGAAAGATCTAAGTTGTGTTGGTGACATGCTCGGCGGTCCTGTCATGGTATTCACACGCGATAAGCAACCTGCAGCTGAAAGACATGATCTACTCACATCTTTGGAAAATCTCTTTGAGTTGTGGGGGCCAGGTAAGCTGCTTGTCGACCAGTCATCTCCTACAGGCAGAAATCTCTGTGGCGCTGTCATAGGAGGCGGCTTGGTATTTCAACCATCAACCCATACCTCAATCTTCCATTGGAGTCAAGGAGCGCCAGAAGACGTACAAAGTTTGACCCATGGAAGGAGATTCGGTGTTGACGATGTCATTGCTATTGGAGCTTTCTCTGTCAATCAAGGCTGTCCTTTCAGTCAAACGTGTGATACGATTCTCCCGAGGCTAGACACAACCACTCAACCCCGTACCTTAGGGACGTTTCCCGAACACTGGGATCTTGAAGAAATACAACTTGGACTTTCAGGGGGCTTTTATGCAATGCTTGCTCTCAATTCCACATGGATCAAGAAAGCTGGAAGAACTAAAAAGCGCCAAATCTTTGAAAATGAGTGGGATCTTAACACGCTTGAAGCACCATTGGGTCTGCTGATTAGCGTCTGCACTGGAGTGGCGCAACGGGTGCCTCTACGCGAGGTTATAGGTGAAGTTATGCCGGCAATGGTAGCAGCCATGAGAAAAAGACCTGTCGAATGGGATCAACTAGTTGCTCAAGGGCACGACATTGCTAATGAATACAAGAAATCGACGTTTCGGGTCTGGTACAATGCCCTGCAGCCACCGCAGCGCAACGCGCTTGATCGGGTCGCAAACTATGTTTTCAAGAGGATTTGCTGGACGGGTGTTAATCATGAAGAAAAGCTGGTAGTGGCTTGCCCTTCTGCTGGAGATGCTTGTGGCTGCATCCATATGCCTCGTGAGCAAAATCTGCCGCTGGCAAGTATATTGAAGGACTCGGACCAATGCGCAACATTCGCTTGCACCACAGCGAGATGCATCGAGACTGACAGACACAAGTGTCGAAACTCCAACCACCCCAAATGGCAGAACAAGGCTCCACTTCTTATAACATCTGTTTGTCAGTATCAGCGATCAAACCCCGAGGAATGGACAAGATTACCCCAACAAAGACTGCAAGATGGCAGACAATACTGGATGGGAAGAGTTGGTGACCATCGAAAATTTGTGGCTGGCGTCCGTCGGAATCCTGGCTCTCCAGCACTTTTAACGCTTTCTGATAGCCTGTGTCGTGGTAGCTTTTTACGGTTGGCTTTGGAACGTGCGGAGCGCATGAGGAAGTCTTGCTGCATTAGACTCCTTGAGAAGAATCTGAGTGATGATGTGGACGCTGAAGAAGTGTTTGTGCTGAGCAGTGCATGACAATACGTCTTCGCCTCGTTTGCACTGCAAGCACTCATGTACTCTTTGTTGTCTCTTTAGCGCTTAGTCCCAATTTTCCAGTTCGGCGATGATGTTGCCAGAGCTTTAGCAAATGGTGAGGTTGTATGCAAACACACTTTCAAGCGAAACGAAAAATGTGAAAACAGTATGTATGATAAGAACATTTACACATGGATATCTCTCTTTCTCTCATGAACTCTTCAAACCCGAAAAGCAAACTCCCAGCCCTTTCAACACCCAGCAAGAACAACCAAACCCATAATCCAAATGGAAAGGGAGATAAACATCCAAAGACATGAGACCCAATTGACAATACGAGAAGAACACCTTTAGGCTGCGAGGGGGGTAAGGAAGGCAACCTTCTCTTACTTCAGATCCCCCTGGCGTGAGCACCTGAACCACCGACGTACCATCCGAAAATCTTGTCTTGAAGATCTTGTTGGCATTCTGGAACATGCCGTCCTTCAAACTGACAACAATGAACTGACTGCCCTTGAACCTCGTCTTGATCAAGCGACCAATATTTTGTGTGTGCGAAAGATCCAACGCAGCATCGACTTCGTCAAGAATATACATGGGTGCAGGTGAGTACTGCAGGAGAGCAAGGATGAGCGACAGAGCAATGAGCGAACGCTGGCCACCGGAAAGCTCGGTAAGGGATTGTTTCCACACTTTGCCCAGGCAGACTTTGACTTCCAAACCTTTGGAGATGTCGCCGCTGTCCTCTGGTGGGTCGAGTTTTGCTGTGTTGCCGCCTGGTAGCAGTTCGTTGAAGATGTTGCCGAAATCGACGTTGACTTTGCTCCATGTCTTGTGCAGGGCTTCTTTCTTGTACTCGTCCAGTTGAGCAATGGTTTCTTCAATCTTCTTCTTGTCACGGATGACTGTGCGCATCATGTTCTTCAGAGATGCTTCCTTCTTCTCAACGCTGTCGATCATGTTCATGACCTTGGGGTTGATCTTCTTCTTCATGCCTTGAAAGCGTTCACTTAGACCAGCAAGCGAGCGTTTGCTCTCGGCCATGTTCATACCGTTGAAGTCGTACGGAGTATTGGGTCGACCGAAAGACTCGACTTCGTCGGCGATCCACTCGTGTTCTTTNTCCATGGTCTGTAGCGTTTGGCGAGCCGCTTGCTGTTGCTTTGAGAAGTTATCAATCTGGTGACCAAGCTTCTGTGCCTCAAGCGCTTCCTCCGTGATTTGTGCGGATTTGGATCGTGAGGCTGCTTCGAGGTCCGCAAGCTCGGTATCGTAGCCAGAAAGCTTCTTGCGCTCATCATCTAATTGTGCTTGAGCGTAGTCGTGTGCGTTCTTGACAGCTTGACCCTCCGTCATCAATGACTTCAGCTCCTCTTGTTGCGTCTTGAGGTTAACTTCTGCATCCTGGAACTGCTCTTGAGCGGCTGCAAGGTCACTGCCACATTGCTCCGCCTCGAGCATGGCGTCTCTCACTTCTTGCTGCAACGGCCTGATAGAAGCAGAGTTCTTGCTCAGCGACTTCTTGAGCTTGTCAAGCGCTGTTTGTAGCTCAACAAGCTTGCTGTCCTTGTTATTGTTGAAGTCATGCATATCCTTTTCGATGCGTTTAACCTCTTTAGCTGCCTCGTCTTGACGTGCTTTGGCCTCGATAATACTTTGTTTGAGGTCAACAATACCAGCTTTGGTGTCGGCAATGGCTTGAATGATCTGTGTGTCCATGTCAGTCTAGAGTTTATGATCGCTATGCACATGACGACCTACCGAGGATGACGAGTTGCCGTTGATTTGCTGCTCGGCGAGCGATATCTCGTGGCTCTTGAGATCAAACTGCTGCTTCAAGTTTCTCGCGGCATCGAGTTTCTGCTTCTCTTGTGCCATGGTTGATTGCAGTTGATGCAGAGTCGCCTGTCTTGTGTCGAGTTCTCGTGTGATCTCGTTCAATTGCTGTAGAGTGACCAGTACACCACTCGTCTTCGGTGAGCTACCACCAGAAAGAGTACCAGAAGGATCGTAGACATCACCCTCCAATGTGACACTCTTCATGCGAACAGCAGGATCGAACGTAACCTTNTTGGCAGTTGCAGCGTCCTCACAAATCAATGTGTTTCCGAAAACGTACTCCATTGCAGCATTGACCTCTTCCTCATATCCGATGAGGTTAAGTGCAAGGTCGCATTTGTTGTTCGACATGTTTCTGGCAGCACCAATTTTCNNTGTAATCAGTTAGTATCATCTTTCCACAAAGCATACACAGTTCAGAATTACCTCAGAAGCAGCGCGGAAGGCAGAAATCTTGTTTAAGGGAATGATCGTCACTCTCTTCTTCAACTTGCCGTTCTGCAGTAGCTGTGTACCAGTTTGAGCTGTGTCAACCACAACGTTGTACAGGCGACCTCCAGCGCAAATTTCCAGAGCTGTTCCTGCTTGCGTGAAGTTTTTGTCGAGATTGAACAGCTGTGCCACCAAACCCTTGACCTTTGAACGATCAAAATTAGGTGTCGGGTCACTGTAGCTGAAGTCGATGTTCGCTACTCTTCTCTTGAGACCGTCGGCCTGCTCTTTCAATTCACGGATACGTTGTTGTAGCTGCGATTGTTCTTTGTGCATAGCCTCTTCACGGCCAGGTTCAAAGCCGATCTTTGCAAGCTGAGCTTCCAGCTCTTTNGCCTGAGAACGAAGGCCATCGAGTGATTTTAGTAAGCCAGCGTTCTCCTTTTCTGCCTTTTTCGCGCGAGGCTCATCTTCCTTGAGACGTTTCTCCAGATGCGAGATCTTGAGCTTTGCTTGCTCTTGTTCGGTTGAGGCGGCACTTAGTCGGCTCCTGGCGTCCTGAAGTTGACCTTGGTATCCACCTTCCTGACCTTCCTTGGATGCGACACCTGTTTGTAATGTCTGAAGAAGTTCCTCTTTCTGCTCGACCTCGGCTGTTTGCTTCTGAAGCTCGGCGTTGGCTGCATCGTAACGTTCCTGGAGTTGCTTGTGTAGTTGAGACTTTTGTTCAAGTTGTTTGCTCAAATCTTGCACGGTCGCTTGACTCTTTTCGCGGTTTTCGCTCTCCTCGGCCATGCTTGACTTCTTGAGATCCAAGACTGTGGTCAATCTGACCAACTCATGAGAGTGTTCCTTGACCTTGTCCTCCAGAGCTTGGAATTTACCACCTTTCCTCAGTTCCTTGTCTCTTGCAGCTTTGACCTTGTCCATATCTTCTTGCAGGAAGGCGATCTCATTCTTCAGCTTCTCGGCATTACCCTCGAGGAACATGGCTCTCTGTCTCTTGTCGTTGAGATCCTTTTCGCTCATGCGAAGCTTCTCCTTGCTCTTGAGATAATCATATGCCACAACAAGTCGTGTCAAGCGCTCCAGATCATTTTGCGTCTGTTGAAAGTCAAGGAAAGTTCGTTTTTCTTGTCGTAGTTTGTCCAGCTTCGGCTCAATCTCGTCTCGTAGGAGCTCCATGATCTCTTGAACCTTCATTTCCTTCTTTGCCATGGTACGGAAAGCCTTGTCTCTGCGGTCCTCGAACATACGTGTGCCTGCAGCCTCCTCGACCATTCCAAGAATCTCCTCCTTCTTCATGTTCAGGACTTTGGTAATACGACCCTGCATAATCAAGAAATTGGGATTGTTGATGTTGAGTTGAACGGATTGGAACAGGTTCTGGACGGTGGTTTGCTGAGCGCGGTGGCCATTGATGAGGTACTTAGACGTGCCGCCGAGGACGATTTGACGAGTGACGGAGATGGTAGGGTAGTCTTCGAAACCGATGGGCGACTTTGCCTTGTCCTTGTTGTCAAAGACGATGGTCACTGAGGCTTTGGTAACACCGGCCTGGCCGCGCTTGTAGATGAGGTCCTGCAAGTTCTGGGCGCGGACGGTCGTCATGTTGGTGATACCGAGAACGAAACATATCGAATCGAGGATGTTGGACTTGCCACTTCCGTTCAGACCGGTGATTGAGTTGAAGCTCTCGTCCNNCTTTGCGCAAGTCAGTCGTCTGTCAGTACAGAGAGCGCAGGTGGTTACGCACCAGCCAGAGATGACGGTGCGCACGGCATACGACTTGAAGCCGTCGATGATGACTTCGGTCACCCTCATCTTGTCGTTACTGGCGCTGGGCCACTGCGTGTGTTGGGTCTGGTCGTCAAGAGTGTTTTCCCCGACGGCTTGTTTACGATCACTTTGTTTACCACCGACGCCCGACGGGCAGCTGCAGCCGACCGAACCCCTCCCGAAGCTTCATCACATGCCAAACATGCAATTAATTCAAAAGAAAAAAAGAACAAATGTAGCATTCACGCTGGTGACTGTCTGCTTTAATTGATCGCACTCCATTACTCCTCAGCAACCAAGTTCTGTCCCTCACGCAGACCCTCGACCACCAACTCGTGGCCCTCTGCTCTTCGGTAGATGTCACGGATGTCGTCTGTNGCAGTCGTGTCAGTATACATATGCCTGAGATTCTCAGATTTCGTCTTACCTGTGGTGGTCTCGAAGTGACTGGTTGCGTCGTAGCTTCGCGAGATGAAGATGTTGTCATTCTCTCCGCTCTCAAGAGGCTCGTAAATGGGAATAGGAGGTCCCATGAACTTCTCCTCGATCTTGCCGAGGCGGTCGAATCCAGCCTGCAACTCGAGGTGGTGGTTGCTATCACCCTCGGCAATGGTTGAGACAATTGCAATGTAGTAGCCCTTGGGAGCAACGTTGTGTGCCCACGAGACCATGGCAACGTACACATCTGTCACNTTGTCAGCTCTGTCATTGACTAACCATAGCTCCCATGTCAACTTACCGTGCTTTCTGCCAATCTGCGATTGAGGGATGATAAGCTGGACAGAGTCCGAGTTGTCTGTCTTTTCGATGGGGTGGTTCAGAATGCAAATGGCCTTCAACAGGTGACCGACGGGCTTGACCTTCTGGGGGAAGTACGAGGGATCTGCCAGGATCTTGCTGCACTTTGTTGTGAAGGTCATGCCCTCGCCCTCTGCATCGCGCTCCTTCATGGTTGCCTTGATACCAACAGCCTTGCCGTTCTCGTAGAGCACTTCGTCGACATCAGTGTTGAGCATGTAGGTACCGCCGTAGATGGCACTAAGACGAGCGAAGCCCTGGGGAAGTTCGCCCAGACCGTACAGAGGGTAGATGTAGGGTGACTTTCCATATCTGGCCATCGAGTTGACGTAGAGTCTGATGCGCTCGATGGCGTCCTTAGCGGCACCCTTCTGGTTGATGTAGTCGTCGGTTGTGAACAGAGCCATGCTGTGACCGATGAAATCTCTTGTTGAAGCCTCGAGACCGAATTTGTCGTAGACCTCCTTCATGGTGGATTGGTTCAGGTTCATGCCTNNATCCCGGATGTCAGTTTGCGCTCCAGCCCATCAGACATGTTGCGACGCACCATTGTGAGTGGCAGGATCCTCCNNCTCTTTGTATGCGCCAACGAACTCCAGGAACTTCTTTGCTCTTCTCTTCTCAAACAGACCCATCAGAGGGNNACTGCGGAGAGCCTCCGAGGCATCCGAGGGAACCTTTGCGACGTTGGCCTTGCTTCCGGCGCCGGTCTGGACATAACTGCCAGCGATCTGCTTGAACTCGAGGTATCTGGTAACATCGGTCGAGACGAGAATGTTGGTGAGTTCTCCATTCGACATGAGGAGCTTGGGAACAAGGTCGATGTTCCAGTCGTTGGGGCGGCCGTACTTCTTCCATGGCTCGCTGCCGTTGTCGTTGCCGTACTTCTTGAAGAGNCTGCGAATAGAAAATAAGTCAAGTGTAGTGGAAGCAGGTCGGAGGAGTCATACGGCTTCGATGTTGATGGATGCAGCCTCANNCTGCGCAGCGGTTAGCATGGTGTTCTCGAGGAAGAAGAGGAGGGGTACGCACCCGCCGTAGTGGTCGTTGCGGTCGATGTGCAGGACCTTCTTGCCCTTGACACTCAGCACACTGTGGGACAGTTAGATTGTCTTCTCGCATCACACTGCTCAAGGCTTCTCACCCNNAGAAAGCACACATTCAGTAAGACCTNNTCATGGCCACGATTAGCTCTCTTGACCGCTACAGGACGAGTGCGGGGTTACAATACCTGTGCCAAGCACAACGACATCGTACTCGGGGGCGATGTCCTCCATGTTTGTGTATGAGAGGGGTGGATCAAAGACTACAGTGTTTGCGAAAAGAAACAAGATGACCGGGCGGTAAATGGTGGTAGAGAAGTTGTCTGGAAGGGAGCGAGGCGGGAAGCTCGTCCGAGTGACGTTGGTTTGTTTCGTGAGATTAACAGGGGCTTGGCCAAAGCCTCCGCCTGCAATAAACTACTGCCATTTATTTGACCATTATATTGACTTTTGGTTCCTTTCATTTTCCTGCAAATTTTATTGTACAACTTTGTCATAATACACTCGGTTAAGATATAGATAAAGGGGATGCGTCCTACACCCGCGTCTCTTGCTGTGCCTTGGTCTGCTCGGGCATAACTTGTGATTGAGCGTCTGGTAGAGGCAGCTGCTCGTCTTGCTGTGTTGATTGAGGCTCGTCGTACTCCTGCACAAACAAAGTCAGTTTCATGTCACCAGAATAATATGTTGCGCAACGTACCAAGAATTCCACTTGCTCGGGCGTGTACGATGGCTCGCCTTCAGCAGGGAATAGGTTGACGCTGGGGTCAGACTCAGCAAGCATGCGAGCATCTTCCCAAGCGTACCAGCGCTCAGTTAGAACGTGCTTGATTGCTCTTTGGGTGAGTTTGACNCTTGAAGGCGTTAGAGAGCTTGTACTTGTTTGAGGACATGGTCAACCTACCTGATATTCTCTTTCTTCGGACTCGTAATCACCATAACCTGCCTTTGCTTTTTGTCTTGCATATCTTTCGGTCGAAAGCCTGTTCCTTTCCCTTNNGACACAAACCCACCACAACTTGTGCAAATCTTCAAAGTCCTTCGCTCTCAGCTCAACAATAGTCCATGCTCGGCCGTGGCTGTTGTCATATTCGGGGGTTGCAAAGGGATATCTGTCGCGATTGAAGAAACCCCATAGACCATGGTCGGGATCTACGTCGACTTGGGAACGCTGTTTGCTATCGGTAACAGGCTTGGGCAGGTCCTCGGGCTTGACAGAGAGGGTCTGGCGAGGGCGGAGACCAGTGCGACGAAGGGCAGATACACCTCTGTTTCTGTTGCCGTCACGACGAGCACATGCCGGGGTCGTTGTCGAGAATGAAGAGGTGAAGAGAGATGGGAGGAGGAAGGTCGGTGGTAGGGTCGATTGGCGGATGTGCAGTCCCTGCGAGAAGAGTCTGCTCGGGACAGACATTGTGNNAAGTTGTGTAAGAGGCGGTTGTGACAGACCGAGGACTTGACGACGAGTATAGGCCCTTNNGTCGCGAACTGCAGGCGATGGATTAACATTTCCAGCCAGCGCTCTGCACGCCAAGTCTGCGGTTTGGTGGCCCTTGCACCTTCCTCCTCCTCCGCTAACTGCCCTCCGCCGACTCCCCATCCCGGTCCAGGTCCATATGCTCAAGATCAATGATGGTTTAAATGATACAGTCAGTCTATTGTCATTTCAGAGAAATCACCGTTTATACGTAAGAGCAATATAAGTCATCATTGATATCTAAGTCCAGCGAATAGCTTTCACGAACTATCATTGTCTGTGAATCTCATTGGAACAGAACAAGCAAACAAGAGGACCGAGACATGGATAGATAAGAGGCCGCATCTCTTGGAGAGCAGAACATAAATGCAAGGCAACAAGGCAAATACAAATAGACATGTGATTAAAGAAGCACAAGATTGACTTTGATGTTTGCGGTGCACATGGCGACCAACCACATGCGGACAGTGGACAGGGCAGCAGTGGGGTTCGTTCGCAGCTGCCGCCGCGAGCCTCCAGCTCCTCACTCTGCGTCGTCCTTCGCTCATCCTGCCCTTCCATCTTGTCTCGCCAAATCCTCTCTCCCTCTCTGTGCGCCTCGTTCCTCTCGGTCCGCCCTTTCCTCCTCACTCCTCCTCCTCCTTCCTTGTACGCGAATTCTCAATCGTCGTCCACCTTCTCGATCGCGCCTGCTAATCGAGTATCCAAACAGTCGCACCTCCTCACGAGGCCGCCTTCTTCCACATCTCGACCTTCTCGTCACCCCACCTCACCTCACCAACACTCATCATCCCACGTCTTGTCTTCGAATCGCCTAGCACCTCGTGACTCGTCATTCATCGCTCGACCTCTATATCAACATGTCAGACGAACAGCACATTGATGCCGCCCTCGACGGTCTCCACCTCGAAAACAACAACGAAGATGCCCCTCCTCGCACCGATGACGAATATGCCCTTGCTCAGCTTACTCTGAGAGCTATCGTCTCCTCTAAGGAAGCAGGCGTCATCATTGGAAAAGCTGGCCAAAACGTCGCCGAGCTCCGCGACAAGACTGGTGTCCGCGCCGGCGTCAGCAAGGTCGTCCCTGGTGTTCACGACCGCGTCCTGACTGTCCTCGGCCCCTTGGATGCCGTCGCTTCCGCCTACGGTCACGTTGCCGATGGCTTGCTCAAGGGCGTTCCCCAGCTCGGCATGGGCGGTGTTGCCTCTAACCCCAACACTCACCGTACGTCGCATTACTCCCTCTCCACCTCCCCTACTAATCCCCGTCTAGCTGTCCGCCTCCTCATCTCGCACAACCAGATGGGTACCATCATCGGTCGCCAAGGTCTCAAGATCAAGCAAATCCAGGACGCTTCTGGTGTTCGTATGGTCGCCCAAAAGGAAATGCTCCCCCAGTCAACCGAGCGCATTGTTGAAATTCAAGGCACACCTGACGGTATCCAGAAGGCTGTTTGGGAGATTGGCAAGTGCCTGGTCGACGACGAACAGCGTGGCTACGGTACTATCCTCTACAATCCTGCCGTCAGAGTCTCTGGTGGTGCTGGTGGTGCCCCTGCTAGCAACGGCTCTTCGTACCCCTCTGGTGGCCGCTCCTACAACCGCACTGGCAACGGCACTGACTTCAGCGATGCCCCTGCCGCCTACACCCGCCGCGACTCTGCTCCCCGCGCTCCCGCACCTATCGCTGCCGAAGATGATGAGGACATTCAAACCCAGAACATCAGCATTCCTGCCGACATGGTTGGTTGCATCATCGGTCGCGGAGGTAGCAAGATCTCCGAGATCCGCAAGAGTTCCGGCGCTCGTATCTCCATTGCTAAGGCCNCCCACGACGAATCTGGCGAAAGGATGTTCACTATTACTGGATCCTCGAGTGCCAACGAGAAGGCCCTTNACCTGCTTTACGAGAACCTCGAAGCCGAGAAGATGAGAAGAAGCCAGATGCCTCCTCAGGATGCTTAGTTCGCCCACGTCTCGGCACCTGCGCATGCTTGATTTGTTCTCTTGAGAGACTCGCTGTCTTGTGTCTTTCCAGAAAAGTTTCTTTTCGGTCACATCATCTTGCGCCCTTGTCCTCTATCGCCCATGGTTGCTCGCCACGACAACTAATATCTCAATCCTCGCTACTTTTTCTTACCTTTCTTAACTCCGACGTCCCTTGTACGTGGCCGCTTCTTCCTTCTCTCGAGGGTGCACCAGTCACTGCCTCATCCGATGACGATTTGACGAAATTCGCTTTTTCTTCTTTTGACTGCAACCACACAAGCATTTCTGTCTTGCCTAGCCAATCCGAATCCTTCCTTGCTCCTCGCCAGATGTAAACATTGTCCGAGGTCCAGAGGGTTCGAGGAATGGCTTGGGTGTGTACTAGGGATGTTCTTGTTCTTTTCATTCTCCTTTTTTCTGCATGCGGAGGCGATTGCTTCGATCATAGCTCGATACCATTTCTATACTTTCATGTAGAAAAGTCATTCCCCAATGAGGGAAAAGTGCTACATTCACATTATACTTGACAGATGTGTGTTCTGGTAATGCCCTTTATGACGCAAGTCTTTAGATCAATCTTCTCAAGCAATAAGCCTGACTGCACGTCGCCCTACAAACATTAAGGAAAGCAACACAACCAACGAGTCTCTCCCTACGACGATGCGGTTATTGTTTCCGATCTTTCATGCTACGTGTTCCTCGTATGTTCACCTTCTTTTCTACACAAGTGCTACTTTGATCTCATTGACGCCGCTTATCACAATGCTGCTGAGGTCGCTTCACATAAGGGACCTCGCGATTTTCACAACTTTTGTATCTAGCACACCACAACTTACTTCTACGCGTATCAAAAGAACACAGCACATAGATTGGATAAATATCCTCGCTAAAGGATGTTTAGAGATATGTATTTATCAATGTTGCGATTGTTTTATGAGGAAACAGTGTTTGAAGTGGTTGATAAAGGTATAACCCTGTCATACAAAGATTTCAGTGTTAACAGCAAAACCCAATCAGCGGGCTCTCATTGAAACCTCACTGTACATAACAACAAACTCGAGAACACAGTTTATACAGAGAGAAAGCTTTACAGAAGCATCCACAATACTACAAACATGAACAAGGAACAACACGAATACATGTAGTTTCACAAAACCTTTGGGAATAGTGATACGAGAAAACAAACTACATACAAAACAACAAAGTATTACTCTACTAATCCAAGACACGACCGGCGGTGGTCGAAGTACTTCTATCTTTGGTGACCGTCTTCTTAAGTCCCTTGCCCAGCTGGATCTCTCCCAAAAGGCCGGAAATGTTAGGCTTAGCACCACCTCCGGCTGCGGGAGCCGAAGGCATGGGAGGAGGTGGAGGTGCACCGCCTGTAGGCATAGGGGGTGGTGGAGGAGCGCCGCCAGTAGGCATCGGGGGAGGAGGTGGTGCGCCAGTCGAAGGCATTGGTGGCGGCGGTGGAGGAGCAGGTGGCACAACACCACCTTCCGGCATGGGTGGTGGAGCTGGCACGTCGGGTGTTGGTGGAGGAAGCGGTGGCAAGGTTGCTGGAGGTACAGGTGAGGCAGAAGCGGGCGAGCCGGTCTCCATGGCTGATAGCGGGCGTGGTGGCGCCATAGTTCCGAAGAGCATTGAGGCGAGTTGTTTGGCGCTGCCACCGGTAGGGCCATCGTCGTCCTCGTCGGAGGACTCCGAGTCGACGACAGACCAGTCATCGTCATCTGCTGGCTTGGCAGTGCGACGAGCTGATGGTGCAGCAGGCTCGGGCATGGCGGTCTTGTTGGTATCTTGCTGAGTGAAACGGTGGAAGGGGTTGGTTGAAGCGGCGTCAGCGGCAGCAGGTGATGAGATAGGCGCAGAAGGAGCTGCGGGCTGGTTCATGCTCTTGAAGAATGGATTCTTCGATTCCTCTGGAGGGCTGATCACCGTGGTGGGTACTGGTGGAGGAGCAGGAGCGCTCGGAGGTGCAGGAGCAGCTTCTACCGGAGGTGCGGGAGACACTTCCCTTGGCAGCTCCTGGCTAGCAGCGGGTGTGCTTTCCATGGGAGTAATGGTCTGGGGTCCATCTTCGTCGTCCGAGCTGTCGTCGTTCATGCTCTCAAGCTGCAGCTGTAGTTGTCGCTCTCTTTCTCTAGCAGCTTCAATCTCAGCACGTTGAGCGGCAAGACGAGCTTCCTTCTCTTCAGCCTCCTTTGAAGCTGCTTGTCTCTTTTTCTTCTCCTCTGCCTTCTTGAGTTTGCCCTGGCGGACTTGCTCTTCGAGTGCACGAAGACGTTCAGCAGCAGCCTCACGCTCTTTGCGGAGCTCTTCTTCCTGTCGACGCTCCTCATCCTCGAGTTCCTTGGTCTCCGATGCTTGAGCTGATTGTTGTTCTTTGATGGCCTGCTCCATTTGCTGCTGCTCGAATCTCTGAGCCTCGGCCTTGGCTTGTTGCTCTTCCTGCTTGCCAACAGAGTCGCCACGGTTCTTGCGAGGTGCAGGAGCGGGAGGGGCTTTCTTTCCGAGAGACTTCTCAGGCGTAGGAGGTGCGATACTTTCACCAGCCAGTCTCTGTTGTCTCTCTTCTTCTCTACGTGCATCTTCCTGTTCTGCCTGGCGCAATCGATCTTCACGTTCCTTACGCTCACGCTCTTGACGTTGCTGTGCAGACTCGGCAGGCTTAGTGGGTGCTTTCAAACCCAATGCAGCAAGACGTTCAGCCATGCGTTGCCCAGCTTGTTGTTTGATAAAGGCCGCGCGATCCTCTGCGGTCTTGTAAGTGTTGTAAGAACCTCCACGAGGTGTCTCGCTTCTAGGAGCAGGGCTCTCGACACGGGCGCTACCGCTACGGCTGGCCTCTTCAGCGCGCGGCGAAGCAACACGGTCACGAGTGTTAGAAGTNCCTGTAGAGGGTTAGAATAGCCACATAAAGCACGATCTATCAACTTACTCGTCCTTGCGAATACGAGCAGTTCTGCTGCTTCTTTGCATGTCGAAAATGAAATCCTTGACCTCGTCCTCAACACCAAGACCATCTTCCCATCTTCTTCTCTCATGCTCGGTCGCAGCATCCTCAACACCTTCTTTCAGACTAGACTCGATGGTTCTGCTGAATTCAGTGACAGAGTCCTCGACATCGCGTACCATTCTCTCATTCTCTTCTCTTTCGAGACGGACACGATTACTCTCATCTTCCAATCTCTTGGCAGCACCGGCGCCGTCATCACTCGAAGCACCAGCGGGAGCAGGTTTGCCTGTGAGCGCGGCAGAACGAGCTTGCATCATTGCCCTGGCTCTTGCCTTGAGACGATCAGACTCAGTCACAGCACCTCCAGGTCCAGTACCGACGATGGCAGGAGCCGAGCTGGGGTTGGCCTTAGCATCTTTGAGGCGGAACAATTCCAGTTGAGCATCTGCAATGGCTCTCTCGCAGCGTCGAACGTGAGAAGCCAATTCCGGCAGGCGATCGGATAACGTTTGAAGCTGTCTCTTAAGCGCTCTACGTTCAGCATCCGAGTCGGTAGTACGGAATCCAGAATTTGGGTGTCCATCGATATCTTCTTGAATGCGACGAATGCGTCTGTAAAGCTCATCTGCTTCCTTGCGGTCCTTGCGATCGAGAGCATCCTCCTCGTCGGCTCTACCCTCGTCCTCAAAGTCCATGGCATCAAGGAGAACCTGTTTCTCACGAATAGCCTTCTTCAATTGATCAACCGACATCTCCTCTACAGGCTTCTCCTGAGCAGGAGATGCAGTACGACCAGGATCACCTGTGCGACGACGTGCAGATGAGCGGTAACCAACGTCCTCATCGTTGTTCTTATAAACGGTGGCATCCTTGCGAGGTCCAGCAATGCTTGCACCTGCACCTGCGAAAGAGTGGTTCTTGAGGTAGCTGACACCGGTCTTTTGAGGCTGCAAGAATGCGCCAGTGCTTCTTCTTGATTGTGCATCTTGTGAGAGATGCGATTTCATGGTTCCAATGGCATCATTGAGGTTTCTAGTAGAAGGAGGCACAAGCTCAGCAGGAAGCTTGGCTGGTACAGGATAACCGTTCAATCTGCGGTAGATCAAATGCATAGCCACCGCAAACTCATCAAGATTGAGTTTACCCCTGTTGTGAGGGTCTGACAAGGTCCAGATGCGCTCAAGGTCGTCTTTCTCGAGACCACTCTGACCGAAGATCTCAATCGCTGTGGCACCGCTGATTGCGCCCTTGCTCAAACCATCCCAAGCCTTGAACATGTCATCATAGATCTTCTTCTCATCCTTGGTGATGGCCCATGGGACTGTGGCATTACCACGAAGACCGGCAGTGCTGAAACCAGTCTCGCGACCAGGTTGAGGCATCATTTGTTGTTGAAGAGCTTGCAGGTTGGGTAGACCAGAGGCAGGGGCGTTGACAAGACCCCACTGACCAGGACGACCAGTAGGCTGAGCATTCAAAGGTGCAATGGGGAAACCAGTGGGTTGTGGCGACAAGCCTTGACCAAAGCCAGTCGGCATGGGAGGCATAGGAGGACGAGGACCAGTGTATCCTGTGGATTGAGGTTGGAAGCCAGTCTGCTGAGGCTGTAGGCCAGTAGGCTGAGATTGGAAGGGCTGCGACTGGAAGCCAGTTTGTTGAGGCTGGAAGCCTGTAGGTTGAGGGTTCAATTGCGACAGAAGCTGGCTGTTCGAAGCTTGAGGTTGAGGTGCCTGGATAGTGGGGACATCGGGGAAGCTTGGCGCATTGGTGGAAGGCTGCGAGGCGGGTTGTGCATCGGCAACACCGAAGGAAATGATATCGACCATGCTAGAGACCTCGTTGACGACTCTTTCAGGAAGCTGAGCAGGGAGGTCCTTTCCAGTGAGCTTCAGGTTACATAGGTACATGGCCAAGGCAAACTCTGGGAAGAGCAATTGACCAGACTTTGTGGTATCCGAGAGCATCCAAATCTGGGACAAGGCATCGCCTGGGAGTTTTGAACGAAGGAGAAGGTCCTTGGCCTTGTCACCAGAGAGAGCCTGGTCATTGCCAACGGCAGACTTGAAGAGCTGCTCGAACTTGGACTGGTCCTGAGCGGTGATGAAGGACAGACGAATGTTTGGGATTCTGGAGGATTGGGAGGATGTCTGGGTAGGTTGGGGCTGCTGGCGAGCAGGAGTGGAACGGAAGGAGTCGGCCATCTGCGACGAGGTCATGCCGGTGGGCTGAGGTTGTTGCTGAGGAGCAGCAGTCGGCTGGGGCGATTGGAACTGCTGCTGCGGCGGTTGCTGTTGTTGCTGGGGAGGGTAGCCGGTGTATTGGGGCATGAGACCACCTTGGAATTGGTTCTGCTGAGGCTGCTGCTGTTGCGGTGGGAAGCCAGTGGCTTGAGGCTGTAGAGATTGTTGATGCATGGGAGGGAAACCAGTTGCCTGAGGTTGTAGAGACTGCTGCTGCTGCATGGGAGGGAAACCAGTGGCCTGAGGCTGTAGAGATTGTTGCTGCTGCATGGGAGGCATGCCGGTGTATTGCGGCTGCATGTAACCTGTAGCCTGAGGGCCGAAGCCGCTGAAGGACTGCTGTGGTTGCTGGCCATATTGCTGTTGGCCTGGACGGCCTTGATTGGCACCGCCCAGGTAGGAGTTTGAGCCCGAGAACATGGTCGTTGACCGTCGCGTTCAAGAGGAAGTCGCGAACACGAAGACGGAGACGAACTGGGAAGTCGACATCGGGGCTGGTTATCCCGCAGCCTCCGCATCCAAATGCCACGAGGTCCATGCCAAGCCCCACCACGTCACTGCTTCTCTTGCATGTGAGACCTGAGGCCCACTGTCACAACTACCATAATCACCATGCCACCCAAGCAGAATGGAGAGACAGAGCACGACCTGCAGGATGCCGACTTTGCCAAGGTACAGAACCCTCCGACAGGGCAATGCTTGTTCTGGTCTGACTGAGACGACTCTCCAGGCATTTCAGGAACTCAACCGCGGCGAACAAACTGCCACCGCCCTCGAGAACCACCTTGCTGCTCTTGGAAGCAAAGATAGACGAACTTCTCGCTGCCACTGGCCAGCAAGACCAGCCCGAATCCTCTTCTACACAATCCAATGGCACATCTCACAACTCGTCTGCTCAGTCCGGCTCATGACCTCGCTACCCATACCGCGTCCACTCCAGCCACTAATTTACCACCCTGCCAACGATTGATTCGGGGCTACATCTAGTAGACATCCTCAGGAACACATTTCGCACACTGCTGAGAGCCAGATGGCCAGTACCAGTCTCGTAAAGACGTTATGTGTATATAAAGAGCTCGGTCTAGGTCGAATCTGCGCGCATATGGGTATCATTTCTCGCCTTTCAGAGGCCTCCAACAGTAGTGGGCTTCACTTCAGATCCAGAAGCCGCAAAGATATCCTCGAAATGGAACACTCCATCTGATCCCTTCTCTACCACTCCCTTCTCAGTCACAACTCCATCGATCAACTCTGCTGGCGTAACGTCGAAAGCAGGGTTCCATACGTCGATTCCATTGGCAGCAATGCTGACCGTCTCAATCTGCTTCAGGTCAAGCGATGCTCCCTTGACGCAGGGTCCCTTGATCATGGTCATTTCCTTGCCTGCTCTCTCTTCAATCACAATGTCTGCTCCAGACTTGGTCTCAAGATCGATGGTAGTGCGAGGTGCTGCTACCAAAAACTTGACTCCGTGGTGCTTGGCCAATATTGCCAGCGAGTAAGTGCCGATCTTGTTGGCAGTGTCTCCATTAGCGGCGACACGGTCAGCTCCAACCACGATGGCAGCAATGTTCTCAGTAGGTCCCTTGAGACGGAGCAATGCAGCGGCCATAGAATCTGTCACCAGGGTTGCAGGGATCTTGTCGTGAACCAGTTCAAAAGCAGTCAGGCGTGATCCTTGGTTGTAAGGTCTGGTTTCACTGCAGAATGCTCTCTTGAGCGATCCTCTGGCGTGAACAGAACGAATGACTCCGAGAGCAGTACCGTAACCAGCAGTTGCCAGAGATCTTGTTCCACGTCAGTATGTGAAATGTATAAGGACACTCCATAATTCACACTCACCCNNGGTGTTGCAATGAGTTAAAATGCTGACTTGATCCTTGCCTCCAGCAGCATTCTTGAGGATCCAGTCGGCACCGTGCTCACCAATGGCCTTGTTATCCGAAACGTCGTCAACCAGCATCTGCTCTGCAGCCTTAACATATGCGTCCTTGACAGAAGTTCCCGAAGCATTTTGTGCTTTGGCGGCATCCTGTACAATCTTTTGCAATTTTCTGGCAGCATCTGCCAAGTTTACAGCGGTAGGTCTGCTAGTAACCAGATACTCGAGCTTTTCCTTGATGAAAGCCTCAACCTCTTCAGCGACGTTTGAGAGTTCATTCTTTCCAGCAATGAGTTCCAGTTCGACGGCCAGACCAAGGGCAGCAACAATGGCAATGGCTGGAGCGCCACGAGTTCTCATCTCCTTGATGGCGTGCCATGCATCCTGAGCAGACTTGACCTCATCGTAAACTTCTGTATGAGGCAATTGGAGCTGGTCCAAGATGTCCAGCTTGCCGCGGCTGTACTTGATTGCTTCAAGAACCATGGTTGAATGTGATTGTGATGGGGATCTTATCAAATGGATGAGCAGCGTGTCTGCCGAATTTCTCTGCCCCGCCAAAATGTTGACTTATGCCCCGCTGGATGAGCATTCACAGGTACTTGTTGCCTTCAAGACCAACGATGGTTGCCATCAAAATTGCATCTTGAAATGCTCCACGAGGGTCCCCACTTGGTCAACCTTACTGCACGCGTAGTGTCGTCATTACTCTGTAGCTAGCTCCAATATTTGTTGACCCCTCATGGCATAGCTGTGAGGCCATGTCGCCTCTACATCGTCTCTCAGCTCTTTCAAACCACTTGCTCAGTTCTACAAAGCTTCAGACTCGCGCATACACCATGTCTTCCCAATTCACTCTTCAAACTACCCTGCCTCTGCCGAACTCGTCGGTCAAGATCCCCGCCCTCGGTTTTGGTGTCTACCAGTCGCATGGTCCTACTTGCAAGAAGTCGTGTTTGACTGCTCTCGAGGCCGGCTACCGTCACATTGACAGCGCGCAATACTATGCCAACGAGCAATTGGTCGGTGATGCTGTCAAGGAGTCCAACGTTGACCGCAAGGACGTCTTCATCACCACCAAGATCCTGACCCCCGGCAAGGATGAGGAGGAGACATACCAATCACTCGTTGAGAGCGTGAACAAGATTGATCAGGGTGGCTATGTCGACTTGTTCCTAATCCACAGCCCTAGCTCTGGTCCTCAGGGTAGAAAGAACATGTGGACTGCTCTTGAGAGACTGTACAAGGAGGGCAAGACCAAGGCTATTGGAGTCAGCAACTTTGGCAAGGGTCAGATTGAGGAGCTGAAGTCGTTTGCCAAGGTCTGGCCACCGCATGTCAACCAGATTGAGGTATGTCAAGTTTCAGATGTACGATTGGTTTGTGGTTTGCTAACAAGCCTTTCAGNNCTGCACCCCTGGAACCAGCAACGTGTGGCTGTTGAGTACTGTCAAGCCAACAACATTATCGTTGAAGCCTACTGCCCCCTGGTTCGCAACCAGAAGGCCGATGACCCCACGCTGAACTCGCTGTCTCAAAAGTACAAGAAGTCAACCGGTCAAGTTTTGATCCGTTACTGCTTGCAAAAGGGATGGGTGAGTTGTTACAAATATCTGTTTCTCGATTCAAAAAGCGATGCTGACATGCTTCTCAGGNTCCCTCTCCCCAAGAGCGACACCCCCAGCAGAATCAAGGACAACGCCGACATCTACGACTTTGAGATTAGCAAGGAGGACATGAGCAAACTTGACGATCTAGACCAGGGCGCTGCAGGTGCCATCGTTCAAGCCGTAGACAACTAGAAAAGGAGATTAATGAGTTCATGCATCGAAAAGTCCGCATGACAGGCAGCCAACATGGCGTAATTACATCTCTTTGCATGCAGGAACAAACACACCCCGTAGGCGTTCGCAGCGTTGACAAAATGCACAAAAGTCAATCTCCTATTCCTTTCTCTACCCCTCGCGCGAGGTTTCAGACGCGTAGCGTCGAAGAAACGGTTGTTGCGACGCCAGATGCGATGCGAACAGCCGACGACACATGTGTATATATGTACAAAAAAAACATCCATGAGGCATATACTTGTTTTGGGAAGATTTACCTTTTCGGAGTCTGGTCAAATATAGATCGGCCCGCTGATCACATCTCGTACTCTGAGTTTAATGACATCTCAGGTCGGCATACGGCACCGATGCGCCGCCATACGACAACCCCAGTTCGCCGCAAAAGGTTGTTTGGCTGTGCCTCGTGTAGCTTTTGAGCTGAAAAAGGCATGGCATGCATGGCCCTGGTGTCACTTGATCTGCCTATCTTTCGATCATCTGGTCTGGTGCTGCGAGTATGTCGTAGTAGTTCACAATCGCGTTTCTATCCTTTCAATCGACCTTGGGCGCATCTAGATTGTACAGCGAACGGCGTAGGTGCGTTGAAAGCGAACTGTTTTTGGTGCTAATTTTGGCGTTTTTTGTACCTGCAAGCCCGCAGCTCCGCCGACAGGTGTGGACAGGTGCCAGCAGTTCTTTGTTTTGTGACTTTCTTTTTGGCGGGGGCGCTGCAAGAGGATCATAATCACCGTTTTTCTCTCAGCTAGCTGTTGCACACACGCCTTTTGACTTTGCTGCCACATTGGCTGCCGCTTCGCTCCGGAGTAAGCACGATATGGTACAAGACGTTAAGGAAATAAGCCCACTCCTTCCTTCGTATCGCCCTAGAAAAATGGAATAAACTTCTGTGTGCCTGAGAGGAAATGGGCAATGGTACAGTAAGGGATCAAAAAGCCACTAAGGTCCACCTTCCCTAACTCTCTCGTATTCACTCCCCTTGCTTTCCTGATATATTGGGTGCGGCTCTGGTATCGTGTAATGTTATAATCCGCCATCCTTTTCCCTTTCGTATATACGCACGCCCACCTCTTGCCTTTCCTTTGCTTCTTCTTGGACGCCCGAAAGCGACACTTTCCCTGTGCGACAACATTTTTTCTTTGGTTGGCTTGCAAGTTCAGAAGAACAGCAGAGCAAGATGGGATCAGAAATCTTGGATGAGAAGACGGAGCAGAATGCGCCATTATTATCGCCAGACGAATACGCAAACGATATCAGCGACAGCGAGAGTGTGCACAACGAAGAGATGACTACCGAGCCGTCGTCAACTGTGTCGTCGCTGCATCCTGCATTCTTTATAGCGTAAGTCGTTACCCAAGCACGTAATTACCTCGTCACTCGACTTACACGCAAAACCTAGANNTTATGGATTGCCATGAGTTCCCTGGTCATCCTCTTCAACAAGTGGATGCTCGACACAGCCAAATTCAGATATCCCATCTTCCNNCTCACCTCATGGCATATGTTCTCGTCTGCTCTGGTGACGCAGATCATGGCCCGCTATACTGGATACCTCGACTCCCGACACAAAGTACCAATGACANAAAGAACATATATGCGCGCCATCGTCCCCATCGGTTTATTATTCTCGCTGTCCCTGGTCTGCGGCAACGTTACATACCTCTATCTCAGCGTCAGCTTTGTGCAGATGCTCAAGGCCGCAGGACCTATTGCTGTCCTCCTCGCTACCTGGATGTTCCGCCTTTCCGAACCTTCCCTTGCTGCTTTTGGAAACATTTGTATTATTACTCTTGGTGTGGTCATCTCTTCCATGGGCGAAGTCCAATTCAACGTTTTGGGTGTCGCATACCAACTCTTGGGCATTGTGTTTGAGGCTACACGTCTGGTCATGATCCAGCGTTTGTTGTCTGCCGAATTCAAGATGGACCCTCTGGTCTCGCTATACTACTTTGCTCCTGTGTGTGCAGTCACCAACGGCATTCTGGCTCTGATCTTTGAGGCTCCTCATATGACTTGGGCAGACTTTGAGCGTGTGGGTTTGTTTATGCTGCTCTTGAACGCAGCAGCAGCCTTCCTGCTCAATTTTGCATCTTTGCTTTTGGTACGTGTTCTCCTTCTTGATACCTCAGCGAGAATACAGATGCTAACACTCTAAACCACAGNNATCGGCAAAACCTCCTCCCTTGTCCTTACCCTCAGCGGCGTCTTCAAAAACATCATGATTGTCTTTGCATCCATGCTCATCAACGACGACAAAGTCACCAACATCCAATTCCTGGGCTTCTCCATCGCTCTGGGTGGATTGGCTTACTACCAACTCGGTGGCGCACCTGCTGTCCGTGGTCTTTGCTCTCAAGCCATCAACAGATTTTCAGAATACAGGAGACCGAGTGAGGCAGACCCTGTGTCTGCTGTTGAAGCTCAGGAGGTTGTTATGACGAGGAAGAGCGAGGAGGAACTCAAGAGTCCTGGGATTGTCAATGTTAAGAGTGCTTGATCTTCTTTCTAGGATAGCCGCTTTTTGGCACTTGTGAAGTATATAATGTCTTTATTCTTCTTCTCTTCTTTTAACGATATTTATAAATTCTTGACGATATTCAATATCTGGAGTGCATCTGCCAACCACGAGATTCTATCTCGACCAACATCGTACGAACCTGTTCTTGCATCGTTTTAGGGCAGCTCTACAACGGCTCGTACCTTGCTCAAATCTTGCGATAGGTGTTTCAGTAGATGAACGGTCAGCTATCACAAGTCTATTGCTATTTTGAAATCCCGAAAAGAACGATAAAATGTATTCTAATATCCTACACGACGCGATCTGGGTTACCACGGCACAATTTGGCGATGACATGAGCGATGGAAACGAGCGAAGGAGCCCGCGGTTTTCGCAAGCACGTCCGAAGCTTTGGGTTGCACAGACTTTTAATAAAGTGACAACAGCGAACTCGATGTCAGTCAAGTGCACGATGTTCCTCAAGTGCCAAATGTATTCATTCCTTGACTTCTTTGTCCAATGCAAGTACCTCGATCTTGAATTGTCGCAAGGAACGATGGAATATCCTGACCAACACAGCAAGTCTAAAATTGAGTCGTGGAACTTATCCTGCCTATCCAATTTCGGTTGATCATTTCTTTGGTTCTTGTCGAACAGGAATCGCAGAATCTCAGCCACATTGATATAAAAATAATATGACAACAGCCAAGATAAAAGAAACAAGATGAGGTTATGATTGACAGTCACGAGTCAGTTGGAGGGAGCTTGGCACAAGGCTCAGCCCGGAATCCTTCGAGAAGGATTCAACACTGCCACTAACCAACGATCATCCTGGGACATGAGTAGTGTTGTGATGGAGGTAGTGGCACATATAAGGGCAGACTTCCTGCCTAAGGTAGGTGTCATTTTATCAAACACAAATCTATCTCCAAAACTCTACTTCAGCGCCTTCAATCCAAAACCTTTTCGTGATCGATCATATCAGACTTGAACATAGCATCACATTCCAATATGGGTTCCCGACTTATCGAATCACTCCAACACGCGGCGGGCAAANATCAAGAATTGCTCTCCATCCTCTCGCAGACAGACAATGCCCCCTCAGATCTCAAGCAAAACTCGACATACATCACAGACCTCCAAAACCAGATTGCAGCCACAGACAAAGAAATCAAACGACTCCACCGCATCACCGAGGACGAACGCAAAGATCATATCAAGTATGAAGAAAGCACTTTTACCCGCTACATGTACAAGATGCGCGGCAAGAAAGGCCAAGCTAAATTTGCCGAGAAGGCCGGAAAGGAAGAGAAGGAATTTGTCGAGGCATGGCAGAAGGAGCGTGAGACGCAAGAATCGCACGCTGAACTCAAAAGAGCGCTGGAAACTGCGCAACAAGAACATCAACGTCTGCAGGGCGAAGCAACCAGACATGATCAAGCACAATTTGAGCTTGATAGGCTCTATTCTTCTATCTTCGATGGTCCTACGCCTGAGATACCTGGCGAAGATCAGATGGAATCGAGTCTGCAGAACAACAAGCAATGGGCAGACAATTGCACACAACACCAAAACCTGCAACGACGAGCTGCCGAGGCCTTGAATGCAACACTGCATCACCTGGAGCGTGCAGCAAAAAACATGGATGATGCTCTTGACATGTCTCGCTGGGACATGTGGGGCGGAGGTACATTCACAGACATGATGGAAAGAGATGCTCTCTCCAGAGCTCAAGTCGGTGTTTCCGAATCTCTGCGCCACATGGATGAGGCTCGTCGTTGTCAGCCTGCCATCCCGCCTCTCTCCGAAATCAACATCGATAATGGTCATTTCATCAGCGATGTCTTATTCGACAATATCTTTACAGACATGGCGCAACACGATCGCATCAAGAACTCGGCTATGCAATTGCACAAAGCTCTACAGCAGTGCAGAGAAATACTTGACAAGCAAAAGCGAACATACCACGAGGCCGCTACTCAGAGTACTCAGGCTACGGAAGCTTTGAACAGTTCTCGTTTCGAGCTGCAGCGCATCAGAGCAGAGGCTTTCGAGAGATTTGCCGGTCAAGGTGCTCCTCCGCCGTTCCAGCAGGCGACTGCACAGTATGTTCCTCCTCCAGCATATTGAGTCGAATAATCTGTACGCATGAAGATATGGAAGAGGTATATAGTTTGCTGCGAATAGATTGTTATGCAATGTCTGCCATGTAAATATGTGCTGTATCTCCTCGGTGATGCTCAATTAGTTCGTATCCATCAAAATGCATAATATTTTAGGAAACACAATACTGTCCACTGAGAAGCGACGTATTATCCATTCTCTGTGGACATGCTTCTGCTTCTCAAAACAATTGTGACTTTTTATAGTGTATTATTTACCCTTTATCACGATGGGAGTATCATGAAACATGGAAGTGACATGCTATTTCCCATCAGGCAGATGGTTGATTTTATGTCTATAAAAATGCACAAAATTATCATGAGGAAGGACAATGTCCATTGAGAGACGGTAAAACCTCTCGCTCTCAGTGGACACGCCTCTATTCTGAAAAGCATTTGTGCCTTTTTATAGTGTCGATTCTGCCTGTCGCTATAGTGGGAGTATCAAAACATAGGTGGAAATAAGTAACTTCTAATGATGTCGGGAGATAGCTAACTGAGCAGCAAAGATGCGTGCTCGACAACGACAGGGGTAGCCAGTCTCGAGACTCGTACGTGTGGTGAGTAATCTTGGTCCAGCTTGGGGATCATGAGACTGATTCCCGTGCTGCCCAAGTCATTGTATGCCTCGAGCATGTTCTACATCGTCTGATGAGTGTAGACATTTGCAGTCGCCATGGCTGAAGACAATTGCTTGGAGATTGTTGACTCTAATATGTGGTTGCTGGTGGAGGTGTGGACGAGTCAAGAGTGAGGCCTCAAGATGCCGCGAAGAGGAGATGGTTTGGGGGTAGAAAATGAGGGTTTGAACTGAAAGTTGCTTGGGAGTTCGCATCACATGTGCGACTCTTTATAGTACTAACTGTCGACCGGCTGACCATCTCAATGGCAATTTCTGTGTTCTATCTGCAACTGTGCATTTCGATGGCTTGTAGTTGCTTGTACCTCAGAGCGGAGAAGAGTCTCAAACGTCAGAGACGCTCACGGTTTGACTGTACAAATACAAAATATTTCCCGTGAGGAATGTGTTTTCCACAGAGAGAGCCATGTTTAGAGCTATCTCAATGGCCAGACTTGTATTCCATCCGCAGTTGTGCGTTTTGACAGCTTATGATAGCCCCTACACTTCGGAGTGGAGAAGCTTGTCCTTGAATAGCGATGTCTGTTTGGTCACCACGGCACTGTCTAGACTCGACGGCGTGATACTCAAGGGCGGAGCCACTACAACGCTATGTCAAAAAGCTATGAGCCGGACGGCTTCGGGATACCATCGGTTGGCCGAAGAATGTCACAACTGGGAACAGTCTTGGACTCGGGGAACTCCACCCGAGGAGCGGAAGCAACTACATCACAAGCTTTCTCTGATTACCTGACATCTGCATGGCAAGATTGCGGTTCTGGTTTGTTGTTTTCTCATATGAGGACAGCTACCAGATTGATGCTATGAAAATGCATAATCTCATCAAGGAAAAGGGGAGTGTCCATCGAGAGGGGGCGTACAGATGGCTTTCTGTGGACGTATCCCTGATATTGTTACATTTGTGAATTTTCACAATGCAATACTGCTTCACACTGGTGTTGGAGAGCCCCAAGACCACATCCTTCTCGTGTGATGTATAGTAAGACTTTGGTTGTCAAGATATCAATCTTCAGTTGGGTGTCTTTCTTATTCACTTTGTAAGCTTCCACTTCCAAAACCAGTCACTTCTTCCATCTTGCCTATATACATATCTCGTCCTAAATTCCAGTCATCTCCATCTATTTCTTACTTCCCACCCAAATTCCTGGTCAGAAACGCAGTCCTTAGATGGCGCCCAAGGCTGCTAAATCTGCTGCGGCTGCTGCCACAGGTGCCATGCCGCCTCAAAAAGAGAAAAAAGATACGTATCAGCATCTTTGAGAGCAAGGACTACATGCAAAATGGGCAGCTCTTAAGTATACAAGAGAAGGGTATGGCAGGATGTTCGGAGGCCAATGTGCTAGCTAACAGAATCCAGAATCTGGCGTAAGTGTCGTCTTATCAAAAAAACTGCTCTTACCCCCACTGAGTAACTTAACATAGGCGCACCATCGAATCCGACAACAACCTCACTATCCCTTCTTCCATTCCTCCCACTCCATTCACTCCTTTGTTCATCTCTTCCCCATAACCACATAACAACTTCAGATAGCGCATGTCGCGCTGCACAACTCTTTTCAGAACTCTTGGTTACAGACTGAAGGTCGGATCCCTGAAGGCCAACTCGAAGATATCTAGAGCGTAGTCGGTGAGGAATCTGACTGGAGGGGGAGTGAAATTATCAGGAACTTCAAAGGTGCCATTGCGTAGGCGGCGCTCCGGCAATTCGAGGGTACGACTGGGCAGCGTATAGTTAACACCCGCGTCGGAGGCACTGAACACCACAATCTGCTGTGTGGTGAGGTTCACGACGGCATGAAGTCCAGATCCCATGATGCTACCTAGCATGATCCTTCCTGTAGTGATCTCAGTCACCTGTTGCTCTGGGGGCGTCAATCTGCAGAGCAAGTCGGGCAGCGTAGCAACCTGCTTGGTGATCAGAGCTCTGAACCACTGAGCATACCCCTTGAAGAGAATGGGCATGGGTCCAGTGAGCCTGCGAACCCGAGTTTCCCACTGCTTGGACGCGTCCTTCAAGTTATGCCAACCGTGTCCTGCTCTGGTTACAGACACAATGATCACCTCAATGAGTCTTGCTTCAATCAGTGAAAGCGACTCGCTCTGAGGGAGCGTAAATAAGTGAAAGAGGAACCTGTCGAGCTTGGTGGCTCTGTCTAGGACGATCTTTGATGCCATAGCTTTTGTCAGCAAAGCTTCGAGCATAGAGTGAAGCTGGGGCTGGAGCGGTAGCACCCATGTGACCGAGAAGAAGTGAATCAAGAGTTGGTCAAGGCTGAAGGCGAGATAAGGGCAGGTTTCCTGGTAATCTCTGGCCGACAGGACCCAATCAGTCGACTGTTGTTCCGTCGTATCCAGTCCAAGATTCTCCAGCAGTGGGAACACCCCCGCAACACTGCTTTCCGACCTGAGGGTGGAGGGCAGCATCATCATGACTTTGGTGAAGTCTTCCTCTGGAACCCCCTCATCGAAAAGGAGCAGCTGTAGGTGCTCGACCAAGCGTTTAGACAACTCCCTCCAGCCCTTAACAGCTTCCTTGAGTTTTTCCTCTTCTCTCTTCATGGAGTCGACTTGAGTTTGATGCTGCTTTGCCTTCTCCTTTGCGGCTTGCGCTTCCTTGCTTGCGTCGTTGCGCTCTCGCAACAGCTCGGCCTGCTTTTGCTTGTGCTGATTGATTTCAGAGGTGTACTGGCTGACTTGTTCTGAATGGGTTCGGTTTGCCTCGGCAAGCTTGTCGCGGCTCTCAAGCTTCGCATCTCTCTCCTGCTTGAGCTGCTCGACAGTCTCCTCCCGAGATCTCTTACTGCTTTCCAGCTCTGCTTTGAGACCAGCAATCTCCCCATTCAGGCGGCCGATCTGCTGGTGTAGTTCGGTTGATGTTTGGAAGTCAGACCGCATGCGTTCAAGGCCTGAGGTGATTTGCATTGAACTAAGGCGATGTTCGCTTGATTCTCGTGTCAGCCTGTCGATAGTGGCTTCGTGTGCCTTACGAGTGGCTTTCTCTGCGGCTAGCTCGCTGTTCAGATTGGTGACCTTCGACTCAAGCTTGAACTGGCGTTCCATTGCACTGCGTCGTTCGATCTTTGCATACTCCAATGCGACGTCGTGATTGATCTTTTCGCGGTCTGCCACTTGGATCTTGTGCTCCAGCCTTATGATTTGAATCTTTTGTCCAAGATCTCAGTGTTTTTGGCATCCATGTTCGAACGCAAATCGTCTTCCGCCTTGTCAGCTCGTGCAATCTGCTCTTTCAAGCCGGCGATCTGTTCCTGGAGCGATGTGATACGAGCGTTCAGCGTACTGCGTTCCTTGTCGAAATTTTCCTTATCGGTCTTGAAAGTAGCCTTCTCGTTCTCAAGAGCGGCGGCTCGTTCTTCCAAGGCTCCTTTGGTCGTGGCAGTAGCTTGTTTGTCCTCGGCCAAATCATCTTTCTCTTGAGCCAATTTTCCATGGAGGGTTTCGTATTTGATTCTCTCTTCATTGAGCTTGGTTTGAGCCTCGTCGAGTGTCTTTTGGGTGTCTGCCACATTCTTGCTCAGACCTTCATAATACTGCCTGGCGGCCTCAACGCCAGTGCTCTCTTGAGTCAGCTCGGTTACCCTCTTGTTCTGCTCTTCCAGCTTCTGAATTGCAATTCTTTCGAGCGATTGGGCGCCAGCGAATTTATCTTCAAGCTTCCGCAAGTCCTCTTGGACCTTGGTAAGCCTGGTAGTTGTTGTCTGATGAGTTTGACGTAAATCCTTGAGGTTGGCGGAGTCCGCCCGGAGGTTGGCTGTGTCCTCTTCGTGCCGTCTTTGCTGCTCCCCCAAGTTCTTGTTGAGCTTCTTGAGTTGCTGATCCAGGTCTTCATGCTTTGACTTTGCTTCTGTGATGTCGTTGTTGAGACGTTCGATCTTGACCCTCTCATTGTCAAGGTCATTCTTCAGACCTTGTTTCTCAAGTTTAAGGTTACTCAATTCCTTCTCAGCTGCGTCTTTAGCCCTGATTGCTTCATCCCTGGCAGTCTGAACTTCCTTGATGTCTTTGGCATGCTGTTGTTGATTGGTTTGAGCGGTCTGGATGTCCACGGTGAGACTAGCAAGCTTCTGAATCTGGTCGTCAAGTCTCTTCTTGATGGCTTCATTCTGAGAGTTGAGCGCGTTGATCACCTCGTCCGACCGCTTTTTGGCAGCATCTGTCTCGGTCTGAAGCAGATTGGTGATTGTTTCGAATTTCTTTTGTGCTTCGTCTTTCGATGTCTGGACAGAACTGTCTGTGGATTGTATCTTGTTGAGAGTTGCTTCGTTCTCCTTTTTAGAAGATCGAGAAGGCCCTCGTGGCGGGTCTGAGAG